GGTTTATATGTGAATTGTCAAGGTTACATGAATGATAAGAGTTAAACTCTTTTACTCTCTTCTAACACTATCTAACTTCTTAACAGAGAGTTTAAAGAACGTTGAAGTAATAAATATAATTTTAATTAGATGAACAGAAATTAAGAAGCGAAGGTTCAAAAAGATAACAATGACATAAGTCACTGAACAGAAAATATATTAAATGAATAAATATTTAATAAAAATCGATCAGAATCAGCATAAAATGATTTCGAACGGAAAATACCAATTACAAAAAGCAATAAATTCAGATGGCCACCGAAAACTGATAAATTCAATCATCCATTGATAATCAGAGGGAAAATTGAGTTGGAAAACGTTGCTTTAAAATTTCATTAGACGAGTTTCCTGTCTCAGTTCAAAGTAGAAATTATAAATAAAAATTTTATTATGAAAACTGTGGTTTGATCTGTGCAGTAAGCAATTCAATTCATTTCATTTCTGCGTGTATGATTCCTGTTCAATTAATTTAAATGAACATGTTCTGCAAACTACAAGCATCATTGCATAATATTTAATATAAAGTCAGCTCAGAATAATAAGTAAGAAGCGAAAGGTCATGAATATCGAGGAAACAACATGAAGCCAATGCAATTAATGACTTTATTGATATAATTGTAACTCTTGTATGTAAACAAAACAAATTATGATTGTCTTTAAGCCTAATGATGACATTTACGATAATTAAAATGCTTTAAAATTATTTACTTGCTTATTGGAAGAGTTGTTGGAAATATGTTTGACAATAAATTAATTTAAAATTTCAATAAAGTCTTGTCTCGAATCGAGCAAGAAAAAACAGCAAAGTGGACGCGAATTAATTGGCATATTTATTGATAGAAATAAAAAAGAAAGATTCAATCAGTTTTGACGACTGATAGATCTGCATAGTTCGTTAATATTTTGATGATTCAACGTGGGTGGGCGTTACTCAACATAGCTTACCAATTAGTTAATTATAATTATTGTTCTTCTTGCTGATTTCAATTTCAAGATAACTGAAATTGAATGCTTGCGTTTTCGATTGAGTCAGAGACAGTTAGCCTCGTTTTTCTAGGCTCTCGCTTGGTTATTTTTTTACGATCAAATGAATAAATTTTACGATTCGACATAATTGCAAATACGCTTTTCTGTTGTCAGATTTAATGACATCTCAATTGATCGGACGGATGCTTAAGACTCATCAAGGATTCTGTTAAGTCAGACAACTTAATTGATCCGCAGGGAATAAACGTCAAGGAAAAGTAAAGAAATTCACTTTCTGTTTGATGTAATCATTGAATGGCTTATTTAAAGAAGGAAAGAAATGAAAAAGTTGTTTTCCCGAATTGATCAATTTGCAATTGAGATTAGACTTCGGTCTTTTGAAAGAAACTCTTACATATAAGTTTTAATTAATATCAGATTTCTCTCGACTTCTTTTAGTGCATTTTAATTAAATTGTAATTTATTTCTTCTGGTCTGGTGGTACACACAAGCAAGCAAGCAAGCATTCGAATATTCCTACTTAAGTAAGTAAATTAACTGTTAATTTCTTCGAAGCCACATCGGTAAACGTTAAGACTAAAGTTTCGTTTTTCAAGATGTAATCCAATGCAATCAAGTCTTCGATTATTAAATACATATTTATATTTGTTTAATTTTCCTTCTCATTCCACTCACCTCAGCGATTACAACAACGACGTGAATTCAAAGATTAATAATTGAAAAATAAATAAAGTAAGAGAATTGCATTTATCTGTTAATTAGATTGGCTGACAACGGGCAGTTTACATTTATTTGACCGAAGATTAAGTTTAATACACATTAAAGCAATTCAATTATCTCATTGGAAGTATCATCGTCTTGGCTATCGTAAATTGAAGATAGAAACTGCAGACTAGACACTTGTTGAAAGTTTTGGTTTTGTTTCTATGACTACTTGAAAGCTTTTGTCGTGTGGAGAAAGAATGAAATCTGATATCAGTTGATATGAAATTTCTTTTTTGACAATGAAACGACAAGCAAATCGATCAACGTTGTACTTATTGTGACTGACTGAAGAGAGAAACGAGAAAATGACATGAAAAACAATATTCTTTGTTTACTTTTTTATTTTTCCTTTCCATCCCGACAACATTTTTATCGATTTCTCATGCTTCAGATTTCTTTTACGTTGCTCTCTTATTGTTTTTCCATGAATAAAAAAGAAAAGTTTCGTCTGTAATTTTGTGTAATTACTTTCAATATGAAGCAGACAGTTATGCGACATACAAATTAAGATAAAAACATTTTCCTTTTGCTAAATACTTCGACTCGTATTTCAATGGAAAGTGATGCGTGAAGAAATTCTAAATTGTGCAACCTCAAAGCCGCCTTTCATCTTCCAACTTAGTCGTTTTACTCAAATCAGAAATTGTTTCCCAAATTTTGAAAAGAAGCTACTTGAAGATGTTTGTAATGAAGATGTTTAGAAGATCCTTTCATTTGGATTGTAATGGATCGAAGATGAAAGATAAAAAACGTAAAAGATTGATCTCTCTTTAATACATCACATGGTAGAAAAAGATTCCCCAGAAGAATTTTAATCTCCATCCATGCACAATGTTTTCTTTATTGTGTTTGTATCTCTAAGTAGCTTAATACGCATTGTGAACAATTTTTAAGTCGCCTTCTGTTACTCGCCCTTTTCAAAAAATCTTTGTTTGAGAATTGTAACAAATCAAAAGTGAAGCATTAAAATATTTCGAGTAGAAGAAATTAAGTTGAAAGGTTCATTCTTTATGTTGCTTTGGAAATAAATATTTCATGATGATGTTAAGCTCTGCAAACGACAGTAAAGACAAGCCCTGTGCCTTCAAAGAAACACCAAAATCAGCCAAACATAAGAACAATGCATTTGAAGGTGATAAGAACGCATTTTATTGCTTCTTGAGTCATAAATCATCAACATTCATTTCTAGTTCTCTATTTAACATGCATTTATGCGTAAAGGAGTGTTTTTTACTTTTTCTTCCTTCATTTCGGCTTCTAAAATCTCATGAATCCAATTTAGAAACAATAAACCACAAGAAAACCAAGCGGAAGACAGAAAACGAACGATAAGTCAGAAATTCTTCTTTCATAAATTTCCATTTCACATGCACCTTCTAAAACGATATTCAATGTTAGCATAGGAACAAAGACAAGAAGTTACCGAAGCGATTTGTCTCGTAAATGTTTCAAACAGTTTTTAACAGTCTGTGATTTTTTTATGGTCGTTTCTTTCAATATTTTGCTGCTCATTGTGTTTGTACCATACTTTAGCTTCATGAATTTGCGTTTTTTTTTTTTCATCTCTGAAATTCAGGGTATTACCTTTCATGAAATAATTACTTGGTTGGAGTTCTAAAGCTCCACAAAGACGGATCATTAAATTTTAATGACGTTTTTTTTTGTGTGCTTCGAATTTGACTGCAACATTTTTTTGAAAGAATAAAAAACATTCCAAGACATCGTGATTTGGAATCTGTGGCATGACGAGTGTCTGACATTTTTACTCCTTCTTCTCATTAAGAAACTTTGCGACAATGTTGAATGAAATGGAAGAATAAACTTCGATTGAAACTTTATCCTTTCAAAGAGCTTCAAGTCATTCCATCTGCTTGTTCACTCATTCAAGAGAAGTTTGAGTTTTATTGTCTCTTAATAAAAATAAATCTGTTGCGATGATGAGTGTCGATAACAAATGATGTAAAGTTGCGTATTTAAGCTAAGACAAGGAAGTGTAATTTTCATCTTCGAAATCTTAATGGTAAAACTTCTCGTCATTCTTCTTAATTGAGCGAACGAATCGAAAACTTTTAACAACATTTTTGTCTTTCTTCATCTTTTTTCGTTATCGTAACAGTTCTCGATATAAAATTTTTTATTTAGACAAAAGTTGAAGTTAAACTTGATCAGAAAATTACGCAAATCGTTCCGTTATTCATTCGAATAAAAATCTTCTATTGTTGTTGAACTCTTTAAGTAAGCTGATGAGTTTTATTGTGCACAAGTTTCGCTTATTGTAATCTTAATCCTTTGTAAAGTTTTCTTATTCTTTCCCCCGTCTCTCTCTCCCTCCCTCTCTCTTCTTAACGATATCGTGCAGAGTTTAATTGAAAAAAAAAGTTAATCATTATTAATTCTTTTTTATCATCATGCAAAATGTGGTGAGAATAAAGCAACAAAAAAACAAAAAAAAAAGAAATGATGGAAGTTTAACAAAAGACCGAGGGCCAGGTTGAAGTTAATGAAACGAGAAATCTTAAATTGATCACTTCGACTACATTTCGTGCTCATTGTATTGCACTGATATTAAGAAAATTACTACGTTCTTCCTCTACATTAGCTTTATATACATTGATTTGTGTTGAGTGATTATAGCAATTGATTGGAAGCCTCGAACTTTAAGTAAGCATGTCTCAATCCAAAGATATCTTTCATTTCTGCAAACTAAGTTATTCTCGTAGGAATTTCCAGGAAATTCTCTGAAACTTTGAGTGTTTGGTTTATTGGCGCTGACTACAAAGTTAACTGACTTAGCCATAATTTGATTATTTATTCAAACAACAAACGTTCAATTCTGGAGCGAATACGATCAAAGCATTTCAGCACGAGCGGAGAAGCAGAATAAGAAAAAAAGGAAAGAAAAAAATTAAAATTTTGATGGAAAAAAGGCAAAGTGTGAACATTAAAATGATTCAATTTAAATTAATGTTTCGTTGTTTCAATTTTCACTCCAATTTGTTCATGTTTTGTAATTCAAATTATCAATCATTAGCTTTGAATCGCCTTTTGCTGATCTATGCATGTGATATTCGTTACCGTGTCGAGAGAGATGAGATGTTTAAAGAAATGAACAGTTTGGTCATTAATTCGTTTGATGGCCATGAAGTGAAGCATGATACGATTAAAATGAATGGACAGTAATTTTTTATTTCAATTCACAACAAAGTGAAATGTTGATCAGTGAATGAAATGCACTTTTTCATTTGAATTTCTAACTTAACTACTTACATCCATGTTGGCACTCCTTGTAATCCATTTCCGTTTTCCACAAACCAGACAAGCGTGCAAAGTGTAATCCAAAATAATTTATTACGCGACATTTTTTACTTTTTTTTCTTTACTTTCTTCCAAATTGCACTCAAATTTCCATACTTCTTGTTTCGAAAAATTTAAAATTATTGATTACTTTTGCAAACTAACTTTCACAATCAATTTTTTTACTTCTATTTTTAAACACTTTTAAGATTTTAACTTTCAGAAATTCCCGCAATCTTTTCAACTTGATTAAGATTCAAAACAAAGAAAGAAGAAAAAGCAACAACGATGGACAAACTTTTACTACAATGATAAATGCATTCTTTTATAAATTCAATTATCTGCACTAATAGCGATTTTTTTGGGTTGCACTTTTTCCAGCGTTTGCACAATCTTGATTTGCTTCCACCTCGTTTGTTAGTTAAAAAATTATCCACAATTTTTCTCCTTTTTTTCTCGTCTTGCGGTGCAAAGAAAAATTTTTTCACTTCGTGTTTTAGCAAGAGACTTTGCTTAATGTTACTTTTTCCACAACATAATTCTCAGACATGAGCAAAAATTTAAATTAATAGCAGCAAGAAAAAAAAATTAACAATTGCGCGATATTTGTAAGAATTATTCACGATTTGTTGTTATGCAGATTTTTTTTTATATTTTGCTTTTCAAGCATATCGAATATTTAATCAAAGCATAATTTAATTCTTTCCTCGAACAAATCCTTATAAAATCTCATTTACACATCAAAGCGTAGAAATTGCAAACCGAATTTCCGTTGGTCGCTCTTCACACTTTTCGTTTCCGTTAATTTATTAAACTAAATCAATTTTCCTTTCCTAATTTTCAATCTTTTCCGCACAAATATTTATAAATTATTTAGGACTTTCATTCACTTTTATCTTTTTTTATTAATGTTGCTTTGTATTCTTTCCTTAACAAAGTTATTATCTGAACAACTAGACAAAACGATCCGTTCGATGCGACTATTGAGATACATGTGAGAGCGAATGAAGTTCTTCAAACTGTTTCGGATGTATCTGGATACTTCATTTCGAAATTCGTCATGAGAGAGCGAGTTGCAATGTTCGAATCTCTTAAAACTCAACAACGTTTCGAACTGAAATGTTCTTTATGCTGCGTTTTTCCTTTTTCTTTCAATTCTTTACACAATCTTGTGTTGTTAAAAGAAATATCAAACCGCAAAATTTTCCTGAAGAAAATCTAGGGCGAAACGGTCACGGAACAACGCTTTTTACATGACGAACGGCTAACATCAAACGATTTTTTTAAACGATAAATATCGGATATTTCTCAACTCTCTGTTTCTCTTCATACGACGATGCTTTTGTTGCTTATTGCTTAAAGAAAGGCGGAGCTTGGGAAACGCAATTCTTAAAAGAAAACCACTTTGTGGTAGAAAACAAAGCAGAAATAGAGAATTTCGTTCAATTTTGCTTAGATTCATAAGTTGATGTATGTCGAAATCTTTTTGAGAAGGCGAGATTTGTTAATTATAATTAGTTTTATTGCTGAAACGTGAGCAAGTATTTAAAGTTGTCAATAACACTAATAATTGATTTCAAAAGATTTTTCACAACTCTTAAGCGAAAGATAAAAAGCATTTCGTGTTTCGAGGATTTATGTTTGTTATTATTAGTTTAAGTAACATAAAAAAATCTCATCATCATCAATTTATGATTTAAATCAAAACTTCACTCAGCGCCAGATAAACAAAATCTCCAAAGCGTGATCGCATTTAAAATTCGAGTCAAGTGCATCGTTGATTTGTGTGCGCAAGAGAACATTAATTAAACTTTCGTTTAAACCTGTATTTAAGAATCATTATTTCATGTGTTTTATTTATTCTCTTGTTTTATTCATTCTTTCTTTGGCAGATATTCTCGTTTCTTCTTGAAAAAGCGTCTCGTTCTTTCAATAAGTGTTCGTTTTTGTTTTAAAAGGAACAAAAAGAAAGGTTCCGACAAAAATAAGAATAAAATGAAAGCAAAGAATTGTTGTTGCCTCTTTAATGCCTTTTCAACACGAGATAAAAAGATGCGTTAGAATATTCAGGGGAACCTCTCAAAAATATCTTTTAGATGAATGAAGTTGGAGATCTCTAAACTCCCTCAGCCCTGGTAGAATATTTTAACTTCATTTGATAGAAAATATTCTTGAAATTTCATTCCCGATGTTCGTAACATTCGATTTGATTATTTTTCTTTTTTTTCACGAGTTCCAGTCATCTCCAAGTTATTTATTTCTTTTTGTTAATAAGTATCCGTGCTGTCGATATAATTAATAATATTTCTAAGCTCTCCGTGCTTCATTTTTCATTATATTAATTGACTTGAAAAGAAGATTGAAGAAATGTTGGAATTTGAATCCTTTTACGATTTATTTCTTCTTCTCTTTATAACAAGTAAGAAGCAAGAAGATTTCAACTGTGAGTTTACCACCAACCGATAAAAGGATGAGAAAAAAGTCGATAATAATTAATAAATTACAGTCATTGACGTTTTCAGGGCCTTCTTGTGTTATAATAAGGTGATAAAGTTATAAATTATCACGTCAAGTCTTGTCACGTTTGGTGATCATTGTTGATGAAATGTGACATCTGGCAGACGACGGCCAATGAAACTTTAAGATTAATTTGCTTAAATGTTTAAGACATTTGTAAAACAAGAAAGTGAGTAAAGTAGAAAAAAAATGAATCGATGTTACCAATAATAAATAAATATAAGCTTAAGCTTAGTTTCTTTAGAAACCATTAATACGAATATGGACAGTAATCATACATAAATTCATGAGATTTTTTATGGTCGAAAATGTAAAAATATGTAATTTAAATTAATGAAAATTAATGATATATTCATAACAAAAGAGATTCAGTGAAAAAACAGAAAGAGAGAGAGAGGGAAATAATATTAAACATTTGTTAATTTGTTACGCATATTTATTATTCCTTTCTCAAAATAACCCAAAAGCCCGTCAAACATCTTTTATTCAAAATAATTAATAAGAAGAGCTTTCAACTTCATTGTGGGTAATGAAAATGAAATTCTTTGAAATTTTAATATAATTTTTATTATAGTTAGTGGTTGGTTGTAAAAGATTTGGAAAATATTCATTTCTTCGTCATCATTTTTTCGAAAAGTAGATATAAAGTTTATTGTTGGAATGAATAATTCTTTTTATCATTTTTCCTTCGGACCTGACGACTGACGTCTCATCAATATTTTCATGAGAGATTCTACTAAGAATAGAAAGAAATGTTTCTGGAATATCTTCTTCAAATTTAAGATTTACATTCAACTTAGACCAAAGGTATAATTACTGAATGATCCTGTGTGGTGTGTTAAAAGCGTTGCTCGATATATGAACCATGAATGTGTATTTATATTCTCGTTAGAATTTAATTTGGAACAGATTCTCATTTTAAGGAGGTGAAGATGAGGATCTAGAAGCAATTTAATTTCATTTTTTTGACGCCATAACTTGTTGCAGTCAGACATCAAAGAGTCTCAAAAACGCGAATATAATTATAGTTAATCACTCATAGCATCACGCAAAATTTAAAAGAGAATTCGACTAAACCGCAAATTTAACACAAACTCGGTACAAATATAGATTACAAGCATAATTTCTCAATTTTTTACTTCTTCAATAGAAGATGTCATGAATTTAATTTATGCGAATGTGAGTCACATAATGAAACAATAAATCAAGCCAAGCAAAGTCGAGTCGACTGAAAGGAAGATGAATAAAAAACAAAACTTAATGGGAATGACCACGACAGTCATCTTCAAGTCCTTTCAAATGCAAACCAAAGTTGGAAAACAAGACATGAAAGAAATTGTCGAAATAAAGAATCAAAAGATACGCAAAGAGAGACAATCAGCACACACAAAAACCAGCTCAGCATCAGCAGAATGCGAAAGAAGTTGGTATACTTATAAATAAACTGTTGTATTTATTGTCGGTATTTTTCTTTTTGAAGATCAAATGTTTCGATATAAGAAAAAGAATAAAGCAAAATATGTGATAGCATAAAAACGTAAGAAAGAAAGGAGAAATAATCATTGAAAAGCTCAACAGGTACAAAATAAAATATCGTCGATTTGTAGAGTAAATGACGTCAGAACGTGAATTATGTATTCAAACAGAGGTAGGGAAAAGATATTTTATGCTTCTATCCTGCTCTATATTAATAATTTTATTACAGATGACGGTTTGAATGTGTTTTGAAGAAAATCTTTGAAGCAAACTATGCAAAATTATATTTCAGCTTATGATATGTAGAAAATTAAATATTCAATAGGATATTTAATTGATATTATGAATATTAACATTTCGTAGTAGAAAGCCAAATTTAATAAAAGAGAATTGCTAATTTGCATTCAAATTTCAAAAATTCATTGGCTTAATTCTTGAATTTAATAAAATTGAATGGCTTAAATACTTTTTGAACCATAAAACTTGTTGCACATTTTGCTATAACATAAAAAGTTCCAGACAGACAATCATAAGGTGAAGCATAATCAACTCATAAACTATCTTCTTGAATTAGAAGTTCTACTGGAAACGACGATTTTATTCAAACAACACAATCTTGTTACTTGTACAAGTTTACCATACAAGTTTTGAAACATTTGTAATGTTTTAATGTTTCGTAGACTTGTCCGATGTTGCTTTAAATTCTCTCAATATTTTTCTCAAATTCGCCTATCAAGATCATGATGAATCTGTGTTTATGACAGAGATTATAAATAAAATTATTTTGGATCATTTATTCTTGCATTCAAATGTGTTTGAATAAAAATTGTAAAATGATTTCCTTCTTTTTTAATGGAAATCTCTTAATTCAAATCATTTTAATATTGAATTAAATTTGTAGTGTAATAATTTTATATCAAAACAATGCAGTTCTCACATGGTCTCGTCAGTGATATTTATACAAACTCCTAAGCTAAGTCTGTATTAAAATACAATCTTAATGTATACATGAATGTATGTTGTATTAATGTTGAGACAGAGAGAAAAATATTACTTACAAGTTCTTCCACACTAATTCTCGCTCCCTTCTCTCTCATGTTAAAACTCTCTCATGAATTTATTTTATTTCCGACGATCAGATGTAAAGTAAACGTTCAATCGTTCGGTTCGTTTTATAAAATACTCTTAGACTGTGTTTCGTTGAAATTTCGCTTGAAATACTAAGGAAAAGAAACAAAAATCAAATTGAACAAAATAACCTCACTACCGCGAAGTTTTATCAATTCGATGCGTGCATAAAGTGTGTAATTCTTTCAAAAAATATAAAATAATACAAACGCTTGAAATTCAACAAACCGAATAATACTTTGAAATAACTTATCGCCACAAAAGTAATTTCGAAATAATTACACGGGCATTCTGCTAGTGCTGTGGGTGATTTTTTAACGATGTTTTGAAACAATGCATAGAAAAAAATAAATACCTAAATACAATCTAAAACACAACAAAGATAAATATCATATGAAAATGAATACCAATAGTATTTGAAATTAAAAATTATTTGTTCTACACTTCATCGTTAGTGATAAATTCATTTCGTCCTAAGTTGAAGAACAAATTAAAATCAATTGAAAGAGTGAAATAAAAGAAGCTCACATAACATTCACAATTATTGTTTTTAAAAAAATGGAAGAATCTCATATGTTGTTAACGGAGATTCCAGGACTGTTTAGTCATCATCATCATCCGCATCAGTTTAGTCACCATCATCCACATCAATTCACACATACAAGAAATTTGAATATTCATCGATATGCCCCTTACAATTTACATCAACAATACACACCTGCACCACCGCCTGTATACATTCCTCGTCGTTTACCGACCACAGTAGCGCCAATAATTCGTCCCATCACATCCCCATCTCCACCACCACCGGAGGGCACGCACATTGGACATTTATACCCAGAACTTTTAACAATGATATTTTCATATCTCGATGTACGTGATCGTGGTAATGCTGCTCAAGTTTGTACAGCATGGAGAGATGCCTGTTATTCGAAGAGCGTTTGGAAGGGAGTTCATGCAAAGCTTCACCTCAGAAGGTCGTCGCCGTCGTTCTTTCAGTCGCTCATGAAGCGTGGAATACGTCATGTCCAAATTCTCTCTTTGAAGAGAACATTAAAAGATGTTGTAACGGGGGTCACAAATTTAGAATCGCTTAACTTATCTGGTTGTTATAACGTAACTGACCCTGGTCTTGCACATGCTTTTGGTTTCGATTTGCCAAATTTGAAAATTTTAGATTTATCTCTATGCAAGCAGGTCACGGACTCAAGTCTTGGTAGGATTGCACAACATTTAAAAAATCTGGAAATTTTGGAGCTGGGAGGATGTAGCAATATTACAAACACTGGCCTTTTACTCATTGCATGGGGATTAAGAAAACTGAAGCGTTTGAACTTAAGGTCGTGTTGGCATATTTCCGATCAAGGTATTGGACATTTAGCAGGGTTAAGTAAAGAGACAGCTGAGGGAAATTTGGAGTTGGAATATTTAGGATTGCAAGATTGCCAAAGATTATCAGATGAATCCCTCAAGCATATCGCTCAAGGACTCATAAACCTCAAAACCATAAACTTGAGCTTCTGCATATCGGTAACTGACAGTGGACTTAAATTTTTATCTAAGATGCCAAAATTAGAAGAATTAAATTTACGCGCTTGTGATAATATATCGGATATAGGAATGGCAGGTCTGACGGAAGAAGGCGGATGCGGAATTTCTTCACTCGACGTTAGCTTTTGTGAAAAGATTGGAGATCAAGCTCTACAACACATTTCTCAAGGATTGTATGGCCTAAAATCGTTAAGCCTGAGTTCATGTCAAATCAGTGACGAGGGCTTGGAGAGGCTGTCAAAAATGCACGACTTACAAGTACTCAATGTTGGACAATGTAGTAAAATCACCGATAAAGGATTAGAAATGTTGGCGAATGAACTGGTGAACTTACAATCAATTGACTTGTATGGCTGCACAAAAATAACATCAAAAGGGATTGACATCATCATGAAGTTACCAAAATTAAAGTCTGTCAACCTTGGATTATGGCTTGTAAGGTGAAATGATGATGTCTTGTTATTTTCTCTTCTTCTTTTCAACTAACGTCCCAAATCTTACTCCAAATATCGAAACTCCATTAAAACCATACTAATGCAACATGGAAGACTTCAAAATACATCCGTAAATAATTGTTATGTATCCATGCATACAAACACAAACAACAAATCAATTTATTTGGCAATACATGGATTAGAATAAGAATAATTTTTTTGCTTTAACAATTTTACTCGTTTTTTAAGAAAAAAAAAATATTCATCACTTTTGAAGAATGAAGAAGACATGAAAAGAAACCTTAAAGGTAGATAAGAAAAAAAATGAAATTTTTCCATAACATCTTACAAATATCTTCTTCTGATATGTTGTTGGACATAAAAAAATGATATCGAAATTTAGGGCTCAGAGAATTATTTGTAAATAATGTCACAATGTCACTTGACTCTAGAATTTCGGACAAAAGGATACTCATTAGCTTTTTCATCTCTTTATGAAGCAGTGACATTAAATGTGAAAGATGATAACTGATGTTTAATGAAAGAACAGAAAAGGAGAAAAAGATACTTTTCAAAAATATAATAATATTAATAATAATACAGTAAGGATCGCTTCCATGCTGATCTCGTATCTTAAAATGACATTTTTTTAGAATTCTAAGAAGTTATGTGATACAACAATGGATGGAAGAGATAAAAATTGTTAGTTTATTTCACTTCTTTTTACGAAAAAGAACAAGAAAGGGAAAAATATTTTCTTTAATAAATTTCTTATGTTGAATATAATGAAAAAAAGTTCGTTTTCTGTTAGATGAAAGCAACAATAAGAAATGATTCAATGGAATGAAGTATAATGAAATTTCTCTAGGAAAAATTGCATCAGAAAATGGCCTTATAAACTTATTTTTTCTCATTGGATTTTCCATTTCGTTACTCTAAACACATTTTAAAGCGAACAAAAGTTTCGCGCTTGATTCATGTTTTTTAGGAAAAGTTTTCCGTTTTTCATCTTTAAGTTTTCGCCCCTTTTTTGTCTTTTTTCTTAGAAACAAAAAAAAACTATTCTTTAAGAACAAAGTTATTCTTGAGAAATACGACAAAGAATGCCTGAAAAGAGCCATAAATATCAGTTCTTTATGTTCTTTAAATTTATTTGTGATTTTCTATTATTAAATTTGTATGATTAAAAAAAGGAAAAGAAAAAATATTGCGAAAATGTAAGATCTAGAAAAAATATCTTTGAAATTTATGGATTTTATCAAAGACAAAATATTTCCCACGGAGAAAAAGGCACAAGATATTTTCATAAAGTTGATTCATTTCCACGCGAAAGGTTGGAGAGACGAAAGTCGCTCGACACGATTAAAAGAAGAACGAACGAGAAGCATGGGATGTGATAAGAGTTGTGATTCTTTCCGACTTTGTTTTTGTGGGTGACATGTGCCGGATGCTGTTCGCTTGTTGGACGAAAGCAATTTTTCTCGCCTGTCAAAGTGACATCAAAAGATTATTTTCTTCTTCTTCTTTAAATTTTTTTCTCCTTCTTTTCATTCTGTGATTTGATCGCTTCGGATTAAATCACATCAAGCGAAGAAAGAAAAAAAATTTCTCTGAAAGCAGAAGAAAAAAATCGACATCGAGAATAAAAAAAGAAAGAAAGATATTTAGAATGACTTTGATGTTTTGATCTGAAAGCCGGCCCCAGTCCACATCGTAATCAAATTTCGCAAAGCACCCAAAGCAAATGGAAATTTCTTCCAAATCGTTTTTCCTTCTTCTCTCATGAAATCAATGATAGAAACCAAAAACAAAATGTTATTTTTATTTATTTTTGTGCCATTTTATGAACAAAAAATAAAAATTTAAATTAAAAATTATTGAATAAAAACGAAACGCAAACATACATAAAATTATAAAGCCTGAATTTTTTTATTTCCCTCTTCATAAATTCATCTCATTGCCAATGAACAAAAATAAAATATATTTATTTTCCATCCTCAAAATTAATGCAATAATAATATTAATAATCATAGTTGAAATTAAAATTTTACACAATGGGACATAATTTCACGTTTTATCTCTGTAAAATGAATTTCAACTCAATGATATTGGTTCGGTAATTTTTTAAAGCAACGTGACAGGAAAATAAATAATTCGACTAAACATTTTTAGTTTTTCAGATTCAAATGCTTTTCAGTCTTTCTCACCAACTCGAATCAAGAAATTTCTTCTAAATGTAATAATTTTTTAGTTAAAGTTGAAAAAACTCTGTCATTCATAATTTTGTATTCATCCCATCAGTAATGTGTCTTCCAAGCTTCGGATTTTAGTTTGTTTGTTTCTTTTTCAATATCACAACAATTTTTAGACTGACAGCGATTTTTACTCGTGCATGGAACTCGTGTTTTAGTTATTTCTCTTTGGTTACGTTCTATTTAGACATTCAGACACTTAACTACCCAAGACATGTTTAAATAATATATTAGCGAACTGTCGATTGACGTGCAATGACAATAAAAAAAGTATATATAATCTGTTATCCAATTGAAGCTTTTACGATGAACAAGCAAATTGTATAAAAAATTTAAGCTCAGCTTTTACCTTCAAAAACTGAATGAACACTTTTTAAAAGCGAGAATTTCCATGTTTTTCAATTTTTCATTCAAACGTGTCACTTGTAGATACACAAATAGCACAACGTGTCTTCATTGCAACTGTATACACCCAGTAATCTAAATATATGTAATTATATGAAGAAATGATTGACGAAGAGTGTTCATTGTTGTAAGTTATAATCTTTTTGCATAAAATATTATTTATAAATTTTTTTCACTTCCCAAACGATCATGTGATAAAATAAAAATTCATGGTTTTCCTGTTTTCTCTAGCATAAAATCTGAATTACGAGCAAGCTCGTCTAGAAAGAAAAAAAATTTGTTGCGCACCGCGAGGGATCAACGAGACTCGTGAATGATAGTATTGAAGCTTTAAGCGAGCCAACATTATGTAAAATGCTAATGCCATGAAGCATCATTTAAGAGGCATTTTCATGACTAGTAGTCGCTTGAAATTATTGCGGAGAATCATATGGAAACCACCAAAGATATATTAATAAAAATAAATAAAATTGCAACACTCTATGTTGTTTCCAGCCTGTTCACCTACACATGCTTACCTTAAAAAAATTTATGATAATTTTTGTAGTCATTTCATTTCATATATCTACATTGTAGATATCTTTTTCTCTTTCATTCCCATATTAAACGTATAATTTGCATACATTTATGCATTCAACTCGACAAAGCAATTGCTGTATTGTGTGTCACACAAGCTCAAGTCATGCATGATAAAATTTATAATATGCCGAAAACTGAAGTAAGTATTACGATCGCATCCAAACCTGTTTTCAAGATGTTCCATCCATCACTGCAGTTCCTCTCTCAGGTGATTCTTTCTTATCTAAATATTTATCAGTCAATGAGAATGTTCATCGAACACTTGTGTAGTGACGCACGGCGCTCAACTCTGCTCTAATTCGCAGATCTCTTTTTTTCTGCTTACTTTGCTTGTAGAACATGCAGATAAACATGTGTACAAATGCGTTTTCTTTTTTTTAAACTTCTCTCCCATGTATATTTTTCCTTTACATTTTATTATCATATTGAACTAGATTATATGCACTTACAAACATGCCGTGCATAAAATTAGCAATGAAGAAAAAAAAATTACATGAGGAAGAATTATTACCTACCTACGGTTCCGCGAAGTGCATTTTCGGTAGAGCGGAGTTTTTGATGGCGCAACGCGCGTGCACGAAAAAAAATCAGAAATAATGAGAAGGAATATCGGTTTCATTATATTTCAACGCCACTTTAATGAGAAATTCTGCGAGCTTTGAGAAAATCCCAACTCGTTCTGGTGTCGGGTCACGCGAAATGCATTCTGCAATAATCTGGACTAAATATCCATCATGATGGAAAATGGATTAAAATTTTATGCCAGTTTTTGCATTTAACATAATTTCAAAATAATGACATTTTTTGGCATCGAGGCGTTTCGAGGCTTTTTTCTGCGTAAAAATGACAATTTTTAATGCTGGCTATTGAATTGGTAAAGTGTGGGTGGAAAGGGCTGCATTTTTGCAATTCTCGTCGAGCCAACCATTTGTGTGTGTAATTTTTCGTGGGACTGTTGTGGTTGAATAAAAAAAATAATAAATTTATGTATTTTTCTATGCTTTTTAATATTATGTGTACATAAACGTGAACCTTTTTTTGTGTAAATCAAACCAGCGGCTCATTATATGATTCGATGTTGTGCCTCAAAAATTTACAGCATTGTTCGAGTACATACTTATGTGGAAATCGCGATATATCTGCTTATGTGTAACGCGAGGATAAATCATCCTTTTGAAGCTTTCCCAATGATACTTTCGAGTGCAATAAATGAAATTATACAAAAATGAAAGAACTGAAGCATTAATTGCTCTTTTGCAAGTAATAAAAGGAAGTTCTTTGAGTTCTTCCGAAGGTTAAAGCTGCTAGAATAACTTTCGTTTGTTTGCATCAATAATCATTTCCATCCCGCACCCAATTGTAAACTGACAAAACGATAAACAAAAAAGTGAAAAGAAAATTTTTATCCCTTAAAACATTTTACAGTCATTTCAAGTTTCGCTAGTTTCCCTTAAGATTCTTCACATTTCTTCTTTTTATTTTTTACAACAGTAAACGAAATGGTAAGTTTCCGAAATGTAAACGATAAAACAATACAATCTAGACAAGATAGCTGGATGTGCTATTGCTCTGTACAAAGTAAAATAAAAAAAATGTACGAAATGCGATGGGGAAAAAAGGCAAGGAACAAGAGAACAATTAAACAATTTAAAAACGAATAAAAGAAAGATAATACAAGAAAAGGAAAGGAAAAGCAGAAAACTTTATTGTTTTATTGATTTTTTATAGCTGTTTGCATTGTAAAATGCATATTATAAAGTGCTGTAAAAATTTTGTATGGTTCATATACCGATTGTAGGGATTGTATTGTGATTGTAATGGAGCGAAGAGATGAAATGGAAATTCATGATGATGAATTGTTGTGTTGCATATAGAACAACTCACTACCTGAATGTGAAATGTTTATTGCACCATCGTGAAAACTTTATCGCTTTCGCTTCAAATTTTTCATATTTTTTTATCCATTTATGTTTTGAAAAGTTTTCATTTTTAATCGTCTATTGGTTAAGCGCTTTCTTCATGCTTTGGACAATCGAATCAAAGCATTTTTCAAAAGTGATGATAAAGAATTTCTTATACGGAAATGTGAATGAGAAATTTGACAACCTTGCAGTTAAGTTTGTAGTTTTTATGATCGTCTTCGTGGTGCGATGTTTTATTTAATTTTTGGGGTTCTCCCCACGTTTTATTGCCGCTGTTTTTATGTTTACCTTTTCGACTTCAACGATAACAACACAATGTGATTTCAACGCAACTTGTTTCTCGGCTCCGGATGGAATACTTTGTCATTGGCCTAATGTAAGTTGTGACATACAAATCGCGTGCATAATTAACAATGGGTGTATGTGTGGTTGCACAATTTCCATGGAGTTCCATTTAAATTTTCTTTTCCAACTGTTTGTCTAGAATGCGGGTTTCGATTTTGTCTTTCTTCTTGCGCAGTCTCATCTTAACAGCAACTTACAACTTTGTGTGTTTATTTCTTTTCTTTTAATTTTCGGTTTCTAAATATTAAATGTGCATTAGAAAACATTTCTTTCCCAACCAAAGAATGATGCAAAATTATTACATAGGAAAAGCAACACAATTAAAAACGACGGTTAGTTATGGTGAAAGAAGAAAAAAAATGCAAGCAAAGAGAGGCAAAAGACATTGTTGCCAATATTATCAAGCCACAAAACCAAAGTTGTTGACCAAAAACCTACTTCGTGGCGATTTTTCTCTGATTTCTTCATAAACAAGCTATTCGACTGGTTTTTCATATTTTTGTGGTCGCCATCTATTTTTTTTCTTCTCGACTATTTCAAGTCGTCCCAAAGCAGATTTTAATTATTGATAACGCTGCTTAATGAAATTTCCATACACAGACAAAATCATAAATTTTTCATGTTTCTCCGCTTTGACTTTTCCTTCTTACACGCTGTGGTGATGATTTTATTTTTTCTTGTGCTCAGCGTAATTTCTTCCAAGAATTACTAACATTCACTGCTTGTCCCGTAAAAGCTGTTCTACCATCTCTGAAGTGATATGTAAATTTTGTGCTGATCAAACGAGATTTCTTAATACTTTTGTTTGTCATAATTTTGTTTTGGTGCGCCTTTCTTACGCTCCTTACTGTCGCCGAATTTTAGGTTTAAAGTCAGTCAATACCTTGTGGATGAAAAGCATCTGAGAAAGAATTAAATAACTAAGAAAGGCAAGATGACGTAACGGAAAAAAAAGAACAAAAAGTATAAAATATATTCTGTTGACTCAAAATATATCATGATGGCTTCGTTTCTTAGATGGTTGGGTTGGTGTTTTAATAAATTCTCAAAATTTAATCTTTTCTTCTCGCCTTCGAAACATTTCTCGGAAAGATGAGTCTCGAGATGCTTCAAAGCGTCTTAGAATAAATAAAGTGCCTTCGTTTCTTTTTATTTTCTGCCCCATTCGTGTTTCATTTTAGATTGAGATTCAAGGCTGCAGCGATCATCTCGTATCTTAAACTTTATCCATACGCATACACACACAAAAAATAATTTTTATTGTACTTACAGTTTAATGTTCTCATTCTCGTTTCTAAATGAAAGTAGCTCCAGATGTCGTAGGTGTTTTTGCAACTAACTTCTTTAATAAAACTTTCATTGTAAATTAAATTAAATGAGTTTGTTCCATCAACTAAAATCACTTCAGAACACCGTCTTTGGCCCTAGAAATCTAATCCCAAAAAATAAAGCAAGAAATAAGAAAAAAAGAACTGGTCGAGAAAGGAATCGAAGAAATATCATTTTTCAGGTTCTTTCGTTTGCTTTTTTTTTGTGAGGATTCATAAGACGAAATGGGAAAGAAAAATCTACCTGCTCGAGTAAAAGGAACGCACACTTGTGTGCATGTTCAAGCAATATGCATTATGGACACAGAACAGTTTTTATTTTCTTCATCTTCGTTATTTTTCATTTAATATTTATAAGAAGTAAATGCCCCGATATTTTTTGTTGGTGTGTCGGTCTTCTCTAGACCCTTTTTTACAGCACTAAAATTTTGTGTGTTTTAAGAAGAAAAAAAAACTTAACTGAAACTGTGCATCATGGAAAAGTCTTTGGATGATGGTGGAGAGAAGATAAATAAGAATAAATATCTTCCTTCAATCGATGGAGCACTCAATGGTAAAAATGATTACCGAAAGAAAAGCTTTTCGATGGAAATACATACTCAATATTTCCGTTTCCGCTCTATATCCATTAGATATCAAAGGAAACTTGAGAATATCGCTTGCACCTAAAACAACATAACATTGAAAGCTGGAAAATGTTCGCCTTCCTGTTGGTTCGCATAAATATCATCACGTTCTAAGCCGTTGAATTCATACAGTAGTTTATCTTTACATTTGTTGTTGGGTTTGGGGTAGGGAGAATCAACTTGCTCGTTTCCTAATAAATATTCATTTAGAATTTCAATTTTTCAGAGAAAAAAAAAATGGATGGAATAAATGAATATAAATTCTTATTTTTACTGTTAAAAATGTTATTCTTTCTTACGTTTTCAATGTAAGGCAAAAATAAAATAAAAAATATAAAATTTCAATTCTCAAGACGCACCAAACGCCTTTGTTTGAAGACGTTCTGACGTTCTCTTCTCTTCTTCTTGTTGTTGATGATTTCAGGCAAAAGGCACTATGAGTTAACCAAATATACACAAATACAGTTGAATGTGAAAGAAGTCTTCGGCTAAAAAGCACCACACAGACCCGTCACAACTCATGACGAGAGTAAAAGAAAAATCTCGGTCCAAAGCAGCCGACTTATTTCTTATGAAATAAAATTATAGCTTAAAGCTAAAATATTACTAAAAAATATTTTAAAGACTCTTCAGGAAAAGTTTGTTTTGACGCTTAAGCTTGAAATCTGTTTGATTGTCATAATTGTATTCTTAACATATCTGTCTGTCTTCCTACTAGAAGCAATTCTTCATTTTAATATTCATGTCTACATCTTTTTTTTTACGACGGGCACTAAACTCGTAACAGCACAAAATGTTGAGCAACAATTTTTTTACGAATACTTTTAAAGATTTTTGGAACATGAGAAATATCCTAAAACTGGTTTTCTTCTTTTCTTTCACACAAAAAAGAGACCCATGAAAGAAATTTCTTTGAAAACAAAATAAAATAATATCTTATGCAGGCTAAAAATTGAATTTCATTTTTGTTAATATATCAGAGAGTGAAAAGTTCTGTAAACAAATGCACACATGTGTGGTTATTGACTTAAATTTGAGTTTCTGTTTGATGACGAAGACTTCACTTAGACCAATTTTTGTTCACTTTAAGAAAATAAAAAGAAGAAATCAAGTGGAAATTGAATAGAAGAAAGAAACTTTCGAAGGAAAAACAGCCGCAGAAATGCTTTTTAAATTCATTATCATAATATTTAATATTTAATTTCTCAACTACATTTCGTACATTATCAAGAAAGCAGCAAGAAAAGAGAAGAAGAAAGCCAACACAATTGCACTATTGTGTCAACTCCATAATGCACAGGATGTTGATGGAACAATGAAGAAAATGTTCATAGAATTTGATGTACGAGTATACGATGTGGAAATGGAAAAGGAAATACATGATTTAGTGATTCTTTCGATATCCTTTAGGTTTCTCATTGTTATTTTATGTGAATTTTTTTATATTTCTCTCTCTCCTTCTCGTATTCTTTTAAAGTTTCTTTCATTCGTTTTTCGCAACTCGTCTTATCGAGGGTTACATGTAACATTGGACGTACAAATAGCAACGAACAAGCAAATTGCGAAAGAATTTCGATGAAGCAACAGAAACATTTTTTTCATTCTTTTGACTCAAATTCTTTCTTAAGTTTGTTCGTTGCCGAATGCGAGAGTTGAGGAAATGATAAAATCGAGGAAAAAAGGGCAAATAAATACTTTTTCACGTCTTATCTTATCAATTCGTTTTTGTTTACCAGTAAAAAAATATCTAGTGGCGATAAGGGCAAAAGCGTAGAATTTATTGTGCCGTGAATCGAGTCGCCTTTCGTATCGCAAAAAACACGGAAGGTTTTTTTCTCTTTCTTGATGTTGTGAGTGGTTGATGAGGAAAGTGAATTACTTTCATTTACAGTGCGAATTCCACCTAAAAAGTTATCCAACTCTAAAGCAAACTCTAATTAATCAACTTACAGCATTTGAGAATTCCTGCTGTAGAGAAATTTTTCATTAATTTTCAGCATGGGAGGGAAAAACGATATCGAGAAGGCAACAAAAAAAAATTCCCATGATATAAATTACATGATGGAAAGGCAACGAGAGAAGTGTTTGAATCGAGGGAAAGACGACGATCGGGTAGATGAATTCTCTGAATTCTAACACCCCCCGTAGAATTTTTCTTTTTTCTTTCTCGACTCTCGACTAGTGCTTCATGTAGACATCCCCTGCACACAAAAGCGTGTGCTACGCCGCCAGATATTTCTTAGATAATAAATTCTCTGCTTCAATTTTAGAAATAAATATTGAGAATCCATTTCTTCCTCCTGGAGAGTTTTCTACGCGAATGCTTTGTTCATATCAAAATTCAATATTTCTTTTATCCTTCCTAAAGAGTCACTGATAAATGACGTAACATAAAACATGAATAATAGAAAAAAGTTGCGGCAGTAGTCACGATTGGCAAATATTTCGTCTCGATATCGCTTCTTCTCTTCTTTATCTCCCGTCTTTCCCAATGCTATAATTTTTTTTTGTCTTCTTAGTTTTCTTTGAATATTACGATAGAAACTAAAAGAAACGTAAATAATTATGGATGAAAGAAATATTTAAGACAGGTTTCTTGAATATTTTCGGAAGGTCTTGAGCCAAAAAAAAAATAAAGGAGAACTTTGCCACTAGCGATAAAAACCCGCCGACTGAAGCATATTCGATAGATTCAAGCCAGATCGGAAAGCAAAATTTCGTGTCATTTGATTTTCTCATTTTATGGAAAAAAAAGAAAATTTATCGTAACGTTGTCTGCTCAAGGAAACTCATTTCAAAGTTAAGGGTTTTCTTACCATTCTTCTTATTCATCGACAAATTCCTTCTTTCAGGTTTTCCTTCCCAGCAGTGTTTCATCATTAACCAAAAAATGTGATAAAAAATAGTTCAAGCTTTCAATGGATGAGTTTGTCAATGATGTCAAAACATTCCTTTTCAAACCTTCTCGGACCAAATGAAAATTTCTATAAAATATCGTATGTTAAATTGTCTTGATCGAAAGTATCAAAGTCATCTGAAATGTTACATTACAAAGAAATTCTTTGACAGTTTCACAGCATATTTTCATGAATTTCTTTTCGGAAAAAGTCGATGAGAAACCCTTTCTATGTTGAAACTCAACGATGAAGCAGAAAAATTGTTTATGTTTTATTTTCAATCTGCTATGCTTAAAAGAAAGATTGACGAAGAGAAAAAAAAAGGGAAAGGAAACACGAAAAATATGCAAAATAATTTGATAATTACTGGGTGCATGATATTCGCTTACCAGCCCATGCACACGAAAATAGTTGAGTGTCTAACAGAATTGCATATTTAATTGCTGAGTTCCTTTTCAATGTCGATCATGTTCTGCCGTTTCAATGCAGCATGTTGTTTGTCAGATATCAGGTTTAATGTACAGTTGGCTTTCAAGCTTCCACTGAATGTTCCGATGATAAACGAAACAAATTTTACAGCGAATAAAAATTTTCATCGCTTCCAAAAGGATTTGTTTCGACAAATACCTCGTCGCTCCTTGTTGAAGTCTTTAAAACAGATGTTGAATATGCAAAAAACTTTTTTTTTGTTTCATTCTCTTTTATTTCCCGTGAACGATTCAAGTTGAATGAGTAACCTTCACAACTACCCATTCGTTTCGAATGAGTTAATTCTCATCATTTTTTCACACTCCATAACGTTTATAGTTTTTATTATTTGTAACGTAAGTATTGAAATTTGTCAGAAAGATACTTTTGGTCATTTCGGACATTGAAGAGCTTTATGGGAATATCCAGAAACATGTTGGTTGTTGGATCCAACTGAATAATTTCGGATCGTGGTTTTCCTCTCTAGATTTGATGTTATGCTTATGCCTGGGAGGTTCAAAACTTACTTTTCTTAATGATCCCTTGCTTAGATTTAGAATCAGATGTTTGAATCTCTTTCAATATTTGACACATCAACACATTCCGTCACACTAAAAACTGGAGATAAATCATCAAACTTCGACATCATTTTCTACTTTTTCCCATCATTTCTATCTAAAGCTTCGTTGAAGGAAGAAAAATATTCTCAAAATTCACTTGCCATCATACACAAAAAGTTTCAGAACATTTATTTCTGAAAGAAAGAAAAGAAACCTAAGAAATATTGCCTAAAGCATTTTGATCCTTTCTACTGGCATACATAACTCGTACATTTTCAATAAAGACTAAAGAAAAGTTTTCCATTTCATCTTCTTTTTTTAAAACATCGAAATCTTTCAAAAAAGAGACGAAAAGAAGAAATTTTTTCTCGTAGCAAAGTTTCGCTTTGTTTTTTTTATTCTTTTTCCATTGGTGAAGAAGGTGAGTAAACAAAGTGTCTGAATGCGAGCACCATGCAGAAGACAGTTTCATTAATTATAATCAGCCCTCAGATGCGAACACAAGCCATTAAAGAATTCTCCTTCAGCTTTTATATTTCGCCTCCATTCTCTACTCATAATGTACCCATTATTTATGTTTGTTGCTTTTCTCTTGCGCGATTTTTGTTTTTAAGGGAAAGTTTTCCATATACAGATAAATTCTCCCTCTCCCCACATCTTTCGAAAAAGGGCATACGGGCGCCCTTTGAGTATTCAATGTACTGCCTCTCCCCCTCTCTCTCCTCCAGCTCGCATTGCTTAGAATTTTGTGATGGAAGTTCAGGAAAAAGGGGTTGTTGTGAAATGAAAGCATAGAATAATTTTTATTTTGAAAGAGAAAATTCTTCTCCATGTGCCCTCCGCATTGAATCGGCTGCTTTTCTATTTTGATGCTTGCTGCCTTCGTTTCTTATGTATAGAAAATGGGAAAATGAAAACTCCATGGTGTGTGGAGTTAGGCGCACATACACCATTCACATACAAGATATTACATGTACATTAAAAAATCAATAATTCCACCCGTTCAAAGCCCACATCGTGCGAAAACTCCAAAACAAAACAACGCAACGCAACGTTCGCAAATAGAGAAGAGAATGAGTGAGAAAGTGCAAAATAAATTTCGATGGTAAGCAGGCAGCAACAGTAGAAACTTTTCCAAAAAGAAAGATAAAAAAAAAGAAGCGAAAATGTTAAAGCGAAAGATGGGAAAACAACATTGTTGATGCTTTACTGATATCGAATATACTTCACTTCAATCTATGTCCTACGCACTTCCGAACATTTCTGTTGCCATTTCTTGTGTCGATATAGAAAGTCTCATGGATTGCTTTTGCCATTTCTCTTATTATGGGCTGGTAATAACAGTAAAAAAATATTGTTAGCCCAAAAGAAGAAAATAAAGGAAAAAAAAATTGAAGAGACTGAGTAGATGATGATAAAGAGTTGAGAGTAGAAAAAGGAAAACTACGTTACCTTGTGTGCTTTCTTTCCTTGACAAGATTTCCTTCTTTTTCCGAACGAACATGCATTGCCTCAAAACATGGACCTGATATGAGAATTTGATGTCCCTTCTGTCGATATCAGACAAAAATAAGCTCTTCCCCTTTACTCGTGAAGATTGTCGAGTAAAAAGACGAAGATAAAGAAGGAAAATGTGAATAAAATTGGTTCTGTTATCAAGGAACTTTTGCGTTCTTCCATCATCATTTCCATTTCGCAACAAAAACGAATAGATGAGGCGAAGACGAAACACTGGAATGTTTCATTCGACAGAGTAAATTTTTTATCCATTATGTCTTTCAACTGAAGGAAAGGAACGAAAAATCTTTGAATAGATCTAAGCGTAAATGGGAAAATATGTACACGAAATGAAGAAACATTTCAGTCATGAGCTAAGGCAAAAATGTTTCGTTCTTTCCTTTCTTTACTTTCTTTTTTAGGAATGAAATATATTTTTAATGTTATGCGAGAGTGAGAAAAGTCTATCTAGAATTTCCCATTGAAGCGACTTTAATTCTTTCTTTTTTCATTCTGCTCCTTTTTTCTGACTGTGTTAGAAACTTGAAGCCGGGAGGAGTAAAGGGAGAATTTCAAAAATTTTCCTACACTCGCTATTTCCACCCTCGCCTCCGTTGGGAAAAGAAGGAAAACGACTCGACGCTAGCAAAAATATATGCGATGAGGAAAATTTTCTCTTCGAGCTTTAATTTCTCGTTTTTTTTTTGTTTTTTTCCTCATCGGTATCAGACCCTCCGTCGTTCTATATATCGTACACAGATCGAAGATAATACACTTTAATGGGGTTGTCTGATGAGACTTTCATACGAAGAAACTCGCAAACTCATATATGGACGATGGTAAGAAGACGATAGAGAGAAAGGAGTTTTTGAACAGTACGAATGAGTTTTTAGACTTTAATGGGAAAACGACTTTCACAAATAAATTGGAAAAGCGTTTAAGCACGAAACTCACCGAAATATGAAAAAGAAAGAAGAAAGTTTTTAAACTTAACTTTAAGAACGAACATCATTTTCATATAATTCCCATAGCTCGATCGTTCACATTCATTCTATCATTCTATTCTCGGGTGTTCTTTTAACATTCGTTAATACATTGGGACAGGCAAGCAATGGGAGAAACGCAGAAGAAAAGAAGGGAAAAAGTATCTGGAAATATTCTGATAACGAATAATGCTTTCGGTTATGTATAGAAGTTTTTCTTCCTTTTCCTTCGTTCAATGTTTCGAGAAACGAGAAAGAAAGGCAGACGCACACAAACAGATCGCAAAAGAGAAGTTTCTTCATGAGATGAAAGGACCTAAACACGAGGCAATGCGGCAAGTGAAAAAAGGATTTTCCTGCTTTTTATATTTTTCTGTTTTTCTTCTCTCAAACATTAATTTTCCCTCGTCGCTCGAATCCCTTTTTCCGTGTGCTATCTCAACTTTAATGCGATGTACTAAAAGTGGAGGAAATTTATATGCTTCTCTCATGCTTCACCATTTCTCATACGCCCGTTCGTTGTAAAAATGAAGAAATAAAGATGAAAATAAAAGAACTTTAAGTTTAGGTGAAAACGCGCGACTCTCAATGCGATTTTTCTTTTTTATTATTTCTTTACGAAAGAATACAAAACGAACAAACGAAAATAAGAAGAAATAAAATAAAAACAACAAAACCAAGCTGTGTAAAGTACCGAGAAGGAATTAAAATGTATAATAGAAAGACGACAATGAAAAGTTGCAAAATAAAATTACGCAAAAATGTCTCTTTAAAGCGACAACATCAAATAAAAATAAAAATAGAAGAAAAAAACTGTCGCATGATTGTCGTAAGAAGGAAATTGAAGTTGATGCACGCTCAAGGCGAGTTCATCATAAAACATTTTATACTGAGAATTGACATTAAGTATCCATTGCATTATTATTTATATTCTTTCAGTTTCACTCTCAACAAAACTTCTCAATGAAACGATTCAATGAAGAATTTCTTTGCGTGTCATGTCGCATATTTTTCTTTTAAAATTCATAATTTCTTATCTCTGATCTTAAAGACGCATTTGTTTTCTTTGAAATATAAAAGAACTGTAAGGCAGAATGGAATAAAACAAAACACAATGAAGCTTCAACTTATTGCATGAGCAATGAAAAAAACATTGGCGTTATTCAAGCAAAAATTATTTTTTATTCTTCTTCCAAAAACAGCATTTTCTTGAAGAAAAACAGCGAATTGAATATGAACAAAAAAAAAATATTTTTTTCCCTCAATGCGATAGATGGAATGAAGCAGCACAGTGCCAGTGCATGTTTTTAATTTTATTTTTCCATATAGAAGGAGAAGGAAAAGAAACAAAAAAGTAAGAAAAAAAAACTACGGAGAATATCGACGACTCGCAGCACAAAAAACCTTCTGCGATGGAAAGCAACAAAAAATACTCTCTGTGGATGTATATTATATTGCACATACCTACACAAACTTCGCTTCAACTCGATATCTTTCAAAACACATGTGAGTGGCAGCAGTGCTCGGAACAAAGCTGGAGAGTCCCCCTTTTCATACGATTACCAAGACATTTCTTCTAAGTCTTTAAAGAAGCTCATTCGACCTACTCAAAGTCCCAGCACTTGCTTACATTCTAACTCAAATACACTCACTCACACTCACACAGCTAGCGAAATGACAAGTCGAAAGCAACGTTGCCTTAGAAGTTTTAGCTCAGTATTTCGAGCTCCATAAAGTATGGAATTCGAGACAATGTCGAAGTCTATCACAAGAAACTCGATTTTTCATGGGGCGATCGCCCAAGAAATAATGAAAATCTTTTCCACGTGAGGTATGCTCTCGAGAAATACGATTTCTGATGGTACGCCATCGGCTCAGAAAGTATTGAGATTTTCTCCTATCTGTCATTGTGTATGTGATACTCGATACTTCATGACGCGACGCACAATAAGAAATGAAATAAAAGTGCGCATACTTCCAATGCTCATGAAATTCAATTCTTTCTGTGCATTTGAAACAGGAATATGATCCGCACAAGTAAAAATGAAATTCACGATAACGTAGAGAGCGCTATAACAATTCAAATACTTTCTGCTACGAAAAGCGTATATTCGTTCAATTCACGAGACTGTTCGCTCTCTCATCTCTCATGGTTTTAGTTTCAGTCGGAATCCATTTATCGACTATAAGCACATTGTATAAGGCTCCACCGTTGTTGTATAGTGTTTTATATATATTTTTTGTTCGAAGCAAAAAAAAACTTTTCTGAGTTCCATACAGTCGAAAATATAGAATATCTACAAAGAGCAAAAAAGCGTTCCATGCTGAAGAAGAAAGACGAATAAAAAAGCAGCCTTATAGAGAATGGAAACTGGCTACGACGAGAAACGGGCCTCAAAGGCGAAAAACGAAAATGGGGAATCATCGGAATTTCACTTGCCTATTGAGCAAGGAATTTTAATTCGAAAATGTATGCTCTTCCCTTTTCGCTTTTGCAATTCCTTTAATTTCTTTCTTTTTTGACTTGTTTTCATTTCAAACATTTTCTCGATGCAGTCACAAGCGGCTGATGCTGTCATAATCTTGTAGCCCCCAAGTTATCCATTGAAAGGAAATATTTCCTTCTCTTGTTTTGTTGCAAAACAACATACATACATTAAATTCCTGCTCCATTGCGCGCTATCGCTTCTGATCATAACAGTTCTTTCGTGATCGTCCAGTGGAAGGTTGTTGAATGGAGTGAGTGAGTGGTGTAAAATGCAAATGCAGAGAAAAAACAGGTTGAAGTGAGACAAAGAAGGAGAGAAAAAAATGCAACTAAATAATAAAAATTTATAAGCAGAGTTGATAACAAGAGTTATCTACTGCGTTTACAAATGATTTCAATTCGACAGATTGACGACTTTGATATTCATTTGACAGTAGACATGCACTGACATTATCGTGAAGGCCGATGACACGCTTACGATTGTTGATGAAAGTTTGTTTTGTTATTTTGTTATTTTGTTAACATGACAATCTAAAGCTGTTTAAAAGCTTCGACTTATTACGTCCCTGTTTTTGTTATTTTTATATTTTCCATGCAAAAATATATAAAAACAGGAAACTGAATACACTTAAAAGCAATTTCCAACCCGCCTTTAATTTCAGAATATCATAGTTTTGAACTCTTCTCTTTAATCGTATTTTTAACATACTCATTGTTGCGTGACCGTTAAAGTGAAGTGAGAAGACAGCAGGTAGAAACAAAACTAAAAAAATAAAATTGATTTCTACCTTCACTGCTTTTAAGGGTTTGCATGTTCCTTCTAAAAACTAAATATTTTATATCTCCACTCGAATGCTTCTCCTTGAACAATAAAAAAACGAAGATACTTGAGATTGACTGAAGTTCTTTTGTAAAGTCTAGAAGTCTAAAATAAATGGCCAATCGATGAAATCTCTGAGAATCCAATAAAATTGAGATTCCATTTTATTTAATGTATGACATTAAATCAAATTAAAGCTAAAATTTCCTTAAAAAAGTTATCTTTGCAGTTAAGATGAGTCTAAACTTCTATCGTAAGGTTATTTATGGTTTGACGATGGATGAAAAGCTATTTTGATTTTATTATCATTTTTAATAATAATTGTTATTAAACTTGTTCATAACTTGTGAGAAAACTTAAGAATTTCTTACGTAATTGAAGTTTTTTTTTTGTTGCTACAACTAACTGATTCAAGTCTTTTTTAATAATGAATAGATAATTAATCAACGAATTCATTTTTTTTTTGTTAAATGTAGCCGACCATAGAACTCGATCTTTAAGATAAAATTTAATCATTTTTTATGATTCTTATGAGTTGATTGTAAAGTTTTTATTTTGTGTTCTTTTTTATTAATTAATTCTGTTTCTCCAACCTGTTCAAAAGTTTTCAGTTCTGTTTATATTCTTGTTCGCACTTCGCTATGATTTTATTTCTCAATATTTTTATGAAACTTTCGGCTTAGTCAAATTTACACTTCGCCAAAAAGTGTTTTTGACGTTGATTGTCCAAATTGTTTCTGCTTTGAATGTTCATTTGAAAAAATGAGCAAAATGCATTTTGAAAGAATAGAAAATAAATCACAAACATTTAATTGTCTCATGTAAACTGTTGACGAAGGTGTGTGATGAAGAGAAACAATTTCATCAACGGAATTTCATTTCATTTTTTCATTCGCTCATAAAAGTTTTTTTCATTTCCATCTATGACGTGCTGAAGACTACAAAACCGTTTTTAAAGGATTAATTACTACTCAATGGTGCAAAATGCTTTTACGATGAGACAGCGGAATGAAGCAACAATCTCTTCCTGAGTTATTCCGTTTAAAAGATGAACGATGATCAACTTTTTTATTCACGGAAATAATCCTTTTAAAAATCAAGAGCGAAATAAAGTTTTCTTCTTGAACGATAAGTTATTGTGATAAAAAAGGCAGGGAAAGGTTTCCGCTAACATTTTTGCTGTTGAAGATTCTTCGAATTCATTTGCAATTCCAATCTCTGCTTAAGAAAAGAAACTTCCAACTTTTAATTCTTCACATTACGTCCAAAACATTTCTTTTATTTTTATTTCTTTTTCTTATGTACACTCATCAAACATTACAATTTATACATGGATATATGATTTTGGATAAAGATTTTTGATGTACATTAATTAGATAATTAAAAATATTTTACATTTTATGAACTTCTGTAGTGGTTCTGGTTTTATAATTATTTTTATTTATTTATTGATTCTTCTTTTGCAAATGATGAACAAAGTGCTTTCAAATGAATTTCTTTTTTCTATATTTGATAGTAACTTTGACATAATAAAACAAAATGAAATTCTAGATTTAAATATTATTAACTAAAGATGATCTACTAAAAATTGTCCTAAAAATTTCATCTTCCTAACAAACTTCTTATGAAGTTCACCCACGTTTCCCAATCTTATTAAATGAGTGCATGATAAAAAACTAGTAAAATGGAAAACAATTATTCTTATCGAGCAAAATTTCTGTCTTGAACACCTTCAAGACTTATAAAAGAAGGAAAAAAATTATCTTGAGAGTCATTTTGTATAGAAGTTCTTTAAAAAATTTCTTTCAGAATAAAAAATTGAAAGTACGTTCTTAGGGCACTTTAAAAATGCGCTTGTGACCTTTTTCTTCACTTCAAAAGTTAATTGAAAGCGGATGCACTTAAGTGAAGCTGTTAAGTCTTTTTATGTGTTTTCGCTTTCTTGCTGGCAGTTATAAATCCTGAAAAACGGAGGATTCTCTATTGAAGTCGATGTTGGTGCTTATGCTGTTGAGTGTTAGCATAAACAAGGCGTTAAGTGTTGTGATTCAAGGCTTCATTAAGATGAATTGAATATTATTTAAGCAAATAGAGAGAGAGAGAGAGAGAGAGAGAGAGAGAGAGAGAGAGAGAAAATGAAAAGTAGTTGAATTTAATATAATTTCGATTCTGATTTCATCACTTTTTCTTTTTTTGGTTTAAACTTTTCTTTTCTTATAATTTTCAGCTTGGGATAAAAATGTTGACTCGCTCAATAGTGAACTCTACTTGAAGACTGAAATTATGCGTTGATATAAATATTGTCGTAAACTAAACTTAATCCGCTTTCATATTTTCATTGTGATATTGATAAGAATATCGATTTGTCGATTAGTAGAATAATGGCAGTATTTATATAATATTATCGAAACTAATTCCATCTTCCAGTTGTGTTTCTATATTGTTGGTTTGTTGTTATAACAGCTGTCTCTGTTGCTTTAGATCATGCGCACATTTTAGATTAACTAAAATTTATTATAAATTCTATTTCGATTCACAATCCTATGGAGTTTTCATAAGTGTTTAAAAGGAAGTTGTGCTTAACTTCGCGAATCATTACTTTCACTATAATCACTTGAATCATTCCGCGATTCGCGGTTGTTGACAATTTTTGCCTTGTATTCGGTTATGACGATAGTAACGTTATTCACCGTCACCTGTTCATCTTTTCCTGTCGTTCGATCGATGTTTTTCAACCTGACGTACTTCGATCTTTTGTTTTTATTTCGCGAAAGCTTATTGGAAGATTTAGAGCTATGTGGATTACTTGATCCAGGAAATTGAAGTTGAGTTGCCGCCTGCTGAGCGCTTACAAGAGCTGAATTCAAACGCGGCTTCCTCGTTGAGGTTCCTAAAAAAAGCAGAAGTGATTTCAATTAGTAGTAAATTTCACGCTCCATTTATAAAGCAGATTTCATTTAACACTCAAAATAATGTTTTATTGTTATTCGACATGAACCATGAAGTATCGATTTTGTTTTACGTTCACCAACACTATCAAATATTTCACGAAATTGTCTACAGTCTGTAAACTTTCATTTTTAAGAATTTGGGGAATTCCAAATCGATTCTTGCGATGGAATTCGGTTCTTCCTTGTTTACAATGAACGAATGTAACTTTTCTATCAATAAAAACGTTGAAAAATGGAATGGAACTTGTAATTTACCTTTTCTTACATCGCACATTAGACACTTGAAAGCTTCTGCTGTATTTCTAAATGTACACACAGAACAATCCCAATAGTCTTCTATCACTTTTTGCTGACGTTTTGGTCTCTTTATCTTTTGATTCTTTGAATCCATTTCTGAGCGCTACTTCAGACGTTTTAACTAATTTTTTTCATTTTACCAGAAAGACAGCCATCTTAAAAACTTCAGAGTGATGAGAAAAACCTTCTCGCACATCGGTTTGAAGTTGAATGAAACGCACGGAACAATGGTAGACATTCTCTCACGAAACGTTTATACATTGACATACAGCTCTCTGTTTGTAAAAGTGATGAGAAATCTTTACATATATTTCAATGCAACGCAACATATATTTCAGAGTTTTCTGATGTTTTTAATGTTTTGTTACTAATCGTAGAGCAAAGTCGAGGAATGTTTCATAGAAAAAAAACATTTGTAGGTTTTGAACATAATAATAAACATTTGAAGTGTTCTGAAACATTTTTGTTCGTATCAGGTAATTAAATTAGCACACAAAAGAATTTTCTGTTGCTGATTAATTTTAAGAAGATAGAAAAATAAATATTTACAAATATTGTAAACTTTTTTATAAAAATGACAAAACATTTTTCTTAAGGAACCATCAAATGATTTGTTTTTCAAACGTAATTTTTTAATTATTTAGTGAATTTACATATCTAAGTTCTTTTAAACTCAATTTTCATAGTTCTTTTTCCTAAAAGAAGCTTAAAAATATAGTTTACTGGAAATTATTTCATATACGAATTCTTTTGAAATTGATTAAACACACGGGACGTTCCCATATTATATTCGGAATATCTGTTGGTAGCATAAAACATGCATTAAGTAACAATTAAGATTTTTATCATTGTTACAAGTTTTTGGTGTTTCCTATGGTTTTATATTTTTTTATTCGAACCTTGAAAGGAAAATTCATGTCATAGAAAAAATGATTTAGTTGAACTTGGGCTGTTCACCTTAACAATCGCTTCAATATAAAAGTTCATCATGGTGGTGATGAAATATTTTTGCTACTATTTTCCAGTCAGATTAGGAGTAATAATTACGAGTTCTATGGTAATTTTGCAAGAATTGGGAGTTTTTACTTATTATTTCATTAATGAGCCTGAAGATTTTGAAGAAATTGCGAAAAATATTCAACAAAAAGACGATGACACTGCTTCAAGTGATGTTGTTAACATCGTTCTGGATGTTGTGAGCGATTGTAAGTGAATTTAATTTTAAAGTGAACATTTTCCAATAATTAATTACAATTTTTGTTATAACAGATCCTACAGAAGTTCGACTCGTAGGTTTAGGCTTTAGTGGACTTTTGATTGTTGCTTCAATAATGAACATTATTGCGTCGCTGAAAATTTGGAAATGGCTCTCAATTCCTTTCATTATTCTTCAATTTATTCGTCTTATAACTCTTCTTGGATATCATATTATGTTGATGATGATTTTAAAGAAACAACTCAACCTTGGAGTTTTAATTGTTGCATGTTGTGCGGGAGGATTTTTGATATTATTTCTCGGTTACTTATGGGCATGTTCGTTGGCGTTTTTCGAAATTGTTGGAATTGTCAACAGCAAAGAATATCAAAGTTTAGTTTTACCTTCATCATCAACACCTGCAACTGCAAAGATTCAAAGGAACTTCAACGTTAAAAAAACTTCTAACATAAAGCCATTCAACAATAACATCAAGAATGAAAGAGTTGTAAGTATGGGAATGTTCTTAAATGACTTCTCAGAGTTCAATAAAAGACCAAGGTTTGCTTATTGACTAATGTGTAAAAATATTTTATTCTGATTTGTGTTTAAAATTTATTGTTATAATAAATGTCTTAAAACTTAAATAAAAGAATTCTGATATGTAAGTACTGTGTGCATTGTTTGAAACAATTAAAATGTTATTAATTTATCCTATGCAATTAATGCTTATACGAAAGGCCATTTCTATCATGTTCTGAGGTGTTTTTCCATTAAAACACACAAAAACTTCTCTCGAGCCAAATAATCGACCAATTATCCATAAGTCGATAAAATTTCCGTTGCTTGTTTTTTCTTGAATCATTAATCCATGTTCTTTGATAGGCATCATTGATGTTGATTTATGAGAAAACTTATTGGTTTCTCTAGAAAACATGATGTTGAATTTCGACGTGTTTTGGAGTAATTTGTGGATTTTTATGCAACCAGAACGAAAAATGTTCAACATTCGATCATTTGTCTTCAACTGATCTTGTTCATTCATCGGTGTTATCAAAATTCCTTTTGATTCGTCTAATTGTATGAAATTGATTAAACAATTATCTGTGGAAAAGAAATGAATTTAGATTTAATTAAATTTTATTATATTTAATTTTTTACCAGTTCCAAAAGTTAAAGTTTGAGGGAATATGTCACTAAAATCTTTGTAAATAGCGTCGGAAAATTCAGTTATGTCAAATCCACTGCTACTTTTCTGACTTCCATAATCAAACTCAGTGTCGTCGTCTTCTTCTCTTATTGTTTTAAAATAATCAGACACACATGAAGCTCCATCATCTTGTTCCAGAAAATTCTCACATAAAGGACGTTTCAGTGAGTTAATCCAAATTTTAGTGAGATTTTCGATGCCAACAAAATTCATGTGATCTAAAATGTCGTCCATCTCTTCGAGAAAATAAATCAAATAATTTGAGTTTTGCATCGCAGTTTCAGGATTGCTGTTGAAACTATTTTCTTCAAGTAAAACGCTCATCATAAGATTTCCATGAGCCAAAATAAGAAGGAAAACTTTGTTTTCTCTTGCGTCGTTGTTTCCGTTGAACGATTGATAATCTTTTGGATAAACTCTTTTCCATATTGCAATCTCTCGAACATTACAATGTGTGTAAATTAACTTAATACACGAGAATTTGATAAACAATTCAATGTTTTCCATATCGATTTTATTAAAATGTGAACAAATTTGAAACGTTTTATAAAACATACAAGATCCGATGATGTTAAACTTCCCGAAAAGTTCAATAAGTGTTTCATTCCAGTTACGATAATCCATGGCTTCAAGTTCACTCAAAGAATCATTCATTCTTAATACAATTTCTTTTGGAAGTGGAACGTAATTCGAGCAGGAGAAAAGATTTTCAAAATCAATGTCAGATTTTTGTTTGCTTAAATAAACTTGGATCAAATCACAAATTGTTAAAAGCTCTTCAAAGCTTCTCAGATTTAAGGCATCAGGAAAAACATAATCCAAGTATTTTAAGATATTTGTCGTATGATGAGCGACATCAAAACGATTCACGTAGTTTGCATTGAAACTTAAAATTATAAATTGAGTTTCATCTTTAACTGTCGTTGTTATGAAATATTTTGTATCATGGAAATTAATAACAGTCACATTAGGCGAAGAAAATGATGATTTCATAATCATTTGAATTGTTAAGAAAGATCCTTTGAGTTTATGTAGAAAATTTCTTTCTTTTGGTGGATATGAAAACATCGTCGTAAAGTCTTCTGAATCTGAAGTTTCTTGTTCGTTTTTTGTTATCACAATCAGGCTGAAAATTATCTCATTCGATGAAGATGTGTCCATAAGAAAGAGTTTGCTTCTGTTCGAGATAATATCAGATGATTTACTAATACTGATTTGTTCTGAGCCGAGATGCTCCAAGTCGTTGACATTTTCTCCACAAACTGTTAAAGTGAAAGCAAATTTGTTCTGAATTCTCTTCAACATTGAGTTTATGTTCTCAGGAGATATTATTTCCTTATCGATAAACTTAATGAAGTAGTTATCACCTTGAAGTGATTTAAACACTGAGGATTCGCTTACATTCTTGATGAACAACTTTTTGTCGATCAACACAATCGATGCATTGAATAATGTTTCAAACATATTCTCATAATTTGCGTTGATTGTTTTAGATTTTCGCAGTTTGAGTTTCGTATTTTTGTTCTTTTCCATAACAATGGTAAACTCTTTTAATAAAGATCCATCAGCATGAGAATAGTTTTCAACTTTTTTCACTTTCACGGAATTATTTTGTTGATTCTTTTTACTAATTTTTGATAATACTCCTCGATTTCTTCTAAGAGACATTCTTTTATATTCATTGCGAAATGCATTTTGATTGCTGGGTGATGCTGCTTCAGTTAGACTTAACTTTTCAGAGCAGCGAATGAAAAACAATTCCGAATTTCCTTCTGAATCTTCATCAATGAAATCTTTAAAACTCGGCGTATAAGAAAACGATGATCTATCACTTTCCTGGTCATTATGTGACACTATTATATGATTATTCATGTTTGTACACTTTTATTTAATTTCAATTTATTAAGCATTCAGTCTTTTTTTCATTAATTCACGAAAAATACTAAAATTGAGTTTTTTTATTCCCTACGATATGTCAGACAGACAAAAACTGTTTAACAACGTTATATTTTGAACTTTTGCTTCAGTTTAGCATCGTAATACTTTGACACCCTGAATTGTACTTTAACGCCCCTGTCAATTTCAAGTGAAGCCCAAAAGCAGAATTTAGTTGAAACAGCGAAGCCACGAAAAGAAGAAGCATCATCAAAAATAATATAAATCAAATTATTAAACATCATTCATCATTTTATATTGAAAATTTATAAAGCAAAAGAAAATACAAAGCACCTTCAACATGCTCGATAAAATTGAAATGAGTTTGGATGACATCATAAAGAGCAATAAAAGAACACCAAAACCTAATCGCGGAAGAGGAAATTTCGGTAACAAATCAAGTTCAAACAAGAAATTTGGCGGAAGAGTCGCATCAGGACGAATTACACGTTTAAAACACACTCGGGTAAGGTGGAAACTTCCAAAATGAGATAAAATGGTAGAGAAAATGCTAAGGAATAGAACAAGATAGAAGCATACCAGAGTGAGATGGAAATATTTTATTCATTGAAATGTGGACGACTAATTTTTTGAAAACAAAAGAAATTTCTCATCCTGATTTATTATCTCCTAATAGATATTTTTTTTACTTACTATAAATTGATAAAAACTTCTTAGTTATGCATAAGACGTCACTGAAATGAGTCATTTGTGAAAGAAAAACAGTGTGCGTGTTGAAAATAATATATTGAGGGACATTTTTATTTATTCTACGTGTACACGAAGATGTTATAATTATTTAATACTTCGTGATAAACATTTCGAGCAAAGAAAAAATTATCGGGTCTTATGAGTCAAAACCCTTAAAGTATGAGATTTATAAGGAGTGAAGTGTAGAAATGTTATTGGTTGCTGAAATCTTCTGATGAGCAGAATAGTCCTGTCGACAATCCAGGAATCCTTCGATCACTCTATTTCTAAACTTTCATCTCCATCAAATCGACTTTTGCTTCTTCGTATTATGCTGATGATAAAAAAAAACTCCAAAAAACAAAACCACATCCATTCCAGGGTGATGTCAACAGTTCATGGAAACACGACTTATTTGAAGGCGGACGTAAAGGAGGAATTGGTATTGGAGGACTTCGTACACAAGGCGGTGCTGCAAAATTAGTAGTTTCAAACTTGGACTTCAGCGTATCAGATGCAGACATCAACGAATTGTTTGCAGAATTTGGGCCATTAAAGCAAGCAGCTGTTCATTACGATCGTTCTGGAAGATCTTTGGGTGAGTTTATCAAAGAAAATAACTAAAATTCCTTTTATAACTGTGAATAATTTTTCTAGGAACGGCTGATGTCGTTTTTGAACGACGCACTGATGCTGTAAAGGCTATGAAACAGTACAATGGTGTACCGTTAGATGGGCGTCCAATGAGCATTCAACTTGCTACATCCGAAGTTTCTCAAGGACGATCTCAAGCTTCGAAACCAACATTCTCATCTAACAGACCACGAATAACTCGAGGTTCACCTCGTGGAGGTATTTACAAGATGATTTCGATATTTATTGAAAGAAATTTAATTAACTTTTGGTTTGATTCCTTAGGTGGCCGTCGTGGTGGTACAGGACGTGCAGGAGGTCGTCAAGGGGGTCAAAATCGACGTGGTGCAAAACGCGAAGTGACCGTCGATGAATTAAACGGTAAATAAAAAACATTTTCTTTTTTGACGAATAACTTTTAATAATATTTTTATTTTAATTCCAGCTGAACTTGATGCATACACAATGCAAGGCTAAATCTAAAGAAGCGTTAAAAAAATTAATTACACTTACTATAACTTAGTTTTCTTTCATATTTCATTTCAATGAACATTTCAATTAAAAGTTTAAAAACTTACTTTCTTCATGTTTTCTCAAGCTTATAAGAAAAAAATTGATTTCTTACAAGCACAAAAAAGATAAATAAATAAAATTCAGATTTAATAAGTATAAAAATATTTGTGAAATTATTGATGAAGTATTCAGGATGATGAAATTTAATTCCATGAAATTCGAAAGGTTTGCAATTTCTTCTCTTTTTCACAAAACCTGCAAAGTTGATCTTTGTCCTTATTTCTATTCTTTGCAAAACATTTTTATCTGAAAGGATGTCCCAAATAACAAAAATTATCCTACCTGAGTTGAATTCTCTTCACAGTGAGTCAAACATCCTAACATTGGCCGCATCATAACGATGACTACAGAAACATAAATAAATAAATTTAATTGTTCAATAGTATAACATTTGCTTTATTAATATGTTTAATCCGTTTATGCACACATTGTTTTTAGCGATCGATCTTAAATTTCAAGTTTTTTAAAAGTATTTTTAATTTATTCATTATATTTTCATTTAGTAATTTAATATGAATATTTCTCCATTTTCTTATATTTTTGTTTTCATACTATAATGAATTTGTGTGAATTTATTTCATATTCTTTCATTTTATTTATAATTAGTTCTGACCATAATCCTAAATTATAAAAAGAAATTAAAAATTATACATTTCATGTTCGATATTTTCAGTTTATCTTTTACTAACATCAACAATACTTTGTAAATTAATTAAATGAGTTTGTTCTAAGAGGAAATAATAAATTATTTCTTAATATAGACTTTCGAATTTCATTTCGAATCAGTTAATCAAGTGTGTCGCGTTAAATAGATACATATCATTGATAACAGAATAATATAACGCACAATTTCATTTGTAGTTTGTAATTTTCATTGAAATATGTAGATATGTAATAAAAGAATCGTTCCAAGGAACTAAATGTTTTTAAAGTTCATTGAAAAATTGAACGAATGCACATTTTCGTGTATTAATTGTCAAGAGTTTCCTTATTTAACAATCAAGCATTCATTTGTTGTTTCTTTAACTAAATGGATGAGTTGGGAGATCTCATGCGTTTGCTTACAATAACATGGGCTGGTCCATTTTAGTTTCATTAATGTTTAGTTAACATTAACATAATATATAATATAATCAACCTATATAGTAATGACCTTCCTTCTTCATCATCTTTTCTATGTTGATAAGTGTTTTGGTGAAAGTCTTAAAGAATTTAATAACTTTTATCTTTTTTCTTAATGGCGTTTGAAGAGAATTTTCAAAGATTTTCTTATGTTTTAACGCTTACATATTTTTTTTCCTTTTTCTTTGTTTGTTTTTCTAAACATTGAGTTTAAGTTTCAAAAATTGTCGATTACCTTTTTTTATATTCTTTTAAAACTTCTAACAAAGTTAGTTTTTAGCTGGTAAGTTATTTAGGCTGAACACATTTATGCAGACAAATAATGTGCATAAATATTTTGATGAAACTTTTTATTTATTTTATTTTAAATTTTGCTTAATAATTATCATGTCGTGAAAATGTAAAGCAATTTCTAGTTGTTAAATGCAAAATATTTATATCACATTATTTCCAGCTGAGTAACTTGAATTTAAGTGCTACTCATGACTTAGATCCATTTCTTAATTTTCCATCTTTGAATATTAATAAAATTGTGCTAAGTAGGTCTTTGACTTGTTACTTCTTCATCGTATGCATGTCAGATGGCTTCTCATGTCATTGCATCGAAGATTTAGGATAATGAGTACAAATAGAGAACACATATTTCGACTTTGTGGTTCAAAGTCTACGTAATTGCAAATTAATTATCATCATTCATTGCAATTACTTATGATAATATTTGCTTACTTTATTGAAGTACGTCAATGCTTTCAACAATGTAACTTCACTTGTTTCTAATTTACACAAGAATGATCTTGATCATTTAGAAATCTATGCCATTAACAGATAATTTTTCAACTATCTATAGATATTTCTTGATATTATCTTATGCAAGTAAAATTTTTATTTCGATCAGCATCAGCTTCAGCCGAGCTTTCTTGTAAAGTGATTCAGCATTGTAACAATCATAACAATGGTTTTTATTTGGAAAACAATTTCTCATGTCGTTAGTTAACGATTCAAATGTTCATAGTAAGTTTCAGGTAAGCGATGGTAAAGCTTTGTTCGTTATACTCTTTATTTAATGTCTTCTTCTTTTTAAATCATTCTTGGTCGTCTGGTTTTAGGTAAATTTTTCTCTTTTTCATTATTTTCAAGGTTTCTTTCTTTGTTTCTGTATTCGAAGCATAATTAATTGAAGTTTATGTTTATATTTTTTATCCTTTATTAATTTCATGTATGTACAAAAGAAAGTTTAACATTTATTTCTGGAAATGTTTTTAATTTTACAAGAACATTAAAATGTCAAGAATAATAAAAGGAGGGCAAGAGGTAAGCGTTTGAATAAAATAATGAATTGAAAATCTAAAGTTAAAGATAAATTGTGCTTTGCAAAGCTAATTCTGATTTGTTTGAATAAAAAATGAGTGAAATTGATGAAGAGAACAAAGTGGAATTGAAGTCAATTAAAAATTTTATGGTGGAATTAAGGACGAGATAAGTGGAAGCATTGACACATGCAACGGAAATGCTTTGATAATCTATGCCAATCGACATTTCATCAATCAATATTTCGCTTTATACATTTTCATTTATTGTCTATAAAGTTTTGAATATTTTATTATTAAGTCAATGTTATTTTGGAATAGTATCAGAGTGGCTGTTGAGAAGTATAAATTTATTTGTGGATAATAATTGAAATAATCTGGAAAACATTAAATTTATGGACTTCTGGACTTTATGAATGAATTTCACTGTGATCTAAAGTGCTACATTACTTTTCTTCATTTAATTTTTCATGTCATCGTAATACTGTTAATTATCTATTCAATCTTTATTTCAAATATTTAAATGCTTTCTCTGACGCGTTCTTAATCAAAAATTTTCACATAATTTTTGCTTGTTTTAGTTTTTTTACAACAAATATTTCATTTTAATTTACAAAGATTTTAAGTTTGAGTGATTGATATGATTATGAATAGAGTTAGAGTAATGTTATTGTGTCGAGACCTAAAACATTTGTCATGATTCGGATATAATTTTATAATAAGAAAGTAAATAATTGCCAATGAATCGAGACAATTAGAATAAATTATTATAATTTATATTTTTATGTTTTCGAGATTCATAATTAAAGAATTTTATCATTTTGTACCGTAGAAGATAACGAAATTAAATATTTTTGTATGTAAGAGAAGTAACGAGATATCTATCTAGTGCGATGCTTAGAAGAATCGAAAGAATGTCAGTAAGAGTCTTAATTGATTATCATAGAAAACTTTTCAATGTTCTAATCTCATTGTTACAGTTTTTCTTTGCAAAATCATAGAAAACAAAAGAAAAGTTCTGCGTTTAAGAAACATTTACGTCACTTAATCTGAAATGAGAAAGAAAAGTAAAGTTTATGAATATTTGAGAGCAAAACTCTTATTTTGAACATTGAAGTAATTCACAAGCATTTCCTCAAGATTTCTGCGAATTTTCATGATTTTCATGTCTTTTAAATTTCAATAATTTCACATTCAAATTAAATTTTCCTTTTGCTACGTATAAAAAGCTTTTCACTTATCAGCAATAATAACTCATGAATATTCCTTCCACAACCATAATCGTTAATTTTGTATGGCGATACTCACTTATTGTATGAATAATTAATCATGGAAATGTGACACGTTTCTCAAAGTTTTTATTTTGTTATACCAGTCATGGATTCCGCTAGATTCAGGCTTCCAATTCTGCTACACATTTCGAAACATTCGTCAATCAATAATTTTACTTTTCTTTATCAAATTTATCTCAAATTCTCTTCGTTTGCATTTTAATCCCATTTTTAATCTTTTCATTTTTTTGATTTAAAAAGCAAAAGACGACGACATGAAGATTAAGAAGTACATCGTTGAATAATGGCGTTCTTTTAAGTATAAATGTGAATTTATTAGGAAAAGATGAATAGATAATTTAGAAAAAGCTTTTAAGGAATCCGGTCGCCTGTTGAGCAGCACCCTATTAAGAAAAGATAAAGAAAATCAATTAATTCATGACATCAATCGAGGGTCGTTTCTTACTTCGACGGGATTTGTTGGTTGTTGTTGTGCTTTGATTTTCGCTTGAGCATTTTTGAGAGCTCTGTTGATGAAAAAGGAAAGGAAAAACAATTAAAAAGATTAATGACGATGCTCAACAGCTTTTTAAATTATTAATGAGATTAATTACTGTTGCAAGTCCATGATTGTCTTTTCTTTAGAATTTTGTTCTTCTTGCGACATTTGTACAAGCTGAAGTAGTCGTTCTGTCTCTTGAGCTGCTCGTTGTGCTCCTTCTTTTTCTGTCTCCAATTGCTTAATAGTTCTGGACAATTGATTAAATAATTAATTAGTGAAAAAATAAAAGATTAATGAATTCTTACGCCTCAAGTTGTTGTTGTGTGTCTGCCAACTTCTTACTAAGTTCTGTCGTTGCTGCTGTAGTTCCACCAGCTTTCTGTAGTGATTTCTCCAATTGATCCATTTGTTCTTTTCGTTTATTAAGTTGCTGATTAAGTTCTGTCATCTTCTGTTCTTTGGCTTCAACATCTTTACGTTTCTTCTCGACAGATTTCCTGGCAAATATCATGAAAAATTAAATTAAAAATCAATTAAAGATTTTCAGTTCATACTTTTGTTCATCGAAAGCTTTCTTCTCATTATCCAATTGCATTTTTGTATCTTCAATTTGTTTGATTTGCATTTCGAGTTGCTTTCTGGTTTGTTCATCTTGCTGTTGATGTCCAACATTATTCTGTTGAACTGCTTGGATCTTCTTGTTTGCTTCAAGCAACTCCAATTGACTCTTCTCAAGCTCAGTGACCAACATTTCAAGTTGCGATTGGAATCGGTCACGTTCAACCGTCGCTGCTTGTAAATCTTTCTTAAGCTGCTCAAGTTGCTGATTAATTTGTGCATTGTTTGCTGGATTTTGATTCTGTTGTGGCTTCTGTTGAAGTTGCTGCTGTTGAGTTTGAATTTGTTGTTGCTGTTGTTGAATTGTCGCGGTTTGCGTTTGAATTTGTTGTTGAAGTGTTTGCAGTTGTTGATTCTGTTGTGTTAATTGTTTGTCCATTGCTTGATGGTGTTTCTGGAATTCTTGAATTGCCATCTCAGCTTGATCGGCTCGTGTCTTTTCTTGTTCAATAACTTTACGCCATTGCTCCAATTCTCCATTACCTCTTTGACCTGATTCTTGGAGCATTTGTTGAAGGCGCATAATTTCTTGTTGCATTTGTTGAACTTGTTGTGGACTTCTATTTCGAAGTCTGGAATAAAAACATAAATTGCAAGTGACATAGAATAAAAAATTCGTTTCACTTACGTTTGATTTTCTTGTCGTAATCTTTGAAGTTCTTGTTCAGCACCTGTAAGCTCTTTCTGGAAGTTCATCAACATTTCTTGACTCTTCTCGAGTTGCAATACAAGTTGATCACGTTCGGCAGTGAGTTGTTTACAATCAGATTCAAGCTTCATCATCGTCTTCTCAACTTGACCCGCATGCATGTCACGCTTCTCGTATACCTTGGCATTGTGACGCATCGCTTCCTTCTCAGCTTCTGATTTCTCAAGTAATTCTAGAACACGATTAAGTTCAGCTGACATTCTCTCAAATTCAATTCGTGTTGATTCGTAGGCTTCTTGTTGTTTAGTCATGTGAATTTGTGCTTTTTCAAGTTCCTTTGCTAGACGACCAGCTTCCATTTCAGTAGCATCACGTTGCTGTAAGAAACAAATGTGAATTTAATTCGACAATTAATATCAATCGACCAACCTGTAAAGTTTTCTCCAAACGTTCACGTAATCTTTCCACTTCACCACGATCAGCTGGATTTACGGGCTGATTAACCATTGATTGACTTGGACTTATGTTATTTATATTCGAACTCGATGATTGTTTCAATCGTTCCATTTCTCTTATAATCTTCTCATAACGATCTCGAAGTTTCTCGTATTCGATATGAGTTCGCTCTAAATCGTTGCGTTGTTTGTCTTGACTTGAAACATATTTCTGAGTTTCCTGACGTGAAAGTTCAAGTTGCAATGTCGTTTCATGTAATTTCGCTTCCAAAGCACTCAAATCATTTTCCTTCTGTTGAAGCTTCTCTTTGAATTTTTCATAAGCTTCTTGTTCATATTGTGACTTGCCACGAATCTGTTCAAGTTCCATCATGATCTTATCCATTCGTTCACGAAGTCTTTCATTTTCTTCTTTCAGTCGACGACTCTCCCTTGAATGTTGTTCATTTTCTTGAAGATGTCGAAGTTCAGCTTCAGATTTCTGATAACGATCGCGCATCTTTTCAAGCTCTAAGTTGAGTCTGGCAGCTTCTTCATGGGCATTCTCTAAAGCAGCATTGTGTTTGGTATGAGTATTATGACTTCTTTCAACTTCATATGTCAATCGTTCGACTTCAGCTACGAGATGTTCTTTCTCAGCTTGCAGCTTACGAATGTCAGTTTGATATTTATCAGCACGTTCACGGAACAAATCAACTTCTTCCTTCGCTTTATCTTCCATTTCTTTATGTCGGCCGAGTTGCAATGCAGCTCGATCACAAGCTTCTTGCAATCGCGATGTCTCTTCTTGAAGTTTTCTCAAATCTTCTCGAGCTTTAGTAGCAGCTAAAGTGGATCTTTCAGCTTCAACCTCAAGTCGATTGCGATCAGCTTCTGCTGTATCAACTCTCGATTGAAGCCTGTAGATTTCATTTTGAGCTCTATCATATTTCTCGAGAACCTTTTCAAACTCTTTCGTTGATGAATCTTTTTCATCGATTAATTTTTGGCTTGCATATAATGCTTTGTCCAATTTCTCTTTCAAAATGCCAATTTCCGTGATGGAATCGTCACGTTCCATTTGAAGTTTCTGGTGAATTGAATGAGTTTTCTCCCATCGTTCTTTGAGAACTTCGTACTCGGTTTGAATTGCTTCCTTCTCACGTTGTGCTTTAATCATCAAACTCTGTGAGCCTTCATTACGTTCTTTGACCTTTTCGAGTTCTTCGAATAATACATCGCGTTCCTTCTGTACACGCATCATCTGATTCTGAAGCTTCTCGCATTTCTCACGATAACGTTCGGTATCAACTTGAATAGTTTCTCTTTCTTTCTGAATACGAGCTGCTTGTCCAAGTGCTTTATCAAGCTGTGATTGAACATTTTCAAAGTCGTAAGTTGTCTTCTCTTTCTCAATTGTCAACTGGAGGATGAAATCTTTGTAATTTATGGATTAAATTAATTAAACTTTGTTCTTACCCGACGTATTTCATTTGTTGCTTTTTCAAGTTTCTCTTGAAGATGATCAACGTCACTTGTAGCTTTATCGAGATTGTTTTGAAGCTTCTCTTGATGCAATTGAGATTTTCCTAGTGTTGCTTGTGTTCGTTCCATTTCTTCACGTAACTTCTCAATCTCACCAGCTGCCTTATCTCGTTCATTGTAAATACGTTGAACACTTCCCTGATGTCGTTCAAGTTCTTGTCTCATACTGTCATGTTCTTGTTGTGCGTTTTCTAATTTCGCCTTTAAACGGTAAACTTCACCTTGACTCTTCTCAAGCTTCTCTTGAAGTGCAGCTGCTTCTGCGCGCGACCTCTCAGCGTCACTCTAGAAATTATCCACAACCATGAAAGTTTCAATTCAAAGAAATTTCAAGTAATAAAAGGAAAGAATTGAAAATAATTTTGGATTTAGGGGCATAACGAGTCATCATAAGCCATTCGGTGCAAAGCATTTCTTAAAGTTTATTTCACGAGCTGCAGCAAAGCTTTCAAAAGCTAATGAAGAATTAGTTTAATGTCTGCTAAACGAAAACTATTTGCTTGTTAATATGCTATGAATTGTTATTTTTTATTTATTTTTTTTTGTGATATGAATTAAGTTCAAGAATAATAAAGTTCTTAAAAGTTTCATTGAAAGTCCAATAAAAAGAAATATAAAAATAAATGAGAATAAGTAAAAGGGAAACAAATGTTAATAAAAATGATTATCTGAAGACGAGGAAAGTCATTCAAAGGGAACTTTTTTTTTTCTTTGAGCAGCTCATCTTCTTCAAATTACTTACAAAACCTTGTAAGTTCGATTTCTCATCCTATAAAAAAAGAAGATTTTCATGTTGGAAAAATATTCTAATGAGCTTTTTGCTTTCCAGCTTTAAAATGGAAATTTTCATCATGAACTAAATTTTTTTTTTTCGATTATTTACTTGATGAGGTCGTTTGGGATATTTTTAAAAAAAGAAATAAAATAAAAGAAATGAAATGCGAGGAGATATCGATTGAAAACTCACTTGCGTCACTCGAAGTTCCGCTTGTGTTCGACGTAATTCTGCTATCGTCTTATCGGCGCGTTCTTGAACTCGATCCAATTCTTGAGATGTCGACAATGTATTGCGTCCAAATGTCGTCTAAGGAGAATAAGAAGTTAGTGAAAATCAAGTTAAAATCTTTCATGTTTTCTTACTCCAACCTGTGATCTCTCCAACTCCCCACGCAAACGATCATTTTCAATTTCCAAACGTTGAATCTTTTGATTTGTCGTTTCCCAATTACCAATACGACCAATGTCAGTTGAGGCTTTATCGAGTTCAGCCTTTGATTTTCCAAGTTCACTTTGTGAACATTCCAATCTGCTTTCAAGCCTATCTTTCTCAGCTAAAGCCCGATGCAAACGAGATGTCAACTTGTCAACCTCACTCTCAAAAGAGTGGAGTTTCATTTTGTACTCTGCAATTTCTCGTTCATGTAATTCACGCTCTTCAATCTTCTCGCTTTCTGCTCTGTCTCGTTGTTCACTGGTTTTTCAAATTATAATTGCATGAAGAGTTTTAAGAAGCAGAAAATGAAAATCTTTTCAAGTGTCATAAACATTGCACTCACCGCAACATATTCATTTGCTTTTCCTTGTCACCAATTGCTTCTTCTAAGCTTGTTAAAGCACCTTCTGAACTGCAGTGGTGTGCTTGCATTGCCGTCAATCGAGCACGAGCCATATCAACTTGATTATCTTTCTCTTTCAACAGATCCTCGAGATTCTCAATCTTCCTCTGAAGTACATTAATCTTTCTGTCTTTAATGTCCATGTGTTCCTTTATTTCAGCAAGTTCTGTCACGGTTCGATTACGTTCTTGTTGTGTTTGCAGAACTCCTTGCGTCTTCTTTTCAATCAAACGATTCTTTTCTTCGAGTCTTGTTCGCAATTCTTCAACCTAAACAAATTGAAAATTGAAAACAAATAGCTTGAAGGCAGATAAGATTCTTACATCAGATTGAAGCATATTATAATGTTCTTCCTTGGCGCATAATGATTCCTTCAACACAGAAATGTGACGTTGATAATCCTAAAGAAGATGAGAATAAAAATATTTTCAGATTATTCACATGTCAAAAGATTTAAAATGAAAGAGAAAATTCTCACCTGATGTTGTTCTTCAAGTGTTTTCATTTTTGCTGCCATGCTCATGATTTCCTGATCACGTCTCTGAATTTCAAGACGAAACTCGTCCAACTTTAAAGAATTATGATTTTCATGAATTATTTAAGAAAGATAAATTATAAAAGTTTCATAAAAAGAAAAAGAGAAAAACAAAACTTTTCACATGACAAATATAAACAAATATCATTAGAACATCGTGATGGAATTGGAATTGCAAAGATGTTTACTTCTTTTGTCTCGCTTCCATTTAATTGTTTTTGTTTGTGTCTTTTTTTTTTGATGTTGATAAGAAAAGCATAAAGAAAAAAGTTGCGTGTACTTGAGATTCGTGTCATCTTTTTTTGTTCTATCCTTCAACTGCTTTTACAAGAGAAACAACCATTTAACTTTTCAATTTACCCACTTTTTATTAAGTTTTATTCTTTCTTATACTTCTGTTTCATATGTTTAAGCTTTTAGTTTAAGTTTGCTTTATACATCGTGAATTTCTAAATCTTTCATATTTATTATCTGTCATTTCATGACATCCCATCTTAGATTTGTGAAATGAGAAAAGAAAATAAATTAACATATCTAAACTGCCTTTTTTTACATAAACTTGTTGACTACTAAGATTTTTATCAATGCAAATTATTTAATAAAAATGGAAATACTTTTACTTTAATCTGAAAGAATCTAATTTTTTATAAAGGAATTAAAAGTTAAAGAACAAAATTTACTTGTTGACTTTGAATGTTTAAAAGATTTTCTTTGCTTATTCTATGATTTGGTTCTAAGAGCCGATTAAGTTTTAATTGCATTTTTTTCTTCGTATTTTATTCAATTGACAGTAATTTAATAATCACTAAGAAGTTTCTGTGACTTTGAAGTGTAAATGTTGTTGGATGAATGTGAAAAATGAGCATGAAATGAATGACGAACTAAAGCAACTGACATGAGCATCTTCGAATCATTCTTATGCATAACTACATAAATTTCTTTAAACCTTTTTATGAACTAATTGAATTTTCAAAGATTCTAATCTATTTTTATCACTTATCTAAGATCTGATTCTCTAAAAGTTTCTTCTCCGAAATATTTTAAATTCTATTTAATGAGTTACAACCGTTGTTCATGACGAAACAATTTGAACGAACGAAACAATATTCATCTAGAAGTTATGTGGAGCTTTCAATGTAAAATTCATCTACAAAAATATTTTCACGAAAATGTATGATCTTCAATAAAACTTTTCCCTCAAGGATAAAACGTCTACATACATAAGCTTGAATACTTTGTCTTGTCTTGGCACTGAAGAATAAGAAATGAATTTTCTCTTAAAAACTTTTACATTATAACTTGCGATCTACATATTTTTTCCACCTTCCTCAGCATAAGTTTTATGTTTTTACGATAGAATAATTTTTTTTTAATCGAAAAACTTTAGTTTTCTTTTTGACAAACCTTAGAACTACTTTTTATTTAATTCTTTCTCGCTTTTACTTTGTTGAATGTCATTAATTGCTTCATGATGAACGAGAATGAAACAGGGCACAAACATCAAGATTTTTTCTTTATATAAACTAATTTAATTTTTAAAATTGTCAATAACATTGATTGAAGAAGTTGTGTGGGGGAGTTGAGGGTGAGAGTACAAGAAGAAGAAGAAGAAGAAGTTTCGAAGAAAATTCCAATGTTAACAACTCTTTTTTTTCAATAATTGAATGACGAAAATAAAAATAGAATGTCGAAAAGTTCATGTCAAGTCCAATCCACATTGGGATAAGAGAATTCCTTTCATGGTTTATAATTTCTTATGAAACTTTTAAGGGTCAAATGACATTTGATCAACATCGAATTTAAAACTTACTTGTCTCTTTATTTCGTTGCTTTTGGGATTATCTAAATCTAATCTAGATCCTGTCCGATAATACGGTTGTGGATTGAAAGTCGAGTAGGTATTGGGATAAGTTGTGTAACGATTAAGCGATGAAATTGATGACGGACGTGATGTGAACGTTGGCTGATGATAAGATTGATAGTAATTTCGATTAAACGAACTACTTAAAGGATAATGATTGTATGGTTGTGTCGTGTAAGAAGAAGAGAGACATGGATTTGAAGCATAATGAAGATGATGATTTGTGTGTGGTGTGAATGTTTGTGTATGGTAACCATCATGTAAATAAGACGATGTCAATTGATTATAATTTTTACTAAATATTGGCTTAGCTAACAAATAATCGTCATTTATTAAACGGTTAGTAGTTAACGGCGGCAGATTGCGATTAAAATACGAGGTCGTGGCAGTGGTTGGCATGAACATCATTCGATCGGCTATTGTCGGCTGAGAATAAAAATTTGTATACTTAATTGGTGTTACATTAGCCGTTGTGGTAAGATCATTAAATAAATCATATTTAACAATATCACTTTGGATATTTTCTTCAATTAAATTCGATAAACTTGTGTAGCAGGGATTGTTTAGCGCCATGTCAGCCGACAATTGCCGATTTAAAATATTTGATGATCTTGATATTGATTGACATGTTTCGCTTATAAGATTTGATATATTGGCAGCATTGTCATTCAATGGCAGATTCATATAGTCAGAAATAGAAGTTGATGATGGAAGACCACTGTAACTGTATCTGCGAATGGGCAATGGACTCATACGATTCAAGCCCAAAGTTGATGAAGTCTTTGTTGTTGACATGATATTACTAGTTACCGGTGAATTGTAAAGATTCGTTGCTGTTGTCGATGCTAGTTGAGATTTGGATGTGGAACTTGAGCCGGGACCGTAAATATTTCTTAAACCATCAGTTGGTGAATTTCGATAACTAGTATAAATCTGGAAAATTGCGGTTTGAAAAGCAACACATTTGTTTCGTATCTCATCTAGTTTAATATTTTTAGATTTTGTTTTAATTAGATATTTAATATTTATCATTCGTGTATCATTCAATAATAAAAGTTTGAAATTTCGAATTTTGCAAAAATTTACAAATTTGGTTTCAGTTCTCAATCTCAATCAATAAAACTTTCAAATTTAATAAAAAGCACATCTAAAATTGATCTTGGCTTCAATTCCTTTTGCTCAAATTCAAATTTAAAAGAAAGGAAAATGTTTTGTTCATTAATTTTTGCTTTAAATTTGCAAAATGAAGATTTTTATCGAACAACATTACCGGATAAAAGGCCACCCCCGCAATAAATTATTTTATGAACATAAACAATTTAATTGAAAAAACTGAAAATATCAATTTCATGATAAACAATTTATTGAGACCAACAATTATTGGTAAAGGGAAGGAGGTAATTGCGCTTTTATGCCGATAAGTGTCTTCGTCAAAAATCATTTCTAAACAATTTTGACGAAAGAATTATTTCAAAATTTTATTATTTCTCATAAGTTTTCTCGCGTTTAACAATTTTTTTTGCAGTTTACTTGAATCACGTATTTTTAGTGTTTCTTATATTTGGTTAGTATCCTCGAAATACTTGATATAAAATCTTATAAACAGTTGTGTAATAAATTTTCTTCTTCTTTCTCATATTTTGGAAAATCATTTTGTGTGCCCATTTTCATTCTTTTTCTTATTTACTTTGGGTTTCTTTTTTTTATTTTGAGTCAAATATTATATAGTTCGTTCTGAATGTGAATCATAATTGAGCTGATTGAAATTATACTTGACAACAAAAAGCTACGAACATTATGTGAGTCATGTGAAACATAAGACAAGTAAAATGGTTGTTTTATCTTTTTTCTTTTTTTTTAAGTTTAATTAATAATGATTTTAAAGCTTAGAATATTTAAATTAAGGAAAATAGTTTGGTTTGAGGGAAAGTGAAAAATATTTTGAAAGAAAAAGTTTTTGTAACTTTAAAAAGATTTTACAAAAAGGAGAAGAGAGAAAATGAAAATATTTAACCAAAGAATTCATTTGAAAATGATAAAATGTTGGTTGTTACTGAATCATATTTATGCAATAAGAAATGTTATAATGATTGACTATATGTGCTGCAATGTACAGTATATAATATTTATTTCTTTATCATTTAATAATAATTCTTTCGCCAACTCAATAATTTTGGAAATAAAAGTATATAGCAAAAGAATAAATTAAATAAAATTGATATTCGGCCATTCACAGTAGAAACAAATTGTTCATCACGAGAAAAAAAATGTTTGCCATTAACTCAGATGCATTCTCGAAGGTTAAGAAATTTTAATTTACTGATCCATGAAATAATGAAGAGCTAAAAATAAGCAGATAGACTAGAAATGAAATTTAAAAAATGTTTTCCTTTCTAAATATTTACAGATTGAAAGAGTTTTAAAGAAAAGGATGAATGTGATAAATGCATGATGTGTATGAAAATTAATTTCCCAAAACACCAATTAAATAAATAAATGAAAACTTTTCTGAATTTCAAAGACGTTTTGGTTTCGTAACTTTGTGGAAGTCATTATAAAATTTGAATAATTTCGTAGATAGTCTTGGAAAAGTTGAATGAAATTTGAGAGAAAATTGTTTAGGAATCATCCGAGATGATCGTTTTCAATGTCGTCAACTTTTCATGGTGCTGGGCACACAGAATGATTTCCATTTTGATAGATTGAAAAATCCATTAGTCCATTACCCAAAGCAAACGAGGAAATGTGATCTCAACAGACAAAACAAGATCTCAGTCTCTTCTCTTCTCGTCTCTCGTCCCTCACTTCATATCATTTAAGTGAATTAAATTTTCTATCGTCTTAAAGTTTTTTCTTCGCTCCATTTTCTTTATTGGTTCTTACTTTGTAGCTAAAATTACTTTTACGATTTAGAATATAAATGTGAGAACAGCTTTAGCTGTTTCCTCTCTTTTACGATGGGAAAAATTTGCGGTTGGAAAAGCTCAAGGATGGAATCAAAGTTACGGGACATGAATCTCATATAAAAGTTTTACTACTTTCATAAGTCGTTATAAGTATTTTAATCTCGTCCTTCTATGAAATAATTTCTCATAGTTTTATTCATTTCGAAACACCAGAATGTTATAATTATTTAAGCATAGCATAAATTCTTTATGAGAGAAGAAGATCGACAACATATTTTTCCTCTGGTTGTGGGTTTAACAATATTTCAAACTTTGTTGTTAGAAGTTATTAGAAAAATATTTCTGATTGTCTCTGATACAAAATTTATTTGAGTTCCAAATATTTTTCCGATAAATTTTGAGAACAAAACATAAACTGACAGGCAATGATTGTAAAGTTTTAAGAATTCAACGATTTTTCTATTTAGTTTGTGTGATGAATTTGAGTGTAATCGGTGAGTGTGATAAGAAGGATGAAAAAAAGAAAAAGTCACATAAAAGTATGAAATCCCATTGTGATCTTAAAAGTTCTTTCTTGTTGTCATAATTTTTGTTCCCCGGATGGTAAGAAACATAAAATTGAGTTTTATCCTTGTGCAAATAAAAGTGTTTATATCTAACAAGCATGCATTGTCGATTTAATGGCACATTTATGTTGAACAATGTGTCCAATCTATTTTCTGCAAATGCTGCAGATTTAAAGGAAACAACAGCTTTGTAGGAAGTTCCTACAAAATGTGAAACAACATCACATAAATATGCCAGAGAAATCGAAATGTTAACTCAAAATCGTGATGATAAATAAAACTTTTTCAACTATCAATTATCAACACTCATTCTCAAATATTCTAATTAGAATTAAAAATGTTCTAACCAATTGTTTAGTCATAGTCCTATTATAGTTTATTAATTTATTGTTAATATTTACCTGTTTCTGAGCCATCGCTTGCATTTGTTGGAACATTGCACGCTCTTCTTCTTTGCCTGCAAATGATTCATATTTGTTGATGTGTCATTGGCAAATTGCAAATCATTGTTAGGGAATGAAAAATAAAAACAAAAGAGAAAATTCCATGAATTAGTTTTTCAACCACGTTTCATTCTTTTCATTTCAGGCAGATAACAGCTGTTGCTGTTCCATATATAACAAATGGAAATTGATTTTTCATGTGTCTAATGGTTGGTTGAGGGTGGGCTTCCCTTTTTACTGATATAAATAACATCATACTAACAGTTTTATTGATTTTTCTTACTCACCCATGCCTTTGTTTTGCAACATTTCTAAAAGCTTTTTAATACTCTCATCACGAGCTATGAGAGTTTGCTTCTGTGTCTCAAGACGCAATTCGAGTTCCTATTGAATGCAATAGCGACAAATAAATCAGTTTTATGCACACACGTCATCGATCTACTTACTTTTATCGTATCTCGTAAGATTGCAATTTCTCTTGTTAAATGTTCATTTTCAGCGTACAAAGTTTCAATTTGTTGTTGCAACTCGAGACTTGGTTGTCGCATTCGCATCCTCAATTCTTCTTCCAATTGACGCACTAACATCGCTTGCTTTTGATTTTCATTATTCAATAGTTTTAATTGATCATTTATTAAGCTGTATTTAGCACTTTCTTCCTTTCTTAAAGCGCGTTCTTTCTTTAGTTCTGGCGACCAGAACGTTTTAATGCTATGCATGGAACTTCCCAACTTTTGATTTGTTAGTTCAAGTTCTTTTTTAAGGTTTGCAAGTTCACGTTGTAAATCGCTATTTTGATATTGTAAATCACCCAAATAGCCGCGGTCAGGTCCCACTGTATACATTAAAAAGCACATTTAATAAAGTCAAATGATGTCAATAAATTTAAAGCTTTACTCATGGGATTTGGACTTTGACGTGCTGATCTTCCATAGAGTTCTTCCTCCAAATAGAGACCTCGCTCTAATGATCTATCACGAGACCTGTCACGAGGTTCTCGTATTGGAACAAATTCTCTATCATGAGGGTCGACTAAACCGCCACGATCCAAAGACTGATAGCGAGTCCCTGATGATGAGATTAAAATCATGAAGTCGAAACATAAATTAATTGAAAAAAGAAATTACTTGGATAATCCATTGCATGAGTTACAGGTGGTCGACTTGCACTTCGACTACGATGATGTCCCGGCAATGCTGGGCTTATTGGATCCTCCATATCCCGATGATAGTACGGACTACCCATTGCTGCAAAAGAATGGTGTGGATAAATGGATGAATGGTACGGACCGTAATTGTATGACGAAGATCTGGTATATCTCAAATGTCCTGATAAAGTTAGTTAAGGGTTTTGATTTGATTGAGAGTTTGACATGAAATAAAATGAAAAAAGAAGAAAAGAAAAAACAGACCAATTGAAGTTTAATGTAATTTTATGAAGCATGTTATGTTGATATAATAAACTTAATTTAAACAATTTATAAAACTTCCGACTGCTGAAATAACAGAGCTTTATAGATAAATGTAAAAATTCAGAAGAGAAACCATTTTCATAAGCTCAGTTTTTATCCGAAACTGAAACTAGATACGTAAATAATTGATTTATATTAAAATGTAATCTAGAAAGAAAAAATAAGCTTTCAGCGACTAACATGTCAACATTTGCTGGGGTCGCCTAGTGTTCTTCATTAAAATGATGATGATGTTAGCAACAGGGAGTTTTTTCAAACATAGTTATAGCTTACACAAATGACTATCAAGTTGCAAATCATTCTCGAAGGAAGGAAAAACGTTCGATAATCTCACATTTATACGAATCGTATATAAATTGTTTATTTCCTGTAAGCCATCAAGAAATTTCTCGTTTTTATGCAATTAAAATTCATTGTGCAGCATAAACTATAACTAACATGTTTTCTCTTTCTTTATAAATGATGTTTAAATGAACAGCTACTCGATAGAAGAAAAGTAAGTAAAGAACAATTTGTACATTCATTCGTCATATCTAAACCATAAAACCAAAGTTATACAAACTCAACGAAATAAAAGAAGTAATTAAATAAATAAATAATTATTGTGTGCAGGAAACATGATCTGATTAGTCATATTTATAAATGACGTAGGAGAGAAGAGTGAAAATGGACAGGATAATGAAACGACAGCCACATAGAGATTAGCATTGCTTTCTATATTTTATTCATTGTGATGAGAGTCTCAAGCATTTTTCTTTTGTGATGTGTTTACTGGTGTTTATTAAGTTGTAACTTGTGAATGGATGGTGAATGAGATTGGTGAATAAATGTTTACCTAAAGGACTTCCTCTTTGATAATCACGAGAAGGAGATCTATCGACAGTTGGCAATTCAGTGAGTCGTCTGGCGCGCGTACCTGGACTTCCACGAGATCCTATATTTGGTAGAGAATTGTAGGCCTCTCGAGACATCTAACCACCGCGGAAGAATCCGCGGTTACAATCTAAAAATTAATTCAATTTTCATGTGTTTGAGATGACTTTTTTTGCTATTTTAATTTTCTAAAGTTTTGATTTTTAAAGAAGAACGGAAATAAATCTCAATAATTTAAGTTTCCATAGAAAAGGTTCAGAAGAACGAACGGGAAGGTCGACAGGAAAGTAATAAAAGATTGTGAAGGCACAATCACTCATTGTTATCTATGGATGTTTGTACGTTTAAGTGCTAATTATAGGCAATAAATATCTTGTGATCTATGGAGATTCCCACACAGTCTCCATCTCCGCAATTAGAGTGTTGAAGTTTATAAAAAATTAAATTGGAAAAATGACTCTCTGTAAGAAAGAAAAAGTTTTCTTTTCCTTTCTTCTTTGCTTGAAAACGTTTTTAAGGGTAGAAGGTTTAACTTTGGGGAAAAAAAGGTTTCCCTGACAGCTTTTTAGTGAAACTTTATTTTAGCTTTGTTGTTATGTAATAGCAACAATGACGAATCAAAGTTTAATGATTTAAATTTCAATTCCTGCTTGTCTAACTTTTTCGTGATGAATTTTGTTGCATTCGAAATCACTAAATAAAAATCATGATGAGAAATAAGAAATTTTATGTAGGCCATGTCAACGTCTAAAGCTTCAGCATCTCGAAGTTACAACTACAATTAATTTGTGTTGCAAAAATCTTGTCACTTGTCCAAAAAGAAATTGAAAAAAAAATCTGATGACATATGAAATAGTTCATTTGTGTCGAGATGAAGAGATTTGATATCATTAAGTAACTGACACAGAAAATGAAACGAAAAATGATTGCTTTCTTATTAAAGCCACCAACTTGTGCTCTCAGAAGAAAACAAATCAAATTTAACTAAAATTCAACTAAAGCTGAAATCTTACAAATGTATTTAAACAAAAAAGCTCAAAAACGTTGAGAACAACATCAATCTACGGAAACTAATCCATCGTGACACTACTTGTATATCTCGAACTATTCTAGTTTGATTCTTTTTTATGTTTATTTGGTGCAAACGTAAATGGGGAGAGAAAAGATTGCTTTACTGAAAAAAATATGTCACAGAGGATTTTTCATTATTCACAATATGAAAACATAAAAGTAGAAAAATCTATGCGACTTAGCATGATTGATTAAATGATATTTTCAACGCAAGCATATTTAATTGACAATTATTTTGAACATTTACATACCCACAATTTTGTCGGCTTTCCAATTCTACTCCTTGCCTCAACTGTCTACCAAAGGACCCGAAATCCTCGACCTTCTTTCGAAATAAAAAATCTTTTCACTATCACTTGCTTCTCAGGTTCACACTCTGTGAACTCTCAAACTCTTGCGCACGCGTGTTTAACAAACACTCAGCTTTTTTTGCGGAAATCTTTAATAATTTTTTTCTGTCAAAGTTTTCTTCTTTTTTGTTACTTGAAGCTTTTTATTTAATCCACATGTTGATAGACATGAAAATGACTAAATTTATGATGACTTTTATGTATGATTCACTTTCATTAAATTATATATATTTTGTTTGCTTATATACACATTGCATTTGATTGTAACACGTTGATTTCGATGTGGAACTCCAAAAACTCTTTTCCTGAAGCTCGACAATATTCACCCTCTTATAAGATTTTTTTCTCGTTCCTTATGCATTGCACGTCTCACTTAAAGTTTGTAACTTCTGAATTAAAAAACAAAATACAGAGAAAAAGTTATGAACTTTGTGAAATTTTTGTAATTTTAAATGAAATTTTCTGAGAACCATTAAAGTCGAACATTTTATCACATCGTCGTATATTATCGAAAGGATGTGATGCGATACGTTTATTCATACATAGTCTTGATAAAGAATGATTGAAAAGGAAAAGCCATAATTTGCATGCATGAAAGCAGCAAATTGTTGAACATGACAAGAAGCTATGAGAATATACGGAGACGAATGAATAAAACAATTCATCTTTATGGAATCAATTTTCAACAAAATTAATTCTTCTTGCTGAGATAAATGATGATTTCTATTTTTTCCTTCAATTTCCACTAAATTGGATCAACTTAATATCCTTTCACATCTGTGACGCTTATAATAAGATAAGACATGAAGCTTGAGAATTATCCCAGTGAAATTCATTTCTACAGATTAAAGAAAATTCTTCTCCTGCACCTCGGATTTTTTATTATAACTCATCCATAAGGAAGAAAATTTTTTATGAACACAAAAAAAAAGGAAAATGAAAGAAAGTTGCGGCATTGTGTGTAAAAGAAAGGGAAGTAAGACAAATCAATATTTTATGTTCGGGCTATTTATAGCGTAAGGAATACATAATTTTCTCTTTTTTTATATAGCTTTCCTTTATTGTGCCCGTGATTTTCAAAAACGAACATTTACTCAACGGTTAACAATTGATTCGTGGTTGAGGTTACAACGGAGGAATGATTGTACAAGTTTTAATTGTATCGATAAAAATTTCAAACCACCAAAATGATATTATGTTGATTTAAGCTAATCCTATTGCTGCTTTTTGATCCCCTTTATTCCTTTAGTTAATCTTTTTAGGCTTTAACGTTAACTTGGAGAATAAATTTTTGATTGTTCCATTGATTTACAATTATGAGTATCACATAATAATTTTCTTCTAGCTTGCTTTAGCTATCGAGATAGACGACTGATTCTCTCCATTTTATATGCTTCATCCAAATTTCCCGAGATATTAGAGCACTGGATAAGTGTCGTAGTGTTGGATGCTTGAGATAATTGTGTGAGTTGGAGGAGAAGAAAATTTTCTTATCAATGAAAAGAGAACATTTCTCTTCCAGCGAGAAAAAAAGGGGGACAGAGCCTCAATATCTTATCCAATTATTCAAATTGAACTTTGAGAAAATTTAATTGAAAATCACTTTTGACGACACTTTAGATTCAACTTTTCATATCACTTTTTTTCTTTTTCTAATCAGATAATCTGTGAAAAATGTTTTTCCTGGAAATTTTCACGTCCATGTTCAGCAGTCGATAAATTATTTCGAGCTTTGACTTAGAGAAAAATTTTAGGTTCTCGGAAAATTTCATGATTTCTCATTGAAAACTGAGTAATTTCAACTTTAAAATACCGTAATATTGTTGGGCCAGCCGCTGGCCCCATTTCTTTATCCATTTTAACAATTAATTTATCACTTAATCATGAATTATAGTAATTTTTTTCACCACAATGAGATTTTCAGTGTAAAGGAGAAAACTTCAAATTACACTGTATAGGAACAATCAATGAAAAAGCTGAAAAAATTTTATTCGAGCGCTTGCGCTTTGACGTTGATATAAAGCTTCACGTCCACATTTTCCTTTCCAGTGGAAAAATATGATTGAAGATAATTCATTGTTTATTTATTACTGATAAGAGAATAGGAAATCGTTAAAATTTTATCGTGCCATTAATTTTTCAAGCTTTTTAATTAACTTAGATTGTGATGATATGCAAAATAACAACTCTACAATTGAAATTACATAATAAAGTGATTATATTATACAATAAATATGACACGGATAATTGCCCACAACATAGATGAATGAACTAACCGCATATTTTCACCCATCAAAACTAATTAAGCCTGGAAAGAGCTTTTTGACTTTCCGTGGATGATAATTCTCCGTGGGTGATTACACTCTCCACCTAAGGATTTCAGCCTCCGGTCGGGCAAAGTCTAGTTTCAGGTGGAGAGTGTAATCACCCACGGAGAATTATCATCCACGGAGAAACTTTTTCTGTGTGTTTTGTATGGAAGGTCAAATCCGCGCGAACGCACCAAAATGAATTTCAGATGAGAGCTAGTATGAAAAATGAAGTTTGCTATAAAATTCTGAAAGAAGAAAACTTTTGAAAATTATAACCGTCAATGTTTCAGTTTCAAAATTGTTTTATAGAAATTCAAATTTTAAGAATACGTTACAAAATAATTTATGTACAATATGAAAATCTTTTAAATTACGGCAATAAAATTAAATAAATAAAATGTTTAAAATTTAATTATTTACAAAAATATTCTTCAGTACGCTCACTACATATTTCGCATTTTACATTCATCAACGCCCACTCGAATTTACAATTACATTGCCAACTGTTATGAAAAAGTTTTGTAGCATATCCACGACCACAACATAGCAGCTTACAACTATCCACTCCTGAAGATGTTCGCGTACATTTGCGACCGTGAGTACCTGTGTAATTAACAACAATAAATTGATTACGTAAATTACAATAATTATTCATAATCTTACCTGATGAACCTAGTAAAATATTTTTCTCACAATAATTAGGTGATTGTTGCAAATAAACTAAATCCAAATTCTTTGGTTTCAAAGGTTCTTTGTCTCCACGACCTCTTCTGTAATGAAAAAGTATTGTTCAACTGTATAATCCTCAAGATTAATCTTTTGTTCTACCTTTTAATGACTAAATTTATTCCTGTGTCTTTCTTCTGTGCTTCAACCAATTTAGCCTTCTCATATTTCCTCAGAAGAACGTCTCCGACCTCACGAAATTGAGGTAAAGTTTTCCAACATGTTTTTAATTGGCAACTGCCTGATATTCCATGACATTGACAGTCCTTCTTCAAAAGCTTTCTGACGATCTAAACGAAATGAAAGCAGCATACATCTTTTATTTAACAACAGTTGAAAGTTCAAACCAATCAAAAATGAATAAGTGAAGAAATGTGACGTGAAATTATTAAAATTCCAGCTTATTGCTTTCTTATTTATTTGTAAGACTCGATAACTCAAAAGTACCGACAACATCAAGTCTTTAATTTTGCACAACCTTAAAGTTGAAAGGTCAAATTGATTAAAATAAAGAAGCAAGTTACTGAAATTACCAACAATCTTCACGAGGCTATAATTAACATTCTTTAGAGAGTTTCATTCATGAGTATCTGGTAATGACTAAGTTGTTCGATGATCATCAATAACTTTTAAAAGCCGTGTGTTAATTTATGACAATTGAGGGCATTTCACGAATGGAGGTGTCAAAAGGTATTTAAAAGAAAGAAATTCTTTATGGCTGGGGTAGAAAGTAAATGAAGATGGAAAAGGAGAAAAAGAAGAAGAGTGGAAAAGATAAATTAACATTTTAAACGATAAAGACAGAGCGCTTCAGTTGTTGTTGTTGTTCATTTCATAAGCATTACATTAAAAGTATGAAAGAAGCAAACGAGAAGGAAGATAAGAAATCAAATAAAGAGCCACAACCTGCCTATAAATTTAAGAATTTTTCATTTCTCATCGCTCATTTAGTTGATAAAACAGAATAAGTTTAAGCGGACACCACACGTTATGCGCCAAGTAATCGGGAACGAAAAGTTTAAAAGTGAACAAAACTCGCTTTAGCAACAAGTTGTAAAAATATTTCTGACATGTGACTTCGGAATAAAATTTATTGCGGCAGGGCAGAAAATTGAGATGTTTTCATTAAGAAGCAGATCGAAAATATTTATGTTCAAAGAAAGGGCTATGAAGGAAAACGTGTTAGCAAAGGTGGAACAATATTTGGCACAAATTAATTAAATATCGAAGGATTTGAAAGTGAAATCTTGCACAACATTTCTATTGAAATTAATTTTAAATATTCCCATAAAGCAGGGAAATAAGAATTATTGGTCAGTCGATGTTGGGATTAAATGGCTGAGAATCGTCGAAATGTCGTGATTGGAATTGGAGGCGAGAGAAAATTATATCAGAAAGAAACATAAAGAAACGCTAAGATGATGTAAAACATGATGTTGAGATAAATTCGCTTGAGGAATAAAAGAACGAAAAAAAGTCTTCAGACTAAACAAAATTGTTTTTATTCGTGAAATAATGGAAGCAGTAGCTTCGTGTTTCTCATGGAATGGATCCGGTTTTAATGACGACAAAAAGGAGAATCAGCATCATTTATCTCTTCGAATGTAAAACTAACAAAAATGATCAAATTTTATTTTATTTTCTTAACTTCGACTCACCTTTCTCCCAGCTTGATTATTGTGCAGGTTCATCTCGCTACGAGCGTCGCCTTCAATTTCTCTCACATCCAAAAACTTACGAGCAAATCTTATACCAAACTCAATATCAACGGAACAGCCTCCCCACTTCCACGACTGAATAGTTTGTAAAGGAAAAGAAATTGAAGATTGAGAAACATGTGTTGGTGAATATCATTTGACAATGAACTCACCTGATCCTGATAAACAGTTTTATGTCTATGAACTTGATCACAACCACATATTGAGATATTCCCTCGACTACATGCTGCAGCGATAGCATAAACAATTCCAGCATTAGCTATCGCATAAGTAAAAGCAGCTTCACGTGAGCCTGAAACAAATCAAAATAAAATTCAGTTGATAATGATGACAAATTGAAAGCATTAATCGAAGCGACAAACTACATGGAATAAATAAATTGATGTGATAATGACTTCGTTATCAAAAGTTATAAATAACTTTATTTTATTTATCGAATTTATTTTCATACAAAGCAGCTATGAGAAATCTTCAATCATCACATTCTTCCAATAACAATGAAATTGTATTCTTTAATTATTTTCTACATTTTTAATGAAATTTCTTGAGGGAGATTTTCATTTTAACAACCAAAGTCCAACATAAATATTGATAGGATTAACCTTCACAGACCGCTATGAACACTGACATTAAAATCAATTTTACGGCTCCACACTTCATTAGCATTCAATTTTTGTTGATGCTTAGAAATATTTTGGAACGATAAAAACATGAGCTTTGACTGCAAGGCTTAACATTAATATCGCATTAAACATTTTGCAGAGGTGGTTAGTTCCAAGTCAAAACTCTAAATAAGCACACTTTTAATATGACGTTTTCTTTGTTTATTGCAATTTTAAATTTATATCTTCAAGGCAAATTGAATTGTAAAGGAAGATTTAAGAATAATTGTTAATGGATTTCAAATGATTTTGCCAGAAATTCTTGCTTTTCAAATAAGAAGAACATAATTTTGCTTTTCAAGTAATTTTGTATCGTTTTGAAAATTTCAAAAATCACAAATCAATCTTTGAAAAGGTTTACGAAAGAAAAAGATGAAAAGTTGGATAAAAATCATCTGAAAAAGGTAAGAAAACCTTTTGAATAATCTTCAAAGAAAATTGTTTTGAACATAAATAAATTAGCTCATAAAATATTACTGCATAATATCATGCTCGGGGATTATTTCCTGCCAGACATATTTCAAATGAAACATTCAACAAATGAATGGAAAAACAATAAAGAATCAATTTGCCATAACTCTCTGAATATCTTGCTGTCAATTGTTTCATATTAAAATGCATTCGAAAGCAATAAATTTACCACAGATTTCGTTTAAAGTTTTCCATGATTTTATAGAACAATTCAGAACAGAAATGTGAAATATTTTCATTATTATTTTTTACAATCAGCATTTTCATATCTAATTGGTTTGGAACTTCCATTTGCAAGTGATTTTTTCTGTAATGGCACCGACTTTAAGTTTTACATTACACACAATGGCACAATAAATTAAATCGTCTCTGGAAACCAATTTGTTGATGAAGACATTAAAAGACATTTTAATTTATTCAACGTTAGCTTACGTTATACGCCGTCTACAAATCAACAAGACTATCCCCGACAACAATTAAGCAGACTACAAATGGCTGACGACATGATACAAATTGATGTCATGATTAATTACAATGACTTGCTGCCGACGATGAATTCGACGAAGCTTTTATAACTTCAACAATCATTGATTACGAGGTGGGTGTTTAAGTAGAAATAGCGAAAGAAAATTTGCTTGAAATTAGCAATAAATATTTTCTACATTGTATAAACGATTTTTACGATTTTTGCAAGTAAATTCATATGAGAACATAAAAATATTGAATATTAAAGCTTATGTTGCCTCATGAATAAATTTTAGTCAAATTTGTGTATTCGTTTCAAAATCAGTTTATGATTCATGAGTTGTTAAGGTCAACAGTCAGCATAAATCATTTCAAACTATTTATGTTACTCAAATTTTATCGAAAATTGCGCTTTGACCATTTCTGTATGACATCTAAACCGTATTGAATGTAAATGATAAATTTAATTATTGACATTGTTAGTCACTCCAAATCCTACGCATTACAAACGCCATTTTTTTACGAAGATATCAACATTAAATACAAAAAAGTCTCGTCTCGAAACGTAATTAAAATTTGGGAGCAAAATTTAATTGAATATTGTTGCAAGAGTTTAACATAGCGAGTTGAAAAGGAGAAAGAAATTAAGCAAAAGAAAAGTATTATCGACTGAAAGTCATCACGTTTGTCATGATAAGATCTTCAACATTACCTTTAAAAATCCCATGCACATGTGGGTAATCAAGTTGGAGTCGTAAATTGAAGTTAAAAAAATGTAAATTAATTGAAATCAACAAAAGAGAGGCGTCGAGAAGAGTTTTAAAAATGCTTCCATGCTAACGTGCAAAAGAATTAATTTTATGCACACGAAAAATTAATGTTGAACATGATTTCTGCGGATTTCATGACGCGAAAACATGAAGAGAAACAAAACGATTTAATTACCATATCGTGTGAGTAAATATTTTATTTTATGGATATGGATGTCAGCTTTGTGGTAAACATGGGCTATTAAGTACGAGTGGGAAAGTGAGAAAGGTAAAAAGCTTTAATTTATCCAAAACAAGACATTTCTATGTCATTCATTGGTCGTTCTTACATTTTATTTTATGTTAACGTCGATGTAAGTAATTTACATTAAAAAACTTGTGTTTTTTTTATTATTTGGTTATTTCACTCCACGTTCATTTATCATTTTAACAAGTTACTAATTGAATTTTCATGTTTGTCGCTGTTTATCGTGCTGGGGAAAAATAAAGAAGAAAAATATTCAGAAGGTTTTCTGGAGACATTCACTTTATCTCTTATTGGTCAATGAATTGATTCATTATTGATTATGTAAGATTCATGGATGTTTTCTATTTTGTTTAATTTATGTTTCTGATAAATTGGTAGAAAATATTTAAAAGCTTTTCTAAATTAAAGACGTCGCGACGTCAATTTTCATTCAGAAACATCGAATTTTTTTAAGAATAAAATTCATGAAGTCGATGCAGATTACAACATTCAGGATAATTTCTTACATGCATATTTAATTGCATATCATTATCGAACAAAAATAAAATCCAGAAAGCTTAAGAAGCTAAAATTAAAATAATTGATTGTTAAATGATGGCAAGTTGAAAATATTTCACTTCAAATTTTAATTGGTTCAACTCAATTGATTGACTTCAATTTAAAGTTTAAAGCTTCAATTTGAAAGTGAACGAAAACTTATTTCGGTTCGATAATAAATATCCTGAGAATGCAAAATATTCAATTAACGAAATGGAAATAAATTACTGTCATAAATCTTCTATAATAACACAATTCAACACTTCAATAACTTCGTAATTTATTGGATCCCAAAAAAAATGAAATCGTGAAATAAAAACGATGAAAACAGAATATTGAAAGTTTCAAAGTTCTCACGAAACGAATCGAAGGATTTACAACTGGATTGGAATTCAATATTTCTTCATTAATACTCAAATACCAGTAGGGAATATCGTTGTGCAATTTACATAAATATTGCTTTCAGGTTTTATCATTTTACATGCATTAAAGGTGTGCAAATATTAATCATTCTTATCTAAAGACACTAATCTTGCTTAAGACTTTAACAGACATGAAAGATTTGTCAAAACATCTGCCAATTAGATGTAATAAATTAGTCTTATTGACTTACTCACCAACAGAGATTACATGTCCAAATATATCTTTTTGCCATACTTCAGAGCAGTTCCATCGATGTCCTAAAAATTGAATTGATTTTAAATGAAAAAGTGGACGTTGGCGAGACATTAAGTCATGCTTCACCTTTAAATTGATATTGACATTCTCTTGAGCCTAGACTGTGACCATTACCAAGGGCGACAACTGCATCGGGTGACTCTGAGCAAAGTTTCTTTTGTTTTGGTGACAATCCTGGAATGCGACTACAAAGGGCAGCTGGAGAGAAGCACATCAACCCTCTAGAAAGAAAATTAATGGTAAAGTCATTAGAAATTTAAATTCATGAATAGATTAACGCTCAATCAAAAACACTTTTCCGTGTGTCTCTCGAATAATCAATGAAATGTGATGAAGATAAAAACGTAATGACTTTGAAATTAAGTGTTAATTAAGACGAATTGTTGAAAGCTTGACTTTGTTTATCTTCAAATGTTAAAAGCCTTTTTCTGCTTTTAGAATTTTCTAAATTCTAAATTTATTCTTTGAATTAATTAATATGTTAGATTAAAATCATGAAAGTTGTGTGCGTGTGTCTCGTCCACAAAATTTCGTCATCTCAGTCTTCTTTTTCTTGTTTTTCATTGTTTAAGTTCGGAAGTGAATGAACAAAGGATAAAGATCTGTTGAAACTTCTTTTACTGAATGAACAAACCTTCAAATCACAAACAAAGGACGACAAACAACAGTGACGAAAAGGTGTTGAATATGCTTAATTTTATAAAAATCAAGAGACGCAACTAACAATAGACTTAAATGCCCGTAAGGCGGAAAAACCTGAGAATATTGATCTGACTAGTTTCTGCTGTTGTCGACGAAGAAGGATGAAGAGTATTGAATTTCATTTGATGTAGCTTGTGTTAAAGAATATTTTAATTAACTACCTGTTAAGTTTTATTTCCCATCTTGTGATTGTAAACCTTAAAAATTGAAATATTTGAATGCGAAATTGCAACAGAATTCCAACGATCTCTTCATGATCAATTAATGTCTTGCGATTGAAGTTGTAAATTTATAATTTTTATTCAATTCTCTTGAATAATTTAATTTGAATTTAATTTCAATATTTAACCACAGGTGTTCTCGACATTAGTAAAATTCTGCATTAAAAATTACGAAGAAATTAAAAGTATCATAAAAAGAATTAATTAATCATCAATTCATCATAAATGTTATAAAGGAGCTGAAGAAACAGTTTCATTTTATAGCTAAAAAGCAAGATAGCTGACATAACGAGAAGAGACGCATTTGAACGAAAATATAAAACGCGTGTAGCTTTTAAAAAATTTGCATTCCCGCTGGTTTTAAAACGCAACATGAAGAAAAAATCCGAAAATGACTCAATTATACGTTCACAAAAATCTCGCAAAGCATTTTTATTATTTAGAATTAATAAATTTTGAAATACAAAAAAGAATAGAATATTTTTATTTATGCTTTACTAAAGATTGAAATTTATAGTTATTTTAAGATATCGAACATTTCATGGTCATTACTGGAGAGAGCTTTTTTAAAAATATTTTTTGAAAAGATATAAAATTGATTAATTCCATTTATAGGTTGGCTGGAGGATTAACTGGGAGATTTGTGAAATTATTTTGTTTTGTATCTTTCTCTGTCTAAACGATGATTAATTCGAGAGACGATTTAAGAACCAATAAATGTATGCATTAACATTCGAAAGCCATAAATTTTTCGATTAAGTTGAAGTCAAATCAACAAAAAAGAAATATTTGTTTAGTTCTTGATGATTTTTTTGATTATAGCTTCGAGGTTTGAGTTTCCATTTGAATCGAAAAGTTCATAAGAAGAAGAAACTATCCCAACTTCGAACCAATTAAATCATGAAATGTTACTTCCCGGAAAACAGCAAAAGCAGCCTACCGAACAAGAAGATTGTGATTTTTATCGAAAACTGCAAATGCTTTGGCTCGCGTTCGATATGATACGATCATCATGCGCAGTTTTTTTATCCCCGCTGTTCAGTAAATTTCATGTTCGCCACTCCTTCTACAACAACAACACAATCCAGTGGTTTCTCATTCACTTAGTACTAGACCATGTCATTAAACAGCAAAGTAATGGAGAGTAATTATGTCTCGTTGAATTAATGATAAAAGAAAAATTGCTTTACATCTGACTAACTCTCTTTAAATAGGATTTACAAGCTTTAAATGTTGTTTTATTACTGTTTGTTTTTGTATTTAACATGTCGAATCAATGAGTTGCAATTCTATACTTCTTGATTCGTTAGAGTCAAAGCCTTAATATTAATTTGTTAAGTTAATTAACAATTCATTCATTTCTTCTTTCTTTCCCTTCATTCGACATTATCAGTTGAGTTATGTGCTTCGCACTTGACGTCGTGTTAATATTTTATTCATTATTGAATGCTTCCTTAACTCATCAAGCAGATCATTGAAAGTCTAATCACAATAAATCTTAACTGTCTAGGAATATTTTCCAGTAGAAATTATAATCTATTATCACGTAACATTCTATGGAAATATTTAATATAATTTGCACAACGGCATATCAAATGCTTAGCAACTTACAGCTTATAATTAAAAAACAAAAAAAAATTGTAATTACAATTCTATTAATTTAACGTTACTAATCGAAAGTGTTTGATTTATTAGCCACTTAATGCATTTGAGTTCCTACAGAACACGTTATAAAAATAATTTATGATTTAATTACAGAAATTATACAGAAGAACAGAAACTGATAAAATAATTTTGATGGGTTGACAGGCGAACATTTTTTTAATCTTTTTGCAATTAAATATTGTCGAAATTCTAGCCTTGGTGATAATCTTGATAACGTCGCTTAATTCTTGAAAGTCAATATGGTTCAACATTTTTATCTATTCATGATACATTCGAGTCAGATATGAATAAATTTAATCTTTGAAAATTGTTTTAAAAATACAAATGCTCAAATAAAAATTGCCATGAATTTATTTCAGAAGTCAGATTTCTAGACATTGAAATGCAAATATTCAATTTAGTAAAACGAAATAGATTCGAATATAAATGGATGAGCTATCCAGAATATATGAATGATAAGAGTTTTAAATCGACCATCGAAATTGATCTTTTCTTTCTGGAAACTTGTTTGTCACTTAATAAAAATGTCTGCAATGACAAGAGACATCATAAGATGAGCTTATTACACCTGCTTCAACTAGTCGATAATTTATGAGTTTGTGGATATTGTAAAAAGGCGACAAAAGCAAAAGATTCAGAAGGCTCGTTGATTAAAATTAAAAAAATTTCATAACAAAACAAGAAAAAAATGACGGAAAATGTTTTATAAGAAAAAAGTAATTAAATTTGCATACTGAATAAATATTTGACAAAGGTGATATTTTCAAGACTGTAACCAAATAATAAACACAAAAATCGGGAATATTTGAAAATCTTTTGATGTTTGCGATTTAAGAAGAAAAAAAATTATTAGGAATTCCGTCAAACGCTTTGATGCAAATGCTTTTGGTCTGTAAACATTTAACCAACACAACTCCAAGCTCCCCTATTGGTTTAATCTACATAAATTAACAATTTTGTGATGTAAACTATCAATTAATTTTTAATTTGCGTGAAATCTGATTTTTATGGAAATATGAAATGGACAACGGGCAAGTAAGCGAAAGATGAAAAGTTTAACTGAAGTGAACACATGGAGAGATAGAATGGATAAAAAATCGTGTGATAATTTCATAAACTTTTAAAATATTGCCGCTGGATTAACGATTACAACATTACATGAACAGATTATCCGAGTCAAGAACGCAACTCGATATTTAACTTAGCCAAATAACATTTTTCATGGAAAGTTTTCTAAAGTATCTCATTAAGTAGAAATAAAATAAGTCAAAGTGATTTAAAGCTATTTTACGCTTTGCCGCAATTATAAAAGTTTCACGGTGCAACACATGTGCATTTTGTTTTGAAATTGCACTTTTGCGGTGTATAAATAAATGCAAATTATTTACAAATATTCCCCCATCAATATGTCCGATAATTTTTATGTTTTCACAAATAAATTGAAATTTTATCGTGAGATTTCGATTTGGAGATATAAAATATGCTGTCTGACTAGAAATCAAAGCGTGCAATCGTTAATCGAGCATTTTCTTCCATTCACCGATGATAATTGAATTGATTATTGCTTTCAAATATGCGATTTTCAATTATTTACTCCGCCTCGGGTTGATAATAAAAGCACGACTTACCGCAAATTACACAAAATGATTACTCCGATGATCACTGTTGATATTTTATCGACATAAACCATTTTGACAACATTATTTTCATTATTTTAATTTCATCTTCATCAAAGTTAGATTGAATGTTAAAGAAACTGCACTGAACACCGTCATTCCGGTTAATGCGCTTTTGGTAACTTTATGGTTTTAATGCACATGCAATCACTTTTTCTATTCCTGTTCCACTATTTTTTATTAATTAATTTTCCTTTCAAGTTTTTATTCATTCAAATATTTTTATTGAATTTCCATAAAAATGTTTTTATAGCAGAAAATTGAAATCAAAGAAGCTGCCAATTTCATTTAAAATTTATTTTAATACCGTCATCAACGATTAAACTTTATTATGTTCCGAATGTTCCACTTAATAGTTTTAATTTGGTATATCGGATTAATTTCCATCATCATTTAAAATATCATTTAGATCACTTAATATTCACATTAATCCTCAGTCGTTTTAATTTATGGCTGTTTATTTAATTCACTTCACATAACATGATGATTTTCAAGACTGACATAAATCAACAGAAGTAAGAATTAAGTCAAATTTTTTTGGTGGTTGAGTTAGGAAGCTGAATTATCAAGCAGAGGAAACATGCTGAGCAAAAAAAAACATAATAATAAATGAAAATGTTTATCGAGGAAGAATGAAGGCATTTTGTGAAGGCATCAAAGGAGAAACATAATGGACATAAAAAAAAGCAACACAACAAAAAATCAATTTTGTCTTAATGTCTACCTGTCGAACAAGCCACTTAACATTCCACTTATTTGTGCGAGCGGAGAAAAAGAAAGATCTGAGATGTACGAAGCCAAAAAGCCTGGATCTTTTGTGGACGCTTGTAGAGTTGTGTTGTTTGCTTTGTTTTTTGCATCCAAACGATAAAAAAATTAATTCTTCGTTTAACTCTTAAATCGTGAAAAGAAAAAGTTTCAACCACAGGAACAAGAAAAATATCATTTTTTATATTATTCGTATCGAATCAAAATAAACACGGATTGAATCGTATTAATGAAGCTAATGATTCGATATGTTTCATCTCATGGCACACAACAGAAGATGAAATGAAGAGAAAAAAAGCAAACCAGGAAGAAGAAAAATGTCGAAAGAATAATTTTGATTCTTGAGAAGAAACGATGAGTGAAGAGAAATCGATGCTGAATCACAATGCTTGATAAGTGCTGTTGAAACTCAATTATTTCGATATATATGTAAGGAAAACCAACAACACTTTAATTAAGTCGAAAGGTTTATGATGATTGGATCATTTCACTACCGTTACAACTTACTACACTAAAAAAGAACTTAATAGGAACATCATTGCGTAATTTCATTTCTTTGTTTATTACGGGTCAAGTATCAAGATATTTATTTAAATATCAATCAATTCCCTCAACAGTTTGTTGCAAATGCACGCATAAATATTTCTTTTAATCCTTTTTGTTTACTTTCCACCGCAGTTTTCAATAATTTTATTCCAATGAATTGTTTTCTGTTGATCGTTTTCACCATTTATGGAGCCCGCGGTTAAGATAACTTTTATTACACACTCTGTTAAATGTCTTTATTTAATTAAATATTTTCTTCATTTTATTGACAGATACTCATTTATGGTGGATTATTGAGCTTCAATTAACGGATTAACTTCTAAATGTACACATTCAACCAACACATCAAATGCACGAACTCTTAATTAATTCCTTTATTTGCAAATTGCTAATTTAATTATTTTTTATTTTAAAACGTGAGAAATTCAAACAGAAATTCAGAAAAATCCACGATCGATAACTTAATCCACCGGAGAGCAAACGACAACTGATGTGAAATTGTTATTTTTGGTTGTTGAAACGCGATGGAAATAAAAACAACAAAATAACATCTCACGGAATAAATTATAGGAAAGTTTTTCGATGCTTCACTGAACTTGCAGAACGTTGTAGGATTAAAATTTAAAATTATTGTCAAGAATTCTTAAAAAATAAAAAATTATAAGCAGAAAGGAAAAGGAAATTAAAATATAAATTATAAAATTTCTTTATAAATATTTTCTCAAATAAATCTTCCGAGATTAAAACAACACATGAAAGCATTGATCAGAAGCTTAAGTAGCGAAACATTCGCGAAACATTGAAGAAAGGATCGAGTTGACATTGTGAAGCGTTATTGAAGATAAAAATAAAATCATCGCATTGATGTTCGCTTTAAATTCCTAGTCAAATCTCTCAATTCGCGCGTATACATTCGCATTTTAATTAATTAACAAAACATCATTGAAAGCATTTTGATTTATGAATTTGTTGAATGCAGAACATAAACATGATTTATGGTCACACATGGTTGAAAACATGACATTTATCATTTGCGTTAGGTTTGTATTTGTTTATCTGAATTAAATTCATTACTCGAAATTCTCATTGACATTGAACCCGAATTTACCCTCAGAGTAACAAAAAAAAATATTTGCGTATTATCTTAAAACGCTGGAGGAAAAATCATAAATCGCAATAAATGAAATACCAATTAGCTAATGAAATCGAAAGGGTTCACCGCCCCGAAATTGATGTTTATCCACATGTGGCTTTTGTTAACAGTCTCGTCAATAGTGAAGTGTAAAAAATTTGTCATTTCTGCTGATTTGACTCCCAATATTAGCTATTTGCATAAATCATTAACGACATGTGATATGAAATGTTTAATTATTTGTAAAATTAAATTCTCAATTTATTAGTTTCATAAATTTTCTCCCATCATTTTGGTATAGGTTTGGATGATGATTCACCATCGAGAGAAGTAATAATGTTTAAGTGCACAAAACGAGATTTAATCATGATCTATATGCATAAATAGAGAGGGTGGAAATGTGAAACATTAAATAAATAAAAGATTAATGAAGATTACTTTACTACATCACAATTAGTGCTTTAAGCATCTTCGTTAAGCTTGAATGTTTGATTCTATGAAAATTATTTAACAATTGTAGAAGTGACAAGCAACATCGTGTAGTGTAATAATAAGACAATGTTTAGATAATTATATAATTTTATTTTAATTTCCAATTAGATATTAATTGCTACATATTTGTATTTGTTTATTGAACATCTTTTATAGAAATAAATCACTCACAATGAATATTTTTTTTCTTCTGTTTAAATCGTAATCAAATTGCAAATAATGACGAAATTTTGAATAGATAAAGAAAAAAGTAACAAGAAAAGAAATAATAACGAAATTTAAAAAAATTTTGAAGAGAATCTTTAAATGTTTAACAGGAAATCATTTGATTTAGAGAGATTGAATCGTTCTTTGGGTTGCCTAACAAGTGTAGCACTATTAACTAAAATAGTTCTACCTTGAGAGATGAAATGAATGCAACTAATTAATTATTGTTAGTGAGTGAATTATTTTCCCAGGAATAAGTCTTTGAAGAACTTGCTTAGTCTACCTCTCAAAAGCTTATAAAGTAAGAAACAATTCGAAGAAAAGAAAATATGAAAATTATTAAATTTACTCTCTCAATTAAATTTTAAATTTCAGTCGATATTTTGATATTGAAAATTAAAATCTCTCGCCTAATTTATCGAAAATTTTTATCGTTTTCACTTGAAGAACGAACAATTTGTTGTTTTTTTTAAAGTTTTTTTGGCGCAAGAGTTTTGATTTTTCTTAATGATTGATTTTTGGCTTTTTTATTCTTCTTCATGATCGCTCGTCGTCATGCTAACATCACTAGGAGATGAAGGAGCATCAGGAATATCTTGAATACTATCACCATCAGAATTAATTGAGGAATATTCCGAATCTGAATTTGATGATAAATTAGGCGTGAAACCTCCTTCGTCTACTGAAACGATTATATCTGTGCTGCTTGCAACGCTTATGCTGTCTGTGCTGAGTGCTCCCGCAAGAGTTTCTGTTTCATTATCTTCGGGAGTTAAGTCAATAACCGTGTCACTACCCAAACGTTGAGCACGTGCTGAAATAATTGGTCGAGCATAAGGACGATGACGTATTGCACGAATAAGGCTTTCATATCGGCTTTGATGACTTTCTGTTTCACTTAAAGCTGAATGCATAAATCGTGTTCTTGGTAATGCAGATGGATTTGGTCGTGTATTGCTTCTAGTTGGCAAAACTTCCTGACCTAACGAAGCTGCTGAATTTGATCGAAGGACTCGACTTGAAGTCTGTAAGTTCACAGCCCTATTGCTTCTATCATTACGAGTTCGTAGATTTTCTGAAGTGTTTGTAGATGGAGAGTCATTAGAAAAATTTGTAAAATACTCAAAAAGGCGGCTTCTTGGTGGTTGTCTTTCTGATGAACTCGAGCTTTGATCATCTGTGGTTGTTGATGTTGATGGCTCATCTTGACGAATTTGACCTGATGGATCCATCACACGTCTTAAAAATGTATCTGCAATAAAATGGCAATTAAATAATAAAAAACGTTGATAAACTTAGAGAAATTACCATAATCACTTAAATAGTTTAAACTTGAATCAGGCTGTGGTAAACTATTTGATGCATCAGCATTTCCTGTATTTAAATTTGCACGACAAACTGGACATGATGCACTAATGCGAAGCCAAGGAAAAATGCATTTGCCATGATATAAATGATTACAAGACAATTTCTTGACGCCTTTTTCGTTAAGCTTGAACTCGTCAAAGCAAACTGAGCACTGAACCTTTTCATTTGTTTGCTCTATTGTGATAGTTATCTCTGGTATTGTGAGTAACTTATCAAGGCCCATCGCTGGAGGACGAGGAGAACTTAAGAAGGAGCTCATAAAATCGTCAAGGGCAAAATTCAATGTGCGTGTTCTTTCCAATCGACGCGAAGTGTGAGGATGAATCATTTCTATAATTGCTTCTCTAGTTCTATTCCTAATCTCAGCAGTTCTAGAAGAAGTAGTAGCACCAGGCGAACGACTGCGTGATCGAATTGTATTTCTGTTCCTTCTTGAAACTCGTGTTGGTGTTGCGCGTCGCATAATACGATTAACCAATGAAATAAATGGATCAGAATTTCTAGGACTGCTACCGTTAGCTCGATTCGATGGAAAATCAGTTGTATTGTCAACCTCTTCGATGAAACCTTCTTGGCACTGTGGACATAAATATTCCTAGAAATATCACATTAATAATGAAAACAATAAACTTTTAAACAACTCTTTACTGCAGCTTGATTTTTTCTCCACTGATGGTTACATTGATGGCAGTAAAATAGTCGACTGTTATCAGAAGATGCCTCACAAACAACTCCTCCTGAAGTGGCCATTTTAAGGCGTTTAGAAACTCCAATAATTCGAACTTAATCAAATTCTAAAATTTATTTCAGTGTTTTGCTTCTTTATTGATTTCGCTTCATTATTTGCTTCATTTTGGGGGTAAGTAAGAAATAACTTTAAGGGAAAAGCAGTTAACATCCCGGACAAACATCATTGCAACATTACACACTTAATGATAAAGGCACACAAAAAGCGGATTCATAACGATTTTTTCTCCCTTTTATAATAATCTTAATGACGAGGGTTTATTCTATGTGGAAATTTAAAAGCTTTATAAATCAAAACCTTAATCTAAATATTTATTTTCTTCTTTCTAATACTGATAAGAAATTGAGTTTCTTTTTATTATCTCTTTAGTTGTATTAAGAAACAAGAATGAATCATATTTGTAGCTTGGTCTTTGGTGCTGAGAAAAATGATTAAACTTCCAGGTTTATTTCTTCATTGTTGCATCACTTCCTGTTGCATACTTGCTCTTTTCAGCTTCAGACATAGACTTCCACAATGCTCCAGCTGTCTTCAAAATCTCTGATTGCTTCTTATTCGAGTTCTTGGTTGCATTTTTTTCGCGGTAAGATTTCAAGAAGTTGAGCCACTTGTTTCCACCAGCTGATTTTGCAGATGTTTTAGTTTCCTTTGTCTTTGCCATCGTTGTTTTTCCAAATTCTAAAATTAAAAAAAAAATATTTTTTTTCCGAAATGATGCTTCATTTACTAGCCATTTAAAAATGAAAAATAATATTTTTTCCTCCTAACGCATATATTTTTGTTTTTCTTCTAAATTTTATGTGAAATGTTCTTTTAAGGCATAAACCTTTCACTCAAACTCAAACTTACTTTATCAATTTATTGAACTTTGATATTTATGCAATGTTTGTATTTTTGCAGATTTTTCTTTTAACTCGCTTCTGTTTATGATGTGCGCGGGATAATTCAAAACGAAAATATTTTAATGATCAATGATACACTCATTCCATCATTAATCATTGAATCTTATCCGAACTATCGTAGTCCGAACACTTGTTTAAAAATCACAACAAACTGAAAACTTTTAAAGACAAATGTTATAAATTTGCTTAAAAATGTTTCTACAAAGTGTAAGTTAATTGTTTTACAAAATATTTTGAATTCTTGAGTGCTAAATAAACATGATCCTTTTATAGATAACAGTTTGTGGATTCCTGCATGTTAAAGATACAAAAACGTTGACTTTTGATATTCAGAAAAATTCTGAAATACATTTTAAGGAAATCGCAAATGTGACTGATAATATTTTTATAAAAGGTAATATAATAATTTACTGATTATTCTAAATAATTAACTGAACGTTTTAATATATTTACAGCACTTTCAATAATATTTGACAAGAAGTATGGATCAGGATACGATTTGCGCGCTGAATTTATCAACAATCAATGTAATGGAAAATCTTATGTCAGAATTGAGTTTTGGCAAAGTGATAATAACATTCTGAATGAATCAGCTTGGGTATGTTTTCAAATTAACTCCTGAATAATTTTTAAAACAATTTTCTCAGCTTAAAGGGAACAGCTTTAAAATCGAACGAAGCATCATCGATCAATCAAAGATCATCAAAGTGAATGAGGCGGATATGGACATTGTAACTTTTCACAACAGTATGGCACGTCTTGGTTTCCACAGCATTGAAGATTTCTGCATGCATCGACTTCTTGAAAGTGAAATAATTAAACTCAATCATTACAATGGAGAGGATCTTTGGAATCTCATTTTAAATGTGAATCAAAGTGAAGATCTTGTTCAAGTCCTGGGGAGTAAACATGTAAGTTGTAATGAAATCTTTATTCGACTTAAAGAATTACTCAATTTTATTCTTTTTAATAGAGAAAACGATTACTTCTTATTGACGAAATGAAACGCACAATGGATGAAATGGAAGATTCACTCGCTTCTAAGTTGAGACTTAAAAACGATATGCGAACATACTTTTCTCTTGTAAAACATTTCAATACTCTTATGAGAATTGTCAGCAAAAGAAAATTGAAAATTCTTTCAAATGAAAACATGAGAACTCAAACTGAAATCGACAATTTAATGATTGATCTTGAAGATAAAACTAAAGAAGTGAAATTGTTTGAGGACCGTGAATTAAAGACACGACTAAAGAACTGCGCAGCTATGAAGTTCATTGATCTGATGTATGACAAACGAGACAAAGTAATGCAGAAATTACACGAAGTTAAACTTCAAATTGTGAAAGTTCCGAAAGGATTTTCAATCATAGAACTTTTCCACACAATTGCAGCTAATCAAACTTCTATTCGTGAAAACTTTCAGCAATTTGAAGCCTTCTCCGAGCAACGTCTTCAATATTCAGAAGCAAATCTAATTCCTCAACAAATGGAGGTCGAAATGATGAAATGGAAAATTTTCCTCAGTCGCACACAAAATAAAAATCTTCTCGATCAATTTATTGAAACTGAGACGAACAGAATTTATTCTTTAAATGAAGAACTTCATAAAGTTGTCGACGATATGGAGAAATGTAAAGAAATCGTTAACAAAGTTTTATTCTTAAATGTTGAACAAATTAAAGAAGTGACAAAGGAATGGAAAAGCAAACAATTCCAAGTTGAGATGGAAATTGCAAAACTCAGTAAAAATATGTTGAAAAATGAGAAAGAAAAGTTTCAAATTGATGTGAAGATCAATGAAATTGCAGTAGAAAATGAACTCGATTTGCCTTACATTCAAACACTGAAGATTGTTGAAGAATTTATTCGATTAAATTCAGACTTTGATCTTGACTACGTTGGACCAGTTTTTACTTTTCTTAATCCACTTTCCGAGATTGATGGGAAACTTTGGCCTTTGCTTTCATCTGTAGCTGGAATTTTTCTTTTCACTCGAGGAATGACAGCAAGAAAAGTTCATCGAAAGATGCTTGAATTGAATCCTGATTTAAAAGCTTCTTATGTGTTTCTGGGAATCGACGAGTACATTCCAGTGAATTATCCAGCTTTGTCTGAGGAAATGTTAAGTACAGTAAGATCTGCTAATGAACTGATCGACCCAAAAGCTAAATTCAAAAATATTTTAAAACAATTGTTGAGTGACATTCTGTTAATAAATGAAGATGAAGTGGAAAGTTTCGAAGATATTTCATGTCTACAAAAGGTCATAATTCATAGCAAATATGGCAGTACAATCAAATCTAATCATTGTTTGATGTTTCAAAGTAAATCATCAAATGAAAATCCAATTCAAACACTCAAAACCATCTACGAACATATTAAAATGCGCATAGATTTTGTGCAGAAAATCAACGAAGCTCAACGAACAATTTTGGAATTTTTTGATGTTTTGAAAGCAAGTGAAACGCAATATCAACATGACATCCATTCAAATCATTCCCTGCATTCGATTCCAGCTTGTGTTGCTGCATTTCATCAACTTTTAAGATTCAGTGAGAAGAAATTTTCCATCAAGAAGCGATTGTTAGTGAAAAATGCTACGAAGCAAGCATTAGAAGATCTTGAAGCTTTACAAATGACAACGAATGACGTCAATGAAATATTCCAAGAAATTCTATCAAAACAGAAGAAATTAAAGAATGACGAGAAGCAACTTGAAACAATCGAAGTTGAAATTAATAAAAATAAAATAATTTACGAATTAACAGTCACGAAGATGGAACATTCCAATGATTTCTTAATTCGAGCATTGCATTTTGTTAAATATCCTTGGAATGAGTTCTACGATGATCTTGAACCGACAGTTGACAACTTCATTAGAACCAACGAAAATCTTCTTGAAAGTTACAAAAGTGAAATTAATCAACTTCAAATATTAACAAATGAATGTTCTGTTGAGAAACTGCAACAAGAAGTTGAACTTTTAAAGTTAAAATGTAAACTTTATGAGAATCGAAGCAAGCAAAATGTAAATGAATTTGCTATGAAGAAATGTACAGAAACAATCGATCTTTGCATTAACGATCCGAAGACAAACTTTGATCTTGAATTCTACAATCAATATCGTTCAGCATCGAGTGACGAGCTGATCGAAGTTCTTTCTGATTACCATCGTCAATTGCAGCAAAACAGTTGCAACATTAAACAAGCCACAAAAGACCAATACGGACATTTAGTTGATTCCATAAAGAAAGTCGAGAAATATTCTCACTCGCCAGTTGAACCGCACTCGAGAAGTCGAATAACATCAAAAACATTTCCAATCGTTAACAAAGTTTTCGTGAAGACACTCAAAGATGCTGTGTTCAATTATCGGGCGTCATTCATGACTGTTATGAATGATCATGTTCAACAATCGATGCTTTTATTTTACACACGAAAACTTTTCCACGAAATCCAAGCTGATGACTTCAGTTGGAGTTGTTTTGATTTAAATCGAATTAAAGCAATGGATTTTGTTGTCAATTGGAAGAATTCTTCTGTCGTCTGTTCAGAGAGTAATGTGAAGACAGTTAAAGGGCTTCTGCTCATCATGCACATCATTCACTACTTGTCAGTCTTCAAATTCATCGTCATTGATGAGAAAATCTTTAATGTGAGTGGAATAATCTTTTTTTATTATTAATTATTCTATAATTATTTCATTCAGGGCATGGACGAGAAATTGAAAGACAATCTCATGGTTTACCTCAACACTGTGTCGTCATTTGTACAAATAATTTTTCTTAACAACGAAGTTGAAGAATCAATTGCAGAGTACGAAGACGAACCGATGGATACTTCATAATAAAACTTTGTTTAACTAAGTTTATTATTTCAGGAAATATCAAAATGTACACATTAATATTTAATTAAATAAAAACAATGTTTATCTGATCAAATTTAATTTTATTCACTTAGCTTATACGTGAAAATTACGTGGATTAGTTAAACTTACTACTACTATTAATTAAATTTTATATATTTTATACACCAACTCATTCAAAAAATGTTAATGTTTGTTTTGATTTTTCCGAAATCTTTCATCGTTCAGTTAATATTTATAAGAAATTTATAAATCTTTCGCAATTCTGCAAATATTTTCACATTTCAATCTTCTTTGAACTTTAACATTTTTGTTGTTATTTCCTTCGATGTTTTCACGTAAACTGAAATCATCGAATCACGTACTTGCTTTATAAGATCATCAACGTCATTCACTGTTAAGTTTTTTGTAGACACTTCTGGTAGTGCTGTGATGATGACTTCACCCTTATTGAAAATCTTTTTCTCGCTGTCTAAGAATGGTTTGTATGAACTGAAAACAACTGGAACGATTGGAACTTGAGCTTGAATCGCTGTGTAAAAGGCTCCTTTCTTAAATTGATGAATTTCTCCAGTGTTTCGTCGTGTGCCCTCAGGGAACACCCACAACTTGATATTTTTCTTTTTTAAATCTTCCATCATGTTGATCATTTCTTGTCCCGCCTTTTCTCCTGCTTGTCGATTAATGAAAGTCAATCCAGCAAGGAACATTGAAATTCCAAATGGACCAGCAAATAAAAGTTCCCGTTTAGCAATTGCAGTCATTTTCTTAATTACTGGCCACACATCTAAATTGATGCGGAATAAATAAATAAAATGATTTTTCTCGTCAACTTTGTTATCACTAAAACTTTTTATTTTTGTTGTTCGTAATTTTGTTATCAATTCTCGGACCGAGTAAATAACAAAAATCAGCTGATGCCATTAATAACTCACCTATCATTCCTTGGATGTCTAAGCTTGATTGATGATTTGCAACAAAGACACATGTTCGATCTTTGCTTAGATTTTCTGCACCACGAAGTGTCCATTTAATTCCAATAACCTTTGAAATGTGCTTACAACCGGCACAGCAAACTCTGAGTTAGAAAAATTATCGATCATTGTCCATCATTTCAGTTTCAAGTTAAAAAAACTTACAGAAAATTTAAAACATTTCTAGGCTTCAACATGAAATATGGAATTAGAATTGTCACGATTGTTGTTAAACTTCCACAGAAATAATTAAATTTTAAATAATAAATTAATGGTTTGTAATTTTTGATCAGATATATTGACAGCATTGCTGACATCACAAATTCCCAACTGCTGTCCATTATATTATGATAATTAAACACTTTAACAATTTTCACAAAAATAAAGAAAATTCATTAAAAACAACTCAACACAAAAACTTTACGTTCAGTCACTCGCACAACGTTTCGAGAAATGAAAATATTTCAGTCGTTGTTGGTCGTTGTTGACGAGAGTCATTGAGAGATTACAGCGATGGAAGCAAGTGAGAAGTTTCGCTCGAATTACTTCGTTTCAAGAGCGAAGAAAAATAAAAACAAAATTGAAAATGTCTCTTGATTAGGAAATAAAACAAAAAACTGCTGAACAGAATGTAGAACATTTTATAAAAAAAAGTTCAGCCCAATCTGAAGTATTGATTAAGCTATGAAGACCCAAAAATAATGTCAGATGCTTAAAACGGGTTTAAGCCATTTATTTAACTCTTCTTTTTATTTTCTATCTCGGAATTTAACTCTTCATATTTTTTCACAATTATATCTCTGGTCGTTTTTATAAGTTCATTGATGTCTTCACTTTTCAATCCTTTCGTTGGAATTGCCGGTAAAGCTTCAATGAGAATTTCACCTGAATTGAAGATTTTCTTTTCTTTTGATGTAAATGTTAGATATGAACTGAACACGACTGGAATTATTGGAACTTGTGCGTCAATTGCTAAATGAAAAGCTCCTTTCTTGAACTCATCAATTGTCCCCGCACGGTTTCGATAACCTTCAGGAAACACCCACAACTTAGTTTTCTCATTTTTAAGCTTTTCCATCGCTTTGTTCATTTTCTTTTTCCCTCGATCAGCTGAATCTTTATTTATAAACACAAGACCACAAAGCCATGCACCGATACCAAAAGGACCGGCAAATAAAAGAAGCATTCTAGCAATGACAGTCGTTCGTTTCATTACTGGCCATATTTCTAAAAGAAATTTCATAATATCAATGGCACTTGATAAACGTTATCTTGGTTATTTAACTAACGCACCTAACATCCCTGTAATCAGATAGAAAAATTATTTATTTCTTATCATGAAAATATTTGATAACAGAAGAGAATTTCCGAATTAAAATCTCACCTAAAATGTCTAAACTCGATTGATGGTTTGAAATAATAACAGCAGCTCGTTCTTCTTCTAAATGTTTATGACCTCGAAGAGTGAATTTCACTCCAATAATTCTTGAAGTTATTCTAAGGATTTTACTAGCTGGTCTGATAAATTAAACATTTATCGTGAGTTGAATCATCACAAAAGTTATTAAAACTTACATTAAATTAAGAACATTCTTTGGTCGCATCAGAAAATATGGAAGCAGTAATGTTGGTACGATTGTCATCATAAAGCAAAAGAAAATATATTTCACATAATATTTTATTGTTTTAAAGTTTCTAAACATTTTATAAAATATAAAAAATGGAAGGACAATTTCAACAAGAAACGCGACTAAATAAATGAAAACTATGAAAGCTGTTGGTAGCATATTTAGAACTTAGCACAACTTCCAACCTCAACGTGTTCTTATCAACTGAGTTTTTTTTATTCTCTTCAATTGCATATTATCGTAAAACTGATAAAAATACTAAACCAGGGTTAACGACACAAGAAAAATATCGAAAATTTCCAAATATGATCTGAGTTTAATCTCCATTGAGTTTTCGATAAATTTGTTGATCATTTGAGCTCGTGTTTCAATAAATTTACGCACAATTTTAGTGAATATTTGCTTTCACAACTTGATTTAGAAAGATATTTTAATTTATTTATTTATTTATTTATTTTTATTTTTGCCTTTGAGCTACAAATAACAGGAACAAACAAAACGCTATTAGTTCATTAATGAAGCATGAACAAGAAATTTCTAAATACTTTTTAAATTTACAACGTTGGACTGATGTTTTTGTGATTTAATCACATATAAAGTATGAATATCTAGCACTACAACAACAAATAAAACATTTAACATGAATGTGATGATCCTTTTCTCTAATTTAAAACTTGGGTTATAAATGTAGTTTAATTATTAAAGAAATTATTTTGTGTTAAGTTTGCTAACTAAAGCATAAAGTGAGTATGTTGAATTTAAAATTGTTGTTAAGGTGCCAATGTCAACGAAGACAAATCCAAATGCAGAAATGTTAATTGATCGTTTTGCGTTTTCCATAAATATTGTTACAGCTTTCTTGTACTTCTTACTTCCATCTAACCACTTTGAATGAAATAAAGTTGTTGATATTTTATTCGAAATTAAAGTTAATTCGTTTCCATAGTAACAAGGTAAAAATATTTGAATCATCATTGAGATACCGTAGATGACTGTTCTTATAATGATTGGCATTTCGTTTGTAAAAGAAAGCTGAAAGGCAATGAAAGCATTAAATGAATACTCAAAAGATTAAAAATTATTTACTGTAGATAATAAAAATGCTGATGTACAAAGAATCACACTGCTTAGTATTGCTTGAACGAAGAAGGTCAATGATAGATGAGTTGATATTTCTCCTCCAAGATCCTTAAGTTGAACAAAGCAATCGACGCATTTACAAAATCTGTCATAATCTTTTGTGTCATCTTCAGGTTGAATACTCTCAATTTCAATAGAAAGTTCCTTCAACATTACAGTCAAATAATGCATGAATACAATCTGAATCATGTCGAGACTAAAGTTTACTATAATAACAAATAATGTCGCGAAACACTCCTGAGCAACAACTAACCAATAAAGAAATGAGTTGGGCTCCATATTAAAGAATATCCAAGTATCAAGAGGAATTTTTCCAATCCTTGAGTCAAAAGCTATCGCTTTAATAAGCACAAAGAAAGCCAAAACAATTGATGAGCCATAAAATATTCTCTCAACTTTCATCATTCGATTGTTCTCATGTTGCATCAAATTTCTCTCATTTGTTTTTCCAAATGAAGTGACTTTGAGAAGTTCTTCCAAAGATTTCATCATACTTCTAATCTTTTTCTGTTTGATGATAATCCACATACTTTTGAAAAACAATCCATAAATTGTCAGCAAATAACTCAAAGTAGTCGATATGTCCGCTATTGATCTTATACCCAATGATTTTATCAGATGTACCGAATATGCGATCACAATGCAATCCAAAAACAGATAACGTATTAAAATTGAATACATCCATCGAAGTTTTGACCACGGCTCTTCTTTCCAAAATCCAAAGGTTTTTAAAATTAAAATTGGCAACTTGAAGCAAATCAAGTAATTTTCAGTGTTCATTTTAGATCAAAATAGAAAATTCGGCTTTCTTTTATCAATGATGAGAACTGACTGCTTAAATTTAATGCCAACATTTTAGTTTTTTTAAATTTTTTTAATAGTTTTGGTTGAAAAGCTCAAACTTTTATGTTTCAATAACAATTACTGTTTCATAACTTTAACTATTTCAATGTTAGAGCTTAGAAAAACTTTCCATTTCTGGTCGTTTTAAATATTCATCAAGTGAATAAGCTGCATTAATAATTCTTGTAAAGGTTTCAAAATCAATAATACCAAATTTTTGAGCTTTTATTTTTCGTTTTGTATTTTCTAAAATTATTTTAAAAAAGTTTTTTTTATTTCTGTGTTGAATTAAACCAATTCGAATGAAAAAGTGATAAAATAATTTTATCTGAAGCAAGGTTTTGTTTGTTCTATTGTTTGATAAATCATTTAACATCAATAAGACAAAGTTCATGAACAACACCGGAATAAGATCAATGCTATAATTAACCATACGTCCATAGATTATCAAAAAAATTTGATAGCAGAAAAAAGGCCAGTAGAAGTGGATGTTGTCATTATTTTTGTAATCTCAAAACCACCAAGTCTCATACAATAATTCCTTCCTCTTACAATGAATAACAGAATTTAAAGAAGCCATCAATACCGCCCACAATGCTGAACCATAATAAATTTTTTTTGGTTAATCTTCTGATGATCACATGCAATATTTCCCATTATTTTATTCATCTCTTTAATCTTTTCTAATTTTATAACAAACCAAAATATCTTTAATAATGTTCCATATAATGAAAATAAAATATTTATAGCATGAGAAATATCGGCAATTATGCCATTTTGAACAATGGAAATCAAGAATTTTGTATGACAAATTAAAGGCAGTCCCAAAAGTAGCATAAATTTAAATTAAACCATAAGATCGGTAAATTTTACATGCTGATTTTAACTACCATAAACCAAGATTCTTTAAAATAAACAATGTAATTTTGAATTGCTTTGAAACAAGCTACAATCAGTGATTATAAAAATTTAAAAACAAAGTTTGTGGAAAATATAAAAAACTTTTACAATTACCTACATAAAAATTTTGTTATCTAAAAGTTTGAAAGTTATATTTATACAGTTAAGGAGTTAAATTATTCAATTCTATGTAATCATAAAGCAATAGAAAATATATTTCACATAATATTTTATTGTATCAAAGTTTCTAAACATTTTATAAAAAATGGAAGGACAATTTCAACAAGAAACGCGACTAAATAAATGAAAACTATGAAAGCTGTTGGTAGCATTTTGAGAACTTAGCACAACTGCCAACTTCAACGTGTTCTTATTAACTGAATTTTTTTTTCTTCTCTTCAATTGCATATTATCGTAAAACTGATAAAAATACTTAACCAGGGTTAACGACACAAGAAAAATATCGAAAATTTCTTATAATCTGAACTTAATCTTTATTGAATTTTCGATAAACTTGGTGATCATTTGAGCTCGTGTTTCAATTATTAAATTGTTAACATGATCACTTGTTAATCCTCTTGTAGAGATTTCGGGTAATACTTCAATAATAATTTTTCCAGAAAGAAAAATTCGTTTATTGTCATCTAGAAATGTTTGATATGAACTGAATACGACAGGAAGAATTGGAACTTGTCCTTGAATAGCGACATGAAAAGCTCCCTTTTTAAACTCATGAATTGTCCCAGTGTTTCTTCGAGTTCCTATGAAAATTTCTTTTAAATAAATTTTTCTTTAATTCCTTAATTTACCTTCAGGAAAAATCCAAAGCTTAATGTTTTCTCTTTTCAATTCACAAATAGTTTTCTTCATAATTTCTCTACTAGCATCCCGTGAATTCTTTTAAATAAAAACTAATCCACAAAGCCATACTGCAAGTCCGAAAGTTCCCGCTTTTAAATGTTCACGTTTTGCTATGACAGTCGTCTTTTGCATGACTGGCCATATCGCTTGTTTATATTACAGTGAAAGACGGAAAGAAACATTCTTAACTTAATCACAATCATTTATCAAGAGATTTTTGAGTACCTACCAAACATACCTAAAAATAACAACAAAGAAAAAAATTGTTTGCGATAAGAAAATATTTCAAATTAATACCCAAAATATCCAAAGAACTTTGATGATTCGATACGATAACAAAGGTTTGATTTTTTCTCAAATGTTCAGCACCTCTAAGTTCCCATTGTAATCCAATGGCCTTTGATATGGGATTAAGAATTTTACTTGCAGTTCTAGGAACGAAAATTTCTTTCTCACTGACTTTCGGTGGACTTAAGAAAATAAAAATCTTACAAAAGATTTAAAACATTTTGCGGACGTGTAGCAAAGTAAGGAAAAAACAGAAAAGCTGCAACCATCACTCCACCATAATAAATTAAATACTTCAAATGATATTTCACAGTATGCGATTTATTGACGATTAAAATAATCATCAACATCGATATCAGAAAACATTCTAAAAACATTTTTAATTCGAGATGATGTGTAGCTTTCAATAGTCACGAAGAAACTGAAAATTTTCTTAATGTTTGTTGAAAGATAAAAGAAAAATCTTTTCGATAACAAGAAGCTTAAGGTTCAAAACTTTTAAGGCTTTTAATTTTTTATTCACTTGTATTTTATAAAGCTTTTTTGTTCCATTCAGTCTGATTTGGAAGTTTCATTATAAGCTTCGATCATTGCATTCCTTGTTCTCTCGATCAGATCATCAACATCGTTTGCTGATAATCCTGCGGTTGATATTTCTGGTAAAGCTGTGATGATGACTTCACCTTTATTGAAAGTCTTTCGTTTACCATTTAAGAATGGTTTGTATGAACTGAAAACAACTGGAACGATTGGAACTTGAGCTTGAACCGCTGTGTGAAAAGCTCCTTTCTTAAACTGATGAATTTCTCCAGTGTTTCGGCGTGTACCCTCAGGGAACACCCACAACTTAATTTTCTTCTCTTTCAGACCATTCATTGCTTGATTTATTGTTTGTTTGCCTTTTTCACCACCTTGTCGATTGATAAACGTTATTCCTGCAAGCCATGCTGCAATACCAAATGGACCAACTAACAAAAGTTCTTGCTTTCCAATTGCGCTCATTTTTCTTATTACATGCCAAATTTCTGAAATTTATCGGAAATAATTTTCCTTGTGAACTTTGAATGTTTTGCTTTCCTTATCAATAATTTCGGCGGACTGATTAGATTTGATTAATGAATCAGTTGGTTGTGTAATTATGCAAACCGTATCGTTTCCAATGTTTATTATAATAAAACTCACCAAACATGCCTAAAATTGATAAGGAAAATGGATTAAATAACTTGTAATCCCAGTTCATCCATTATATCACCAATAATATCCAAACTGCTTTGATGATTCGCTACGATAACAAACGATTTGTCCTTTTCTAAATTCTCTTTACCTGGAAGACTGAAATTTAATCCAATAATCTTCGAAACGTGCTTCATTATTTCAGCTCCAATTCTGTATAAAATTCCAAAGTTCAGTTTAATGACGACATAAATCACTCACAAATCTCACAGAAGATTTACGACATTACGTGGCCGCAAAGCAAAGATTGGCAGAAGAAGTGCTGACAAAGTGATCACCCATGTGTAGTAAAAGTAGAACTTTAAGTGATATCCAATGTAACTTCTATTTTTATACAAAAACATCACGAAAATTAAATACAAAACTAATTCTATGAAACTTCTCATCTTTCAATATGTCCGTCAACTTAATCGCAACCTTCAACGTTGAAAATTTGATAACAACTGAAATCCAAGACTCAGAGAATTTTTGTTTTTTTTTATTTATTTCGTTTATTGACTTTTGTCGCACATGTCCAAAGCTGATAAGAAAAAAGAGGGAAGCTTAATTTCCAGACTAGACGATTCTCTCTTTTTCTTTTATTTCTTAAAGATATTAATTCTTTTACAAATCTTATTCTTATCTTTTCTTTCACGAGTTCGACATTAAAAACAACCGAAAGAAGGTAAATAAATATAATTAGAGATTGCTTAAGAATTGATTTTTAAATTGAAATTTTTCTCTGACATTTTTCTTTCTGATGAGTACTCAAAGCTCTCGTTTTATACATTTACAATGCAACACTCAACTCAATTCATATTCACCTAAACAAAAAAGAATCAATAACACTCTACAAGTTTGAAATGGTCACATTGTCGTGCTTATCACGATTGTTTTAAATCACGGTGAGAAAGTCATTTAAATTGTCACATTGTGCATCGTACAATCTGAGAGTGAATTTTGTGTGTCTTTAAGTTCAATTTCTTTTGTGTTTTCTATAAATTTGTCAATCATTACTTGTCGTGTCTGTTGAATCAAACGATTAACATCATCATGAGTCATTCCTTTGGTTGAGATTTCAGGTAAAGCTTCAATTATGATTTCTCCTGAGTTCAGAATTCTTAATTCATCATTAAGAAATGTTCGATAAGAACTAAACACCACTGGCTGAATGGGAACTTGTCGTTGGATTGCCACATTGAAAGCTCCTTTCTTGAACTCGTGAATAACACCCGTGTTACGACGTGTGCCTACAAAAATTTAAAAATAATAAAATAAAAGAAAATTGAAAAACTTTCACGAAAATTTACCTTCTGGAAAAACCCACAACTTAATATTATTTGCTTTCAGCTTTTCCATAGCTTTATTCAATGTATCTTTAGCTTTATCAGCAGCATATCTATCTATGAAAATCAGTCCGCATAGCCATGCACAAACGCCAAATGGCCAGACATAAAGTAACTCTCGTTTTGCCACAACTGTCGTCTTATTCATAACCGGCCAAATATCTGCAATGACATAGAAAATGTTAAGAAAAACTTAGAGAATTTTCCATTTATGTCAATCTCACCAAACATTCCTAAAATGTCCAATGAACTTTGATGATTTGCTACAATAACGCAACTCTGATCTTTCCTCAAATTCTCAGCACCTCGTAGTGTCCACGTTAGATTTATTACTTTTGAAATATGACAACAGAATTTACTGGCCGTTCTAGGAAGAGAAAAACATTGAAGAAAATCGAAACTTCTTTCAAAATATGTAAGCAGCTTACAATAAATTCAATACGTTAGTAGGTCGCAGAAGGAGGTAAGGAAACAGCAAAAAGGAATTAAATATTACACCACCATAATAAATAATAAATTTTAAGTAATATTTGAGTGAATTCGATGTTCCATAGAGAAGAAATAAAAAGAAAAACAGTGCAATGAGCTCCAAATAATACATCTCACAATATTTCTGACGACAAATTTTTTTGTTTTCACTATTTTTTTACAATCTTATGAGACGTCTAAAAAGAGCGGTGAGATGTGTACAGAGATTGAGTTCTCTTCTTATCACATCAATTATCCATTCATATACTTGCACATCACTTGATTAAATCAATTTAAAGAACACATGCACATGAATCAGTGATTTTTTTTAATATTAATGTTATTTGAAGCTTTGTAGGAAGCGCACACCGCGGAATAATATCGATCGATATTTTTACTCGCAACCCCTATAAGTTGCTCGTAGTCGAATGGAATTTGTATAGTTGACAGCTGTTTATGCTGTACAACAGGGGTTGATTGGGCTGCATTGGATATCTATGAACGCGCATGTCTTAAGATAATTTCCAATCGCTTATAAAAATTCCTAACGGATTTTCGCGCCAATATTTTGAAAAGTTAAGAAAAGTTTTCGCAAAAATAAGTCAACCAACAATAAACAAATTGGTGCAAAGGAAAAATCATAAAAGTGAAGAAAGCTGTGGAAAAAATCAATAGTTTTGTTTGACAACCCAAACATTCCTAACAACCACTTCTCATTTCGCAAGGATTACAAGAATGGTAAGGAACATTTGTTAATTTCAATAGAATTTATTCAATCAATATGTTTTTTTTTCTGCAATTTCATGAATTTTTCAAATCATAATTTTTTGTTATATTTAAGGCTTCCGAAACGAGTCAAGCACAAGTTAAGAAAACGACAGCGACCACAACAGCGGCCTCACGAAAAAAGTCTGGACCCAAATTCGAATTGACAGATGAGCAGAAAAATGACATTAAAGAAGCTTTCGATTTATTTGATACAAGTGGAACTGGTGTCATTGATATCAAAGAGCTTAAAGTAGCAATTCGAGCTTTAGGATTTGAGCCAAAGAAAGAAGAGATCAAGAAAATGATTGCAGATATTGATAAGGATGGAAGTGGAAAATTATCTTATGCAGACTTTTTGACTTTGATGACCATGAAAATGGCCGAAAAGGACACAAAAGAAGAAATTCTTAAAGCGTTTCGTTTGTTTGATGATGATGAGACGGGAACAATTTCATTCAAAAACCTTAAGCGCGTTGCCAAGGAGCTTGGTGAAAACTTGACTGATGAAGAGCTTCAGGAGATGATTGATGAAGCAGATCGCGATGGAGATGGTGAAGTTAACGTAAGAAGAAAAGAAAGATTTTATCATTTTGAATAATGAAAAGAAACAATTTCCTTTTCATTTATTTATTTAGAAAGAAGAATTCCTACGTATCATGCAGAAGACTCAGCTTTATTAAATAAGCTAAGCATGTGCTCAACTGCACCAATTGCCATTTATCGGTCTATGATCTCATAAAGAATTTAATTTTTTAGAATTTTTGTGTCTCTCAAACTTCAGCTAAACCGTAAAGACAGAATTTGCCGGGAAATTGCTATATTTTTCTCTAAATACAAAATTATCGACAATTATTGTACCTAAAATGTATTTTCTAATCAAATCTTACCATTTAACTGAAATCAGATAAAAATATGAAACTTGAATGTTGTTTCTTCATCTCCTTGACATTTCTTACTTGATTTTACAGGTCACGTAAATATTTATCATGAAAACATTTCAATTAATTTCAAGGCTCGTGGTAATAAAAGAAATATTTTCCTTATGTAAATTAATCTCTCGGAGTTTGCAATTACAGGAATTTAGTAACATAAATTTTTAATTCCCTAATTAGCTATAAAATGAAAAATATTTTCACAGCTTTTCCTTTAACATGCAATCAGAGAGCGTTGAAACAGAACAGTACAGAAACAAATGTGTTAATTTAAATGTGATCTATTTTTAAGAGAAGAAGACTTGAAGGTGTCAGAAACAGAAATAAATTTCTCACGTCACACGATATTCTGCCAACTTTCAGGTATTCTCCTTTAAGCATCATAATTTATGTAAAAAAGAAAATTTGTTTATTTTCTCGTCGTCGCACGCAATCATTAGCCTTGGCAAAGCTTAAGCTTAGGCCTTAGCTACCGTCACGAACAGTGAAAACAATTTAATCCGTTGTTTGTTGTAAGTTTGTTTTATTTTTTACTGAAACTCCTGATACAATTTTCTGTCACTCGAATTTAAAAAAAAAGGTTTTGAAATTTCATTTCTCTGTTTTCATTTTCTTTTTTGATATTTTGATCGCAAACAGGCATTAAGCGATTTATTAAAGTACACGGTGAATTGGCTATGTTTAAATTGTTTCCCTTATAAAAGCGCAATATATCTAGAAAAAAGTTTGATATTAAATTTTAATACTTTAATTCAACAGGAAGTCACAAAACTGAAGTTCTTAATGATCCTGAAATATGTTGTGTTAATTGTGTTTGTGTCTGCTGGTCCATATAAATATTTATAGTTATGATTAGGTAGCATTTAATTATCATTTAGCAATTGTATTTGATAGTTATTTATCATTCATAAGAATTCATAAATATCCATTTTTAATTTCTCACATTACACTTAATTTTATGTAAATTTTTATATATCAAACTATATTCGTTATGCAATTCAATTTATACTTTAAACTAATAGAAAATTGCAAATTAATTATAGCAAATTTAAAATACTGTTCATTCCACTTCTGTTGAGCACTAATTTTACCACTAAATGCGACAAAAAATGTTCAAATATTTAAAGTACTTTTTTGATTCGTGATAAGGACAAAAATGTTAGACATTTCTTTGAGGCTGTAAAAGCTACAATAGCGGCGTTTAAAAATAAATTGAAAATTGTGGATTTGGTGTCATCATCCTTTATCTTGTCTCGTCAACCATTTAATGGTGATAAATTATTATCCAACTTCATTTTCTCTTTAAATCAATTTTCATTTTCATCAAAGGGAAAATTTTCACTCGATCTAAGTTAAAATATTTTTTGATTATTTTTTTCATTTTTCATATTTTTTTTGAAAACATACAAAAAAGGCAGCGCAATGGCAATCATTAACGATTAAATATTTTTAATGTTTCATCTTTGTTTGTTTTTTGATATAAAAATTGTTTAGCTTTGATATTCTTCACTCTTTATGCTTCTTTGGAGATAAGTTGAATATCAGACAGATACATGATAAGTATAAGTAACTTAAGTGGGTAATAAAGCAAGTTTTTGTTTCCTTTTTTTTGTTTGTGCCAATGAAAAAGCCGTGAGAATGAAACTTGAAACCAAAGTGACGGTTCTTGATAGTGTCATACTGTATAATGTAACGAAACATCAAATACTCAACCTACATGCTTTCGAATGTTTTCCAAACGCTTTTCCAACTCTTTCGTACGATTTCGTTCCGCAATGAAAAGCTTATTTTCGATAATGCGCGTTTGCTCTTCGCGTGCTTCTCTCGTGTCAGCTGTATGACGAACTTCCGATAGTTTGACCGAATTCTAATGGATGAGTCATGAACATTGTTCGTGTATATTTAATTGAATGAATTGTGTGTACATGGATGGATGTAAGAAAATTAAATAATGAACGGAATTATTTATACAAACACTTTTTTCTCTTATTGATTTGCAACATTTTGAGAATATTTGTACGTGACAAAATATTCAAATAATTCCTTTCATTGTTCACTGTAAGTGAACAAAAAGTTGTTAAAAAGTTTATGAAACTTAAAATAAACATCGAAATGAGACATCAAGAAGGAAATTGAACGACAACAATGAACAAGCTGACGGTGGAAAACTTACATGTTCTCGTAGACGATCCAAGATTCGCTTGATATTCTCATCACGTAGATTGGCAGCGGTTTTTAATTTGTCATTCAGAGCATTACGTTCTTCGACTTTCTGTTTCTCCAACATTTCCTTATTTCGCTTGATTTCATCAGCATGAACCTGTAAAAGGGAAACCAACGACAACGAAAAAGTGAAATTAAGATTTTTATTCCAAATTGTTTGTCTTTCTATCAACCAAATCTGATCACAATTAAATAAGAAAATTACCTTTAGTTTCCCTTTCAAATCCGAAATGATAGCTTCACGTTTTTCTACGGTATTTTCCATTTTGTTAATAAGAGCTTCTTTCGTTTGAGTCATGAATTCGGCATTGAGTTCGTCTTTCTTCCTTGAAGCCTCTTCAATCTTCGCCATTTTTGCTGTCCAATCGGCGATTTTCCTGGCTTCCAAGTTCTTTTAAAATTAAGTTAATTAAAAAAATTACTTCAAGTCGTTTAAATGAACTCACCAAACGTCTCTCTTCTGCTGCCTTCAACTTCTCAGCAATTTCTTCAGCTGATAAAGGCTTTGAAATGTTATTTTGCTGAACTATTTTTGGTACCTGAACTTGAGCGATATTCGGTTCAGCGAGAATCACTTCGTACCGCAATCCGCCTTTCGATTTCTCTTGACAGCGAATTTCAGTTGCTGAAATTGATAAAATTATTACAAATTGGCAATTTGAAATTGCACATATTTTCTGGGGTTTCCCGAGTTGCATTGTCGTTGTAACTAGGGGTGGAATCATGACTCATTGGCGTGCACTTTCAAGGCTTTTCAAGTAACAATTAAATTTTCTTATTAATAAAGAACACAAAACTGAGTAGAAACTGTCAGAAAGCGTAGCAAAATTGGAAGCTTTCAGTAGACAAATGTCTAGTCAAAGTGTCTAGTCACGCAAACAAAACCTTGCGGTATATTCAAATTTAATGCTTTTGTCCTTTTAGTAACACACAAACCAAATAAGTTAACAGGTTCGTAATAATTGTCGTGATCAATAACAAAAAACTATTCATTAAGTATTGAAAATGTTTAGAAAGAACTTCAAGCTTTCACTATCAAAATTACATAAATTTTTAAAGTCTGAATAAATCTTGAATACTTACTGATAAATTTCACCTTCTTCGATGACTTTGGTTGCTTTGCTCGAACTTTTGTTTGCTGTTTCTTATTACCACGTCCACCGACTACAAATTTTCACACATTTCATTTAATATTGAAACAGATTTCAAGCAAAAAGCGAGGTGGGAGAAGGAAGAAGTCGTAAAAAGTCGTTTTTTGTTGTTTTTTACGTACGTAAACTTTCAGTTGGTAATAAAATTTGGCACTTGAAGCGCCTGCGAAAGGAACAAGTAACACCGCTGAAGTACATCACATTTGTCTTATTGATTTTTCACAATTGAATTTGTCTTTCTGGAAATCGGAGTGTCATCTCAATAAAATATCTGTCAACAATGATTGACAGTGAAACATTCCCAACGAGTTCGATTGATATCCGGAAGCTTTCTTCACACATCCCTCCATAAAGCTCTCATTAAAAGTTATAGCAAAATCGATTGCAAAATTTGCAAAATAAATTCAGCATATATTTTTTATGCTCAATTTTTATGTGGGGAATGAAAACATGATTTTCTTTAGTTTGCGAAAAAAGAACAACTAAATAAAACGAGAACAATTTGAAAGAAAAAAAAATCAATAAATTCAAAGCACAAAGTTCTTTTGATGTGGATGACTCATTCAAACGTAACATCATTACTTCCACATCATTGTTGGAAATCTTATCACTATAATTTAATCATCTTCATTTATGCTCGAATGAGAAACAAACAGACAATGCTGTTGTTAATGATTATGAAAAAGTTACATAAAAGTTATGAAAAATTGCTGATGACTCAAATATCGTAAGGGAATACGTTTGTATAGTCAGCAGATTAAATGTCTGGAGGCTGTTTATTTTTTATTCTCAAGTCTCGACGAAAGACACATTTTACGACTTCTCCTTTTCTCCCTAAGACTCCCCGAAAAATGAAGCACTTACTTTCAGCCGGCAAAACAGGTGCACGACATGAATGACAAAAGCATTGAAGCACAGAATCACGAACTAATGTTATCAACATGACTTCCACTCGACTCTCTTTTTTTCACTAATTAACCGAAAATATAAAGAAAATCCTTTTCTATGTTCTCCGTCTTAACGGAGCGCGATGAAAATAAGGGTGGGGTCGCGTAATTCAAGAGAAGAGAAAAATTTCGACTACGTAGAAAAAAAATCGTCAAGGAAAATTTTTTTTCTTTCAGTTTCCTGGTTTTGAAAAAAAGAAATTGTCGATTGTAATACGATTATTTGTTAAGGATGTGAACACAACGAGGGAAAGAATAGAACTGCGCGAAACAGTTGTGAAAAGCCTTTCAGCTATGTATGTAATGCAAAAAAGGAAAGAATTTTATGCTTCGGGCTGCATTCGGATGATCATGCGATTTAGCAACATTTTCTTTCCTTTTCATCATCACAAAATGTTGTATAACAAAAAGCATGCTTTAAAGTGGAAAAATAACGAAATTTCCGTTCTAAACTTATCTGTTGAAGGTGACAAAGAGAAAACTTGTAATTAAAAATTTCTTTTTTTGAGTTGACACTAAAATTTTGTAATTTATTTTCTTTCTTTCTCCCTTTCATCCACATAAGCCACAACAACTTAAACCTCTTGTTCATGTTTAATGAAAAGTATTTCATAAATATTTTATAAGTTAAATAATAACTAAAAGCTTATTTGTTCATACAAATGGAATTTTTCATCTAAAGCGTTAGAAATGTCGAATGACAATTTGAATAAATCAAAGTTAAAGATTAATTTTAGTTATCTAACATTAAAAATCAAATGAAGGAAGAAAATATCTTGGAATTGCACACAATCATCTGCTTTGTTAAATTTATTTCAATCTCTCATAATTTGTTCGACACCAAAGGCAAATGTTTTGAAACGAGTAAAGAGACGTTGAGTAAATGCAAATGTTTGTCTGTTTGTTTGTTGTTCGAAAGGCCTCGAGATAAACTCTTAGTTTTAATTAATTCATCTAATCGATGTCATCAGGTCGCGGTGTTGGACAACGTTTGACGACGGTGAAGGGATCACTGGTGCCTAACATGCTTGAATATCCTCGCAACCCCGTTGATTGGAAATACAAAAAAACAAACTTTCCCTTTAATGGCAAGTCAATTGAAGCTGAGAATTCAATTTTCACAGTACGCGCTGTTGAATAAGCCTTGTCACCATGAGTCTCAGTGTATTCGTATCCAAGGTATTCGTCAAAACCAGAATAATCTTCAGGGTAAATTCCTATCCAGTCAGCACTGCCATCAACTGCACAAAATAAATTAAATTTCACTCAAAGTTTCAATAAAATTCCGTAATTAACTTACCAAAGTTTGGTGGAAGAATATATTCAACTTCGTTATCTTCACTATTGTTCCAAATAGTGAAAGGTTTAAATTTGACGACCATGTTGCTGACATCATCTTCTGGTGCCTGTTCATCATCGACATCATCATCAGAATCATCCGAAAAATGATCGATTGCATCATAAAATTTTCCATCAATATTTGATTCATCATCGTCATCGTCAGAGAGAGGAATTTGGAGAGCATTGGATAGAAATTGTTTTTTCATTAATTTCTTTGATGTTTTTTTTAAAACATTCCAAGTTGGGTTTATAATAAAGCCATGTCTTCTATGGTAAATTTCCTTAACCTATGTATGTTTATATATGTTGGACAATTGATGTTAGTTGGGAACTCATGCAGGAATAATGATGGTTATTGGATGGGAAATTAAGTGATGTGTTAAAGAAAAATCTTACCTGAATTTGGAATGCACTCGATACTGGCTTGTGATCACTTATCATGTAACTTGGATGACTTTTATATCCAATTTGTTCAAGTTGTAAACTGCAATTTTTCAGCACTTTATGTTTGGCCTTGTAAAGAATTCTATCGCACCACGCTGGCCTTCGTTTCATATCATAATCGTTTGTGCCAACTTCAAATTTAAATGTTGGTGGGAATCCTGGAACTCGTTCAACAAGTTCAGAAAATGCACGACCTTCGCACATTATCAACATCAATTGATCTTTCTTCAGCAATTCACTAATTTGATCCTTTTTGACCATATTACGAATCTCTTCTGGCGAAAGATTTGATGAATCTTCATTGTAAAGTCGAAAGTTTAAGTCGCCCATCCAAAATACATAATCATGATCGTAAATGTTAGGAGTTTGTTTTACACTAAACGTCGTTGCTTCTTTAATCCGAAGGTAATCGCTTATTCTTTCATCAACCATTTCATCATGGGCAGCTAAATGTGAGTTAACAATACATACGGAACATCCGTAAAGCGTCATTCTTATCACCACACCACCTTTATTACCCTGCAAGTGAAAATTTCATTTAAATATTTCACAATTCTTCCAATTTCTATTCAAAAGTTTATCTTACCCACATTCCACCCAAACCCGTTCTCGTATATTCACTTTCAATCTCCCGGATGTGGTACAAATGCTTCTTCTTCACGAATATTGTAAGTAAAAGTCCCTGCATTTGTTCAGTTTTGGCAACGAGATAACCGTGGGGATGCAAAAGTTCTTTGAGTTTTTGTACCCATGGGTCAGATTTAAATAAATTTGTTATAATATTTTGGGGGCGAGCGCTAACTTCTTGTAGGCCAACGATGTAAATATCGGGGAGATGTTCATGTTTCGATGTTGAATGAACATCTAGTAAATCATTTAGCGTTATAAAGTACGGGTACTTTTCACCAACGTTCCATGTAACAGCATATAAACTGAAACGAACATCACAAATATGTATGAGGGTCATTTAACATAAACTGATAGTTTCGTATGCGGTTTAATAACAATCGGTTTACCAACTACCTCAATAACAAAACAAGCGTAAATGTAGTTTAAAAACGTATACAAAGTAATAGGAAAGGAAGAATTGGCACACATTTGAAAGTAAAAGTCGAGGTAAACAAACAAAGAGAAATGATAACATTAATAATTAAACAAGTCTCATGTTTTATCAACACATTTGAATATTTTTTATAGCAATAATTAAGCATCATCACGTGAATGCGTAGAGTTTGAAATAAAATTTTTGATCTTCAGTTCAGACGACAGGGAGACAAATTTTATTAAATTGAAAATGTGATCGTGAAATGTGAAATTCAAATAATTAAAATCTATTTATATCAATTAAGCTCCATTCAAAGAATCTTTGCACTAATTTAATAGGAAATATGAAATTCAACGTTTCGCCAAGCACAAATAAACCAAGGAAAAGGAAAAAACAATTCGACGTAGATAGTTTCTTTTTTCTCCATTTATCTTATTAGATAAACGATTGAATTTTAATGAAGTATTTAAAATATTCAGAGATGAATTTTAAACTTATTGCGTCATTGATGTCACAAGGTCTTATACATCGAACTGCTGATTGAAAGCCTTTTTTTCTCTCTGCTTAAATAGAAAATATTTCGAACAAGTTTTGAATTGGAACACAGAAACATGACCTTGAACTTCATCACTTTGTATCGAGATCATTAATGATTTTTATGCTGTCAATTAAATTATCTCACCTGAGGTTCCACATGATTGTTGTCTTTAAAAAATTATTTTTCAGATGTTTCTTTTATACGTCGGCTCTAAACACTTTCAATTTAATTAACACTGAATTGGAATTAATGTTTACTTAGCTTCTCATACTTATACACTGTTGAGAGATGAAACTAAAAATAAAGTTCAGCGTTAATTCAATATTGCATGTAACTCGCTAGCATTTGAAGTTATTTAATAACGTAAAAACTAGGTGAAATGTGTTGTAATCGCTTATGGACTTCTCTTGTTCCGCAGCGAGAAACAAAGGCGCGAAAACTTAAAACCTTGATATCAATTTAGTCTCCACATGCGAAATCAATTTAAAATTTTATCATTGGTTCAGATTGTATCGAATAAAAGCGATAAGATAACAATTTTGGTTGATAAATCACTGAGTGCGGTCATACACTTCAAACATATTCAAAAGGCGGAAGTTTAAATTTCACAAAAACCATAGGCTATTTATAAAAGTCTATTCGACCGTGAGAATTTCACTTGTAAAACGTCATAATTTAGGATTAAAGTTTAATATATCTTCAATTTTTAATAGTGATTGCAAAATATTGGTTTCAATTTAAAAAAATCTTCAGCTAATTTTTTTGACATTGATTTCCCATATTTGAACAATTTACTCTTCAACTACTACACATTGATACAGTTTATATTAAAGAATTTGATGTATTTTACCAATAAATGATAATAATCACAGTTGAATTTGTGTTTTTGGACTAAGACTTCAGAGTTCATACGACTAACTAAAATACTGAACGATTTCGTCGAAATGTTTACACGGATAAAATGTTTACACGGATAAAATGTTTTGAGCATGTGTGAGTGCAATGTGTTTCGATCAGTTTCGATCCAATATAAAATTTCGTTCAGTTCGTTCATTTTCTCTGTGAGAATGTTTCATAAATTATTTCTTAGAAATCTCCAGTCACTTACGAGAATAACACAAACTTCAGCTGGAATATCAAAAAGAGCAATGCAAACAAATTACAGGGATTACGTGAAGTTTCTAGAGCTTGTTGGGAACGTAAAGGTGAGTTTGTGATGTTTTTTCATGATGAAATTTTTCCGTGACCTCGATAAGAAAAATAAAAAGAAAGAATCTTTCACGGTCATTGTGACATCACAATGTGATTCATGAAGAGAATAGTTTAAAAGAAGAGTGAATACAGCTGACACTAAAATATGATAAGAGGAAGAAGAATACGTAACACTCGTCCTCTTTTCAAAATCACATGATACGAGTGCATATTTACTGTATTCTGCATTTTTATTTATAATGAATAATTCCTTATCTTTGCAGCAACTCAAACGAACTGGATGGGTGTTAAGAAACGTCAGAGGTAATTAATATAATATTTATATTTTATTATGTATTAAACTAGTGTTATGATTCTTTCAGAACCTGAAACTGTAGCTGCTCACATGTACAGAATGTCACTACTAAGCTTTCTGATTCCTGAGTCTTCTGCCCTTGATCAAATAAAATGTATGAAGTTGGCATTGATCCATGACCTTGCAGAGGCCATTGTCGGCGACATCACGCCGTATTGCGGAATTGCAAGAGAAGAAAAGCAAAGACGCGAACATGAGGCTATCATAGAAATCTCAAGTCTTGTACCAAAGATCAGCGGTGAAGAGATTCTAAAGTTGTTTGAGGAGTACGAATCTCAACAAACACCCGAGTCACAATGGGTGAAGGACTGTGATCGCTATGATATGATTCAACAAGCGTTTGAATATGAAAAACGAGATGAAGCTCCAATGAAGCATCAAGAATTCTTCGACAATACGCGTGGAATGTTTCGACATCCATTCTTCGTTCATCTCGTAGAAGAACTTAACAAGCAGAGAGAGGAATATCTATCAACAACTCTAGAGGAGAAGAAAAATCACAGTGCCAGTTGAAATTTGACACATTTAACTAAATAAACTTAAATAATTAGCTCAATAACTCACTTTGCACAAACGTATCAGAGTAGAGAAGAAATTTTAAAATTTGATCTCTAATTTATCTAATTGGAATTTATTTAGGGAAAATTTCTTTCATTTGTTTGTTTGTTTGTTTTTTTTTTTACCTTACGGGTATCAATAATTATATAACTTATTTTGATTTCTTTAGATTGTTGATTCATATCTAATAATGAGTGGAAAGTGAACTTACCTAATTAATAAATTGAGTTTTAAATAAAAATTATTATTTTGAGCATAAATAACGACTTTTTCAAACTTGAATTTGTTTACTGGCCGAAATTTTACCCATCGAAGTTTGATAGAAAATTAAAAAACAGAAAAGTTTGTTGACATTTAAATTGAAATTTACTTAGATATCCGAATATTTCCATAGCCTACTAAGCAATGGCTTCACTACCGACTGAAGAAGGATTTGATCAAGCTGAAGTGAGTTTATTTAATGTTAATGTTAACGAATAAAAATTATTTTTAATATTTTATCATAGTTTGATGAGACAGAAGAAGTAGAAGTTGATCAAGACCAAACAACAGATCCCACACAAGGTCGTAAAAGACTTTTCTCGAAAGAACTCCGGTGTATGATGTATGGGTGTAAGTTCTATAAATAAAAGTTTACTCTTGTTTGTTTATATAAACTTTTATCCTTGCTTTATAGTTGGAGATGATCAAAATCCATACACTGAATCTGTAGACTTACTCGAGGATCTAGTAATTGAATTTATCACAGAAATAACACATAAAGCAAGTGAAATAGGAAGAACAGGTCGAGTACAGGTCGAAGATATAATATTTCTTGTAAGAAAGGATCAACGTAAATATGCTCGTGTTCGGGATCTTCTCACGATGAACGAAGAGTTAAAGAAAGCAAGAAAAGCATTCGACGAAGTAAAATATGTTTCCAATTAAAATATTCTCTGATCTTTATTTTTAAACTCTTATATCTTTAAAAATAAAAATAAGTACCTACATAATCTGGTTTCTATCTGTTACTTTCTCATCGAGCTTTTCCATTATCAAAATAATGCTAAGACCTAATCAGTAAATATTTAAAAGACAAAAATTTGAAAATCTTTGTATTTATCAGTTTTAAAATCACACTGAAGCAATGCTATGCAATTTCAAATAATTTCTTTCATTTAATCGGGCTGATGTCTGAATTGTCTTATATTTGAGTCAAACTCTTTGGCACTATTCAACTTGCGAAACATCTGAAAGTTACAGACAATAGTAAAGGAAATGTAAATACTTTAATTGTCAATTTTCCTCACCTCAATTAAAGGAAGATCTCTTCTCTCTTCTTCTTTTACCAACGAATCCATATTTTGGAGTCTCAGCCAGGCCCAATGCAAAACTAAAATAATATTGTCAATTTTTAGAATTTTCATGAAATTTGAAATTACTAAGAAATTCATTGTTCTTACGTATCAGCGACGGAACCATTGTAAGAGTCACACAATTACGTTTCCAGAATGCTGAAATTCCACTTCCAGACATATTGATCACTTTTGAGTAACAATAATGGGAGATTTTTTAAATATTTTAACTTTTCAAAACTAAATTTTCTTGATTTTTTGTAGTAGGTAATTTCTAGATAAAAGTGTTGAAGTTAGGAAATATTATTGAACATAAACATACAAATCTAAACGCACTCCACGCTACCAAAAAAAAAACAAAAGCTTTTGTCGTAATTTTAATTACGCAGATAAAACTTTTTTATTTTATTTTTAATAAAGATTAATAATAAATTTTATTGCGAAAATACCGGTATTAAAATTATTATTTACTAAAAGTTAAGAACTCTTTGATGATGATCATGAATCGTTTGAAGAAATTTTCATGGAAGAAATTTTTAAATCTTCAATGGATGTTTTTAATGGAATGATCTTTTTAATTCTACATGATGCTGAGTAATAATTATTTATTCATCTTCTTGTTCCATGCTGCTATCAGTTTTTTCAGAAATAAACGGTGTTTCTGGAGCAAAATTAGTTGTCACCATAATGTTGGCTTCCAAATTGCAATCGAACTTATTTTCATTTCCCAATAAATAAATATGGAATCTTAGAGATAAAAATTAATTAATATATTTAAAACATATAGAAATTAATTTAACTTACGTTCCATTCTCGGTTTTATCATTCAAATTCAACGCTTTATTTGTCGTGTCTTGTAATAAAGTTGAATGTTTCAAGATTCCATGCTCATTACAATTGACAATTGACGTCTTTTCAATCGAAACCATCGAATTATCTGTTAACAAATGTACGCCAACATTGCAATCTTTTATAATGCAATTGCGTAAATTAACTTTTCCTGTGTCATTGATGATGATTCCAGTTGCAAAGTTTTTAATCAAACAATTTTCAATGAGAACTTTTGATGACCCAGAAATAACAGAACCTTCGGTAATGCTCGATTCCTTCGTTCCATAAATTACACAGTTTTTAATCGTTAACTTTCCGTCCTTCACTAAGAATCCTGTCTTGACAAGGGTACAGTCGATGACTAAATTCTGTAATTCTAGATCTCCATCGACTGCGAACAGCATTGAAGCACTGTCAGCGGCGCTAAGTTTTGTGTAATTTTTATTGTCATCATCAAATGTTTCCAGAGAAAGTGGCGATAAACCACACAACAAAACATCACCATTAAAGTAATCGAAGAAGGACAAATTATGAGTGCCACTTGGAATGTAAATTTTACTGTTTGGTGGAGCACTTGCAATAGCATCGTGTAATGAAAGCCAATGAATTTCAGTGTCACTGTCAATTCTCTTCTTCATTTCTTCGATTATTTCACATTGTTCTTTTAATGTTCCACGTTTGGCAACAGCAAAGATTTTACTTTTCTCTGATTTCTCCAACTGGTAATAGGGAAACTTTACTTCTTGATAAATTTGACGCATGTCTGGATTAACGAGAATTTCCATTTCATGTTGGATTTGATTTAAACGAAGATGAAGTCCAAGAAGTTTTCTTGCTTTATTTTTCGTTTCACTTTTACTGATGTCAAGTTCATCATCAGATTCTGTGAAGGAGTTTTCTAAATCTTCACGAACTGTTTGAATGTATTTCGCTTCTGCAATCATACTTCGAATGTGCGATGCAAGTCCTTTATTGATAGATTTATTTTTAAGATCAAAGAAGAGCTTTATGCGAGGAATGAGATTCTTCCCTGACAACTGAAAGTCTGTTTCGCTATCATCCCATGGCATGTAAATAAAGTTTGAGAAAAAGCGATAGCGATCAAAGCAATCTGCTGTTAAATCAATGTTAAGAGCAGAATTCTCCTGTTCGACAGTTGGAAACAAATCCTCCAATGGAACTTCGCATATACTAGGTAAATGAATTTTTTCATCATGGACACTCTCGACTGTGAAAATTGCTGTTAGCAAATCATAATTTGTTTCGTTAACAGTTCCATAAACTTCACAAGGATATTTTATGTTATGAATTTCACAAGCTGCCTTTGAAATCTTCCATATGGCACTATAGCCAGCAGGTTCAATGGAAGTTTCTAAACAAAGAACCATATGAGAGTTAATGTAAATATTATTTTAATTCATTACTTAATTTACCTAAGAATTGCTTCCACAATTCTTTCACTTGTACTGATGGTTCAATGTCCTCGAGAACCAATTTAATTTCATCTAAACGTTGAAAAAATGTCTTTTCAAAAGTGTAGATAGACATGACGTGTCACTTATATACTCCTTAGATATTTCCAAACCTTACAGCAAAGAATTATTTGCTTTTTAAATCAAAATTTCTTATTTTTTAAATTAGAAATTCTTGCGGCTAATTCGACACTTGTCGTTATTTTTTTGAAATTAAGTGAAATTTGAAACTGACCGAAATATTATTGAATATGAAACTGGACGAAATATCATGTTCATACAAGTTTTGGCGCTAAAAGAAAACAGATAAGAAATAACAACAATCAGGACGAATAAAAGTTAAAGAAATAATTAAAAGCATTGAATTTGTATCTGATAAAATGTCGGAAGCAACGTCATTCAGTGATAAATTCAGAGAATGTAAAAGCAACAAGGAAAGAACAAAATTGTTGGAAAAAGTGAAAACCGATGATTTATGTGATGCAATTGTGGATAATGCCGCAGAAGACTTAGGATTGAATATATGGTCATCAGTTCTTTCCAATCTATCAGATGAAGATGAGATATTTGAGATTTGCAAAGATGTAAGTAAAGACATAAATGAAGAGAATTTTATAATTAAATAATAACAAATTTTCAGGTCCTTCCAAAATTGAATAGAGATCAACTGACAACAAAAAACCTCAACGATTACTACTCTCGTTTATGTATCGAAATTCCACGATTCTCATTAAAATTCTCTGTTAAATTGGCATATTTTTGTGAAAACAGCATTCAATTTGGAGATCATCGAGCCTGTTTCTTCAAAGATGTTTTTCCATGCATTCTACAAGTTTTAATCAGAGATGATCGACCAATAACATTTGACGGAGTGACAAAATCATCTCTCGAATATCATCAAATGATTATTTCTTCAATTCTGAGCAAACCATTTAAAGTTTCAGTTCTGACAAGCATCACAAGCATGTTCAAGTAAGTTATCATTAAATGATGTTTTAATTTTATTTATTTGAAATATTGTCATCAACAGAGACATTCCATTGACGAAACTCCAATCTGAACTTCTTCTTGGAAAGATTTGTGAGAATTTTTCTAATATTCGAGGAGACATAAGCGGCTTGGCACTTGCCTGTTTTAATCTTGCTCTCTTCAACAAACTCATCATTCCAATATTAGCATTAGATGCCTATTTTTATAACCGACGATATAGAAAGAAATTCATTGAGATTGATAGTGAAAGTGACGCTGACTCGATCGACGAAACAGCTGAGAAGGGAATAATTGAGACAGAAGAAAATGTTCTTTATCACTTCCAACATGTCACTGAATTTACATCAATCGAAAAAGACATTGTGACAAGTTTAAAACCTCTTGCCTTTGCACCAAAATTCATCATTTCTCCGTTTATCGCTACAATTCTTGTTTCATTTGCAAAAATGTCATCGTCATCTGTTGCTCACAATTTACGTTTGCCACAATCAATTTTGCTTCCTTTTATTAAACAAATATTCAAGAATAATGAAAGACATCGAACGATTCATCGTAATTCTGCATGGGCACGTTCTGTTGATCAATTCGAACCAGTGGACATTGAGAAGTTATTGAAAGTTCTTCAAGAAAATACTTGCAAACTTGGTCAAAACATCGCTCTCAATGGATTCATTGGATTAACTTTTATGCTTCTCAAGACTAAAGACGCACCAACACTCAACAATTTTGCTATTCAATTTCTCAATGAATTAGTCAAACAGCGATCAGAATTTACGAGCGACATCATGAAGATTGTTGTCAAAATGCTTTTCAATGAGCAAAACAAAGCTCCAATTATCGAATGTTTCAGTATTTTGATTCAAAATCGATCTTTAGTCATTGACAGATGTGAGGAAGCTCTTGTTGAATTGATTGAGAATCTCACTGAGCTAGAACTTGACACCGCATTAGCAATTGAAAGCGTTATTTACAGCTCAATTACACGATCACCAAAGCTTCGTGATTTAATGTCGACAACAATGCGCACGGCAATGTATCAAAATAAGCCAGAAATGAGAAAACTTGCAGTCTACAGTTTTTGTGTGATGCTCAAAAAAGTCATGAAAGCTGCACATGGATCGTCATTGGAATCATTTGCGCCATCACAAAATATTTCAATGATGTCACTTTTATCACAAACACAACTTCCACCAACTGAGAAAGCAAATATGCGCCGTGTCAGTGTTTTAGTGTTGGAAATTTTAGGAATCTTACGAAAATGCTTCTCGCACAGCGTCGAACTTCGTGTGACTTTATATGAAAGTTTGTTGAGTGCTGTAACTGTAAATCCTTTTATCATTCCTAACGTTTTAGAGCTTGTTGAGACACATTTTCGAGAGTAAGGTTTAATTAATTTCTCACTTTCTTAATTATCATTTAATCTTAAATTTAACTTCGCAGTTATTTTGATTCGGAAGATCCCAGCGTCGTTATCAACTTTAGCAAAGCTTTCAAACAACTTGAACACGGTGGGACTGTCGTTATGGATCATTTAGGAAAGTTTCTGAACTTTTTTATCGGTTGTGTGACAATATCGATTGAAAAATTTGAGAATGATGAAAATGCTCAATATATTCAGATTATGAATTACAAGAAGATCATTGAGAAACTTGTTGATAAAGTTGAGTTTGTGACGATGGAAGAACTCGGCGTTTTCTCGACTCTTGACATAGCAGCAAGTTCAACGATAAGCCAATTTCTTAATTGCTTGGAAGCTCTTATGGTGTACTGTTTGTTTGATTTAACTTCAAAGAATGTAACAAGACTTTGTAAATTATTCGAGAAACATCGAAAAACGATTGTGGAAGCTTTGAAGTTGCAGGAAAATTGCAAGAAATCAATAAAACGAGGAAAGAATCAAACACTTGACGTATTACCAAAAGTTGACATTATCTTCGATTGTTTATGGGACTTGAAGACGTGTCGCAACTTTCTCAAGATATTTTTCGATAACATTCCAAATGATAAAGTCAATGAGATCAAATCAAACGCTGAATTTTGTCGTTTCGTTGTCAAGTCGACAACTCAGAGAATTCTTCAAATAACAACCGCACCAGTTTATCTTAAATTTAAACATAGTAAAATAACTTTTGATATCTTGAAGACAATTTCAACAATTTTATATAAACAGATAAAAGTTGAAACTTTCAAAGTGCTTTTTGTGGATTATGATGCTGAAACTGCCGTTGCCATAAGTGAAGCTTTTAAGAATTCAATCATCGCTATGGATTCTGCCTACGATTCGAATGTCAAGTGGAATAATTTCCTGCAAAAAATCACTGAAACTGAAAATTCTATCGATTGGATGATCACAGAAGTATTGAAAACAGTCACAAATATTATCGAGTGGGCGTTTGATCCTTCAAATGAACTCGAAAATGACGACAATATTGAGAAAATTCTTTTCAATGTCTTCTGTATTTTTGAGGTTCTCATTAAGAATTATCAGTTCATGCCGAACGCTCATTCACGTGAAACTTATAATTGGTTGCTTAAGTTTTGTGTGAATAATGAAATCAACAAGAAAAGTCTTCAAATTGTCAACAGAGTTTTGTTTCACTTTATGACACAACAAGATGCAAGCACAAATGTCATGGAGAATGTTGTTGGGAAATTATTGAGAATTTATGGGACAATTGACAATGATGGAGTTAAGGAAGTAAATGAATCTTCTCAGAATGATTTGAAAAGTCTCACAGAAGCAACGGCTGATCAGTCGTTGATTTATTTCGTTGGAATTATCAAGAAACAAATCGACGATGTTGACTTTTGTATTTTAAGAATGAACAGCTTCAATGCACACATTAAACTGCCTGGTCAAGTTTCTCGCAAGGACAGCATTTCAGCACTTCAAACACTGGAGAAATCAAGTGTCATTAAGTTAACTCAACTTGGCACTATTATTGGACGTCTTTGTAATGTCAGTTTCAATGTTCGTGGGTCTCAAATTGATTTGATTGGAAAACTCGTTATGAACTTTTTTGTTTGTCTTTCAACACTTTTAAAACACTTTTCACAACATTATGATGTAAAGAATATAAATTACCAACAAATTCCTGTAGAAATGTTAATTAAAGAGACTAAAAGTACAGTTAAACGTGTCTATGCATTGTCACATTACATCGAAGATATAATCGATGAAGAACAGAAGAAAAACGAAAATGCTAAAGAAAGCAAGAAGAAAAAATCAGTGACAATTAAAGAGTTCAAATGCATGTCCCGACTGGTCTTGTCAATTGAAAAATTTGCTACTGCTGTGCAAAAATTTGACGCTTTAACAAAGAAAAACTTTAAGAAATATGTTCATGCTGGTGAAGTGCGAGACTTCCGCATTTCAATGAAAGATAAATTCCCACGACAAGCACAAGACGAAAATGATTCGGATGGTGCATCAGCAGAGATGAGTGAAAGTGAGAATGATCCAGCAAGTGCTACAGTAGAAGAAGAGAACAGTCGTGATTCAGATGAAAAAATGTATGAGTCACCTAAGAAGATCACACACGGAGCTTTTGAAAAAAATGTTAAGAAATTAGTTGCAAAAGCAGAACGAGCTAAAAAAGCAGTGAAACGGAAATCGAAATGAATTTTTAACAATTGATGTGTAAAAATAAATTAATTGAAAATGAACAAAATAAAATTATTTGACAAAAATTGACGAACATTTTATTTTCAAATTTCTTTGTTTTAATGATTTTAAAATCAAGCCGAGAAAGAGAGAAACCTACTTAACCCTAATTAGCCTACAGATCGTTAATATTGTTAATCAAACAGTAATAAGAATTAACTTAAACATGATTGAGAAAGAAAAATTGGACATCCAAATGCTACCCAATCCAAATATTTTCCAAATGGATGACGCTCAAACAGATTTAATTCCTTTTGAGGTTAATTAAACATTTTATACACCTAATTTCATTTCAAAAATGTGGGAGGTGAACATGATCAACTCAGTTTTATGAGAAAACAAATACAGCTAATGAAAATAATATTTTTTACAATTTATGCTTAGGAGTTTTTAGAAGTTTAAGAATTGTAAGAACTCGAAGTGTTAGGTATGTGAAATGAAATAGAAAATGTTCATGTCAATGCAATATAAAATTAAAGAAAAATCAAGGTTTTGGGTGTTTTGTTTATTAGTTGATTTTTCTTGTTTAAGTTTATAATTATTGATTTTCATAAATTTTATTGATTTTTTTTATTGATTTTTTGAGAAAAATCTTCTTGAATTATTTAAAAAAAATTGGTGAGGGGGGTTTTAGGATTGGTCCAACCTAATCCTAAAACCTACAAAAAAAAAACAAGAAAATAATTAATTAATCAAACATACTCACATAATAAACCCTCCACCAAATCCTTAAACCTATAAAAAAAAAACAAAATTCAATAATCAAACAAAGTTACATTATGACAATTCAAAACTTAGAAAAATTCTTCAAAATCAACATCCAAGTCATCCCAATAGTCATCTTCTTCAATAAGTTCTAATTCCCGATTGAAATTCAAGGTTGGATAGTACCGACGATTCCGGTAAAGATGATAATTCACTTCCTCATCGAAGTTCATCATGTTGTTTTCCTCTTCTACTTCCACTTCCAATTCCTCTTCAATTTCTTCATCTTCTTCAGCTAATGGCTGCCATAGATCCAATTCGAAACCGTTGCTTGGAAAGTTTTTCCGCTTGTTGAATAGTTTTTGATTCACTTTCCAATCTTTGATGATTTTGATAAATTCATCCATTTCATCTTGTTCTTCCGATTGCTTCCACAAATTGTACAATTGATAGCTCAAATAGGCTAATCCCGTAAGTCCTAATCCAATTGCAATAAATTTCTTCATTTTTCTAAAAATAAAGAAAAAACAAAGAAAATTAAGAAAATTAACTTACAACTTCCGTTCTCCTTTAAATTGTTCCGATTCTTTTGCTTGTAATGTGCTTCTTTCTATAATGAAACAAAAAATTCACATTAATCACTTTTTTTCACAAAATAACTTTTTTTCACCTTTCCACTTTGGAATTCCTCAGAACTACAATTGACAATAAAATTTTTCTTTCAAAGGCTTACTGCGATCGGAAAATTTAAGATTTTCCTTATGGATACTATGATTAAAAGTTTTCATTGAAAATGAAGATTACCTACTTCGATCATATCAAACTACATTGAAAATTAAATAATTGAAAGTTATGAAAAATAAAATCACGAAGTATTTCAGAATATTCTTCGTTGGTTTACTGTGATGAAAGCTTTCTGAAATCTCTGAAATATCTGGAAATGAATGGGAAACTATTTAATAATATTGAACTTTCGTACGTCTTTGTACATCAAGAAATATTGATTTCAACGACTTGTTTAATGTACATAGATATAAATTTAATGAACTGCAATTAAAAAACTCTTCAATCAATTAAAAATATATGTGGGGGAATGACTGACTTAAATTACCATAAATATTGCGTTAAATTGATGCTTCATGTTAGTTTATAAAACAATTTCCTGAAACTTAGAAAACTCAATAAAGTCACAACAATGCATAAAGCAAACAACCTCGAAGTAAAATATTTTCCAACTAAAGAAGCTTTTATTAATTTGATTTTCAATTTTCCAGCGATTTAACAATTTTCTTTTCATGAAATAATTTTTCCTCAGATTCAAAGAATTTTCTCTCTGCTTAAAAAATGTCAATAAAGAATGGAAATTTTAAAAAATAANTAGGCTAATCCCGTAAGTCCTAATCCAATTGCAATAAATTTCTTCATTTTTCTAAAAATAAAGAAAAAACAAAGAAAATTAAGAAAATTAACTTACAACTTCCGTTCTCCTTTAAATTGTTTCGATATTTTAATATCTTGTGCTTGTGATGTGCTTCTTTCTATAATGAAACCAAAAAAATTCACATTAATCACTTTTTTTCACAAAATTACTTTTTTTTCACCTTTCCACTTTGAAATTCCTCAGAACTACAATTGACAATAAAAATTTTCTTTTAACTTTCTTCGGCTTACTGCGATGGGAAAATTCGTGATTTTCCTTATGAACACTATGATTGAAAGTTTTTATTGAAAATGAAGATAACTTCGATCACATTTACATCTAAATTACGTGGAAAATTAAATAATTAAAAGTTTTGATTAATTTAAGAATTGATTAAAGATGTTCTATACTTCAATACTAATATTGAATCAAATACGAGTATGGAACGAAAGTGTTTTCTTTTAATTATATTCAAACATTAAAGACTTTAAAGTTTAAACGTGCAGTGTTGACGATGACGATAAATAAAAACTAATGAAAAGTTCTTCATCGAATGAATAGCGAAGATCATCATGTTGCATCCAGTTGCAGAAACTTTGCAATAATAATTGAATTGTATTATTCAAATTTAATTCGCAGCACAAAAGTTTGATGAGAAAGACAAATAGAGCTAATAAAAAAGATAATTTATTTACAATTTAGGCTTAAGAGTTTGTAAAAGTTTAAAGATTTTAAGAACTCAGATGTTGCAGTGACAAACTCGAAGTGTTAGCTGAAAATAAGTTGAAAAGTTCATGTCATGGCATGAATATAAAGTTAAAGAAAAATCGAGGATGGCTTTTGGTTGATTTTATTTATTTATTGATTTTTTTTTTGTTTATGTTTATAATTATTGATTTTTATAAATTGTTTCGATTTTTCTATTAATTTTTTGAGAAATATTTTCTTGAATTCCTTGAAAAAAATTGGTGAGGGGGGTTTTAGGATTGGTCAAACCCAATCCTAAAACCTACAAAAAAAACAAAAAAAAATTAATTAATCAAACATACTCACATAATAAACCCTCCACCAAATCTTTAAACCTACAAAAAAAACAAAATTAAATAATCAAACAAAGTTACATTATGACAATTCAAAACTTAGAAAAATTCTTCAAAATCAACATCCAAGTCATCCCAATAGTCATCTTCTTCAATAAGTTCTAATTCCCGATTGAAATTCAAGGTTGGATAGTACCGACGATTCCGGTAAAGATGATAATTCACTTCCTCATCGAAGTTCATCATGTTGTTTTCCTCTTCTACTTCCACTTCCAATTCCTCTTCAATTTCTTCATCTTCTTCAGCTAATGGCTGCCATAGATCCAATTCGAAACCGTTGCTTGGAAAGTTTTTCCGCTTGTTGAATAGTTTTTGATTCACTTTCCAATCTTTGATGATTTTGATAAATTCATCCATTTCATCTTGTTCTTCCGATTGCTTCCACAAATTGTACAATTGATAGCTCAAATAGGCTAATCCCGTAAGTCCTAATCCAATTGCAATAAATTTCTTCATTTTTCTAAAAATAAAGAAAAAACAAAGAAAATTAAGAAAATTAACTTACAACTTCCGTTCTCCTTTAAATTGTTTCGATATTTTAATATCTTTTGCTTGTGATGTGCTTCTTTCTATAATGAAACAAAAAATTCACATTAATCACTTTTTTTCACAAAATAACTTTTTTTCACCTTTCCACTTTGGAATTCCTCAGAACTACAATTGACAATAAAATTTTTCTTTCAAAGGCTTACTGCGATCGGAAAATTTAAGATTTTCCTTATGAACACTATGATTGAAAGTTTTCATTATGAAGATATAACTTCGATCACATTTACATTGAATTACGTGGAAAATTAAATAATTTAAAGTTATGACAAATAAAGTCACGAACAATTCAGAATATTCTTCATTAATTTGATAAATATTTTGATATCTTGAGTGTAGGGATCTTCTGAACTGTCGTGAATTTAACGATCCATTTTAGATAAATTCTAATCGAAATTATCCACAAAAATATTAGAAGTTCAACAAAAGTTTTTGTTGAAGCATTGAAACCAAAACAGGTTCATAATTTATATGCAGGTATCATATAAATAAATTAGTAAGTAAACCATCGAATTTAGTAGTATCATAGTGCTGTTATCAAAGTTTTTTCTTAAAATTAATATGATCGTTTATATGGACAATAAATGAACGAGCAAAAAAAATTTAGCTTTTTATTCCTTTGGAAAATGATTATTAAGCTTTTTATGAAAGTTGAGCTGAATAAAATTGTCAGATAAAACAATGTGCCGAATAATTTGATTACATTCAAATTTCAGCAGTCTGTTCGAACAGCACACACTCGGCGTGCCGAAGGCATACTTTTGCACTGTGACGATTTTACATTGGCACTTCCTTTGACTTTTCCTGCAGAAATTGCCTTTTGTGCTATTCGTGTTCCAAGTCAAAATGGAGATAAGAACTGTTAAAATAATAAAATAAGCAAAAATAGGGGGGTTGATGTCATATAAATATTAACGAAAAAATAAAATGAAAATATGATGCAATGGAAAATCTACAAGATTTTTTCCCAAGCAGTTTTAACCTTGTTTGCAATATTTATGAAAACTTTATTAATTAACGACAGAGCCAATCAAAGTTACGAAATTATAATTTTTGCATGAAACTTTCCATGAGAGAAGAAAGAGATATTCAAAAAGTTTATCGCTATTTATACTTATGCACGCTAAATATTCCAGTCAATTCTGAAAAACATGAATAAATTTCGGATGGTGTTGATTGAAATAACAATTATCTATCTATAATTATAAAGTATGGCAAAGAAAACTGACCAAAGAATTTATATAAAAATATTGAATTAGCTACGTCATAAAATGTTTCAGTTTTTCCGTATGACAAACAAAATTACTTTTAAACGAGCACTTAAATTCAAAATATGTGAATATTTATTTTCTTTTTTCAGATATTACTGCAATAATAAGCAATATTCGATTGATTTGTCCATGTTGATTAGGCGAGTGGTCCAGACAAGTTTTAGAAATTTATTTCCTTCTTCTGTCATCTTCATCGCTTAAACCTCCAGAATCGTAAGCTTCCCGTTCTGGAATAAAAATTATGTACACGTTATTTATTTGAATAACATAAAATTTAAATAAAAATTTGTTGGAAATGTGTTAGTGAACGATATAAGTAGAAGTATAGCGAAGTATAGGAATAAGTCATTCAGTGCTTTGGTAGCCTGATTGACACCGACTAGTCTTTTGTAGTGGAATTTGCTGTTGAAGGGTTTCAAAGCAAATCTTTACTTCGCATACGACTTGAGCA